TAATGAACTTGTAAGTTTTTTTTGTAAGATTAACCGCAGCGAATATGTGTTCAGATATAATTTTTCCAAAGGTGTAAGTTTACCAAGTGTCTCATTACTGGTCAATAGGTTTTTGCATATTTGATGATCGCGTGCAAACAAAGCTACCCAAAATGTGTTGAGATGTGTTCTGGCAGACTAGTGCAGAACGGTAGTTTATCTTTAAGAGGGAAAAATGCCTGCTTAACACTCCTATGCACTCTGCCTTGCTGACCAACCCCACCCTACCCCTACATTGTAACCCCCCCCCCCCACCTGGCCCCACCCACCAAAAACAATTAATTGATAATAAAAATTAAATTTCCTTCATTTCAGCACATGTAATTCTAGACTAAAAATTTGGGAGGGAACCCTAGCTTAAACAGTTTTTGATATTTGAAGACCAAATATGAAATTTCTGGCCAAAAACGTGGGATTTGAGATTAAAAAAAAAGTTTGCAGATTTTCACGGTGAAAATTGTGAAAATTGAAAAGCATTTTTTTATTAAAAAATTCTTTGTTTCCCCCCCCCCCTCTTTTTCATTAGCATTTCTTTTCATAATTATGCAAATTTAGGGCTTTGCAAATACTTTGGAGGCTACCACCCCCAGCTTTTCAATAGAACTGTGCCTACATTCAAAGGGACCACGTCATTCCCTTGTGACTACATGTACGTGTGAAATCATTTTGTAAAAAGAATCACATTGGCGTCAGATGACGCAAGGCAGTAAAGCCCAGATATCGGCACTCGGTGACCCCCAGAACAGCAGATGGAAAGGTGTTAACTGGTTAACCCAACCGTGCTCTGCTAATGAAGCCCTGGATATACTGTACACATGTACACATGTACATGTACTATGGTTGCTTACCATGGCGTTATGTATGCATAGCATTGCACACATATACTGCATGACGCAATTGTAAACAATTCCAATAAATGAGACATTGTCAAATATGTTTTTGAAAAAAAAATATTAGTACATTGCAGTAATTAGGACAATTTCAAATGTGTAATAAAGGAAAATGGGTTATAAAATTTTAATTAACAATACCTGTTAATTTGACACTTTTAGTATATTTGTTTTTATCCAAATAATGGCCAGATTAAAAAAAGTTACCTGCTAAACATGTTAGCCAAAAGACTGGTTCATACGTGTGAATGAATGTGAAGCCAACATTCAATTTTCCTCTGATTCGCTGATTTACTCGTGTTTTACTTCTCATGTCCTTACCAATTGAAAAAATACTGTACAAAGTCTTGTGTGGTTTGGACTTGGAGTTTCCTCATTTTTTTTTTCTTCTAAATTTCCAGTTGCTTGTCTGAACTACAGTATTTACGGTACATACATTGTACTTCAATGTTCCCAGCCAAAATTCCCCAAAGTTTACATGTGTGATTTTTTTGTCAAATTCGCAAATGAAGATTTGCTTATGCTGTCACAGATATTTGTAATATTCATTGAAATCAAAGACACACAAACCAGACAGGAACATAAGTGTAGTTACAACTCCTCTCGTTTTCAAAGCAGAGATTTCTAACGCCATTTTCTGCTGTCTGTGTTCCAGCTGTTTATTTCCTTGTTGTGAATTTGAAAGATCGATGACAAAAGACTTAAACCATGCAGTCCATACATGTACAGGTACTTGTTTGATACTTACATGTACATATGTAGGTTCATGAATGTGAAAGTGATTTACATTCATAGAACTGGAACTTTCCTTTTGTTTTTATTTTGGTAATATCGGTAGGAAAAATATCTTTTGCTTTAAAAAGTAATTATGGTAGGAATAAATACTTAGTTTTAAAAAGTAAAGATTGGTGTTACTTACCTACAAGTAATCAAATGGAGATTAGGCAGAAGTTAATAAAAGTACGCTTTGTACCCCGAAAATGTCTTCAAAATGAGAGACAATAACAAAAACAATAACAAAAAGCTCAATCGGAACTTGGAAGCTGCTGGCCAACAAATTTGTGTTCATGCATGAGTCACGTGATTGTGTCATGTAATTTCTGGAAGGAGTAGTATTTTGAATAAAATTATCAGGTTATTGACCCCAGTGACCCCATGATGCCCTTTGACCCCAGTTTGGTCATGCGACATGTTGGGGCTGGGCTACTGATACTTTTGACAAAGTTTGGTTGAAATTGGTCAAAATATGTAGGAGCAATAGACAATGTCAACGTTTGTTAATAACTATTAACTAACTAACACCCCAAACTGTACCGGTAACTACATGTATAACTAACGGAGAGACATGATGATTTGTTGAGCTGCCCGCAGCTAAAAAAGTAGACCATACAATAATAAAAAGTGGACTAATAATCATTGTATTAATCATCAGTGTCCTGATCCAAATCTCACTTTCAAATTTCACAACCCTTCAAATAGCAAAGTGAAAATGAATCTAGCCTGAATAACGAATAATTACTAGCCTGTTTTGAAGGCCGAGTGTCAAGAGTGGGTAGGACTTTACCAGGAAATGAGGAAGTAATGTACACAAACTGCCCACTCCCGGTCTTAGCGATGTTGGCATTCATTCAAATACCCGCCTTTTTTTATTTGTGGACTTTAACCTTGCCGACCAACTATTTTATTGCCTGTATTGTTTGACCTAGATAATGTTTTATGAATGCAGACATCATTGCATACACTTAATTGCATGTTTGTTTGTTCTACTTTTAGAGACTCTACTGTATAATGTCCTTGTTTAACATGTTTTGAAGAACATATGTACCGGTACATGTACTTGACTTGTACATATACATTCACAGTATGATACCATAAAATCTAAGGGTTATGTGCGGCCTAGTGGTTAGAGTTTGTGGCCTACGTACATGTACATGTATGATAGGTGATTCAGGGGTTCAAATCCAGCTGTGGGCCATAAATTGTGTCCTTGGGCAAGCCGCTTCACTCCCACTTGCCTCTGTCCACCCAGGAGTATTGACCTAGTGGTTAGGGCTTGTGTCTCATGATCCGAGGGTGAAGGGTTCGAATCCAGCTGCTGGCCATATGTTGTGTCCTTGGGCAAGCCGCTTCACTCCCACTTGCCTCTCTCCACCCAGGAGTATTGACCTAGTGGTTAGGGCTTGTGTCTCATAATCCGAGGGTGAAGGGTTCGAATCCAGCTGCTGGCCATATGTTGTGTCCTTTGGCAAGCCGCTTCACTCCCACTTGCATCTCTCCACCCAGGAGTATTGACCTAGTGGTCAGGGCTTGTGTCTCATGATCAGAGGGTGAAGGGTTCGAATCAAGCTGCTGGCCATATGTTGTTTCCTTGGGCAAGCTGCTTCACTCCCACTTGCCTCTGTCCACCCAGGAGTATTGACCTAGTGGTTAGGGCTTGTTGTCTCATGATCCGAGGGTGAAGGGTTCGAATCAAGCTGCTGGCCACATGTTGTTTCCTTGGGCAAGCCACTTCACTCCCACTTGCCTCTCTCCACCCAGGAGTATTGACCTAGTGGTTAGGGCTTGTTGTCTCATGATCCGAGGGTGAAGGGTTCGAATCAAGCTGCTGGCCACATGTTGTTTCCTTGGGCAAGCCGCTTCACTCCCACTTGCCTCTCTCCACCCAGGAGTATTGACCTAGTGGTTAGGGCTTGTGTCTCATGATCAGAGGGTGAAGGGTTCGAATCCAGCTGCTGGCCATATGTTGTGTCCTTGGGCAAGCCGCTTCACTCCCACTTGCCTCTCTCCACCCAGGAGTATTGACCTAGTGGTTAGGGCTTGTGTCTCATGATCCGAGGGTGAAAGGTTCGAATCCAGCTGCTGGCCATATGTTGTGTCCTTGGGCAAGCCACTTCACTCCCACTTGCCTCTCTCCACCCAGGAGTATTGACCTAGTGGTTAGGGCTTGTTGTCTCATGATCCGAGGGTGAAGGGTTCAAATCAAGCTGCTGGCCACATGTTGTTTCCTTGGGCAAGCCACTTCACTCCCACTTGCATCTGTCCACCCAGGAGTATTGACCTAGTGGTTAGGGCTTGTGTCTCATGATCCGAGGGTGAAGGGTTCGAATCAAGCTGCTGGCCACATGTTGTTTCCTTGGGCAAGCCACTTCACTCCCACTTGCCTCTGTCCACCCAGGAGTACAAAATGGTATGGGCATTAGCTGGGGAGTAACCTTGGATGAACTAGCATCCCATCCAGGGAGATTAGAATCATTCTCATTTCATCATGCTGAGGAAACCAGTGACAAATGCTGGCCTGATGGGCCACATTGGCTTGTGACAGACTTTACTTTTGCTAGGAAAGCTACATATATACATACATGTACACCACTGTTCAAGATTTTTACTTAAATGTACATGATGCACAAGTGCATGTGTCAAATGTTACACATAAACGTGTACAGTAATTATCTATAGGGCAGTTTTGTAAGCTGTCACTAGTACATTTAAATCAAAGTTTAGAGCTGCAAGTTGCAATTTTTGAAGTGTCTTAACATTATACTTAGACATGTGTGTAAGTGGGAGGTTCTTGATGTCATATTTGTAAGAAAAAAAATCTTCAATGACTCGATTTTTTCTTAAATGTACATGTACATGCACAAGTGGATGTGTCAAATGTTACACGTACACGTGTACAGTAATTATCTATAGGGCAGTTTTGTAAGCTGTCACTAGTACATTCAAATCAAAGTTTAGAGCTGCAAGTTGCAATTTTTGAAGTGTCTTAACATTATACTTAGACATGTGTGTAAGTGGGAGGTTCTTGATGTCATATCTGTAAGAAAAAAAATCTTCAATGACTCTTCAAACTTTTATGGTAAAAATACACAATAGTTTCTTGGTGTCTACACTTATTATTTCTTGTTGGTATTAAACTGACAAGTTGATAACTCCCAAGCGTCCTTTTATTGTTCAAAAAGTGATATCAAATCATCAAATCCTAATCATGTTCTGGAGAGCAGCCCGGTTCAACATGAACAATATTACTTCATCACTCGTTACAAATCCTCATCTTGTTTGGATAACTTTCAGACCCAAATCCCCATCTGCCAAAGATGCCAGGGAGCGCGGCCTGTCCCCACGGCGACTGAAATCCCCCGACCCAGGACGATACAAGACCCAGCCCGTCACGCCCGAGGAGATGGCCAAAGTACGGCAGCTGACCGAGCCGGTCAAGACCTCCGGCTCCATTGCTGAGAGGTGAGTGTGTTTGTTGGTCGGTGGATTTGTTGGTTGGTGGATGTGTTGGTTGGTTGGTTGGTTTGCAATTTTCCCATTAAACTTTTGCATTGCAAAATTGTTTTGTACTCTGAGGGATTAATTGGAGGATTAATGGGGGATATCCCCCGCTGTCATTTAGGGAGATTGAGATTAAAGCGATTAGGGAGGGACTTACATGTATGCTGACATATGCCTGGTTCTCATATTCAGACATGTCAGACTAAATGAATTATGCATACTTTGTGCCATATGCAATGTGTCCCTCCTACAGGGCTTGCATGAGCTCATAGTATCATGTGAGCTGATTCGGCGATAAATTATGCAAAAAACAGGTGCATCTTGACCTCGACATTCTGACCATTCAACGGGTGCTTTCTATATCGGGTCTTGTCATGGATGTCTAATAAAACTTAGACATGACATCTATTATTCTTTTTTTACGATGTGAATTGAGCAAAAAGGTCTGCGGTCACGCACTCTATATGTTATGCGATATGTTACGCGATACGCCAATCAATAATAGAGCTGGTCAATTACGATTGTGTCTAGGTTCTGTAGATCTATGCGGGCCCGGCCGCTGGTGTGTTTCAAAAACACTGCATCCGAATCGACCATTCACAATCTTTGTCCAGATTTGAGAATGAAATGACGTCACGATTTAGTAAAGTTGACTCCGATTGGCTGGCGCGCGGGGCCGCATAAATTCGCATTCCTAGATGTATCAGACGTTGGACCGGAGATAGGGCTCCATGGACAACAGGTGATACGCAGACTAATTAGTGTTGGGAGAAATCAGGGTTTTAAAAATCTGGTTATCCTAGGTTTTTTCAAACTGTAAAATGGTTATCCATTACCACTGGAAGTTCCCATCTAACAAAAAGTGACGTGTTTATTCCCTTGAAAAATAATTACATGAATGTGTACATTAAACAACACTACTGGGCCCAAAAAGCTAACATTTTACTCAGAGTTGAATGTCAACTTATGTCAGTGATTCAAACTTGCCTTTTCAAATGAAACCAAGAAATTGCATTTTGCACATTTTTAAGGCAAAAGCTGTTCTTTTTTTGTGATGAAATCATGGTTTCAAATAATACACATATGTACATGTTTCTTTGCACACTTGCACTGTGTCCATTGTCCATATATTTACAAAGGTACTTACAACCAACAAAGTCAATAACAACATTCTCTGGGATATTTTTTTTTTCAGATTGCAATCTTTGCAGAAGAGTGGGCAAGAGGATTGGCAGAAGCGCATCAACAAATACAACGACTCGCCGAAGTCTAATCTGAAAGACTTCCTCAAAATACCCGGCACTGAAACATGCAGGCAGCCAGATGAGGTTAGTGCTAACTTACGTATATTTTGGATCAAGTTACTGTATATGATGGTTTTATGAAAAGAACTTGCTGCAGTCCTAAGGACAAACTTTTTGGAAGAAAAAGCCATGCTTACACGAGTAATTACCCAGTATGGTTTGGATGCCCAGGTACCAAATATTGAACAAAAATATGGGTACCCGGTTCCATTTTTGGGGTTGAAGTACCCAAAAATCTTGTACATTCTTCTGACACAACTTTTGTTAAAGGATAACACTATTAATTACCCCGTGAGCGCGAGTGGAACACGGAATTATGTCCCACATATGTGGGACACAGACGCACTAATTTTCCGTGTTCCGCGAGCGTGATAACGAATTTATCTTCAAGCAAACTTGACGCGCAGTAAAGTTGGACCATCGCTTAACACGAACCTTTTAGCAGTTTAGCGCATGCAGCTGGAATGTCGCTCGCATCTTGGAATAGCGCAATACACGCAGGGTGCAATATGGACCGTGCAATACAGCCTCATATCACACTGTTGTTGCCATGGATCGACCAATCAGGATCGAGGATTCAAGTTTACTTGAAGATAAAACCTTAAATAACAAAATAAGAAGCCATTTTGTAGGTGAAACCATGCTCGTGTGCATTTTGTCTGCATTCTAAAAGACGAGGCATGCACGTGTTGTTTTTAACCTATTGGTCGAAGGAACATTTAGCGCGTACATGCTACCTGTCCGCAAGCCTGAAAATTAGTTGATACATTGTAGATCAGTTGCTCATGAGGCGAGGAATAGTTTGTTTAGAATCTTGTTCCCAATCGCTCTCAATGATATAGAATTCAGTGACTAGCGAACGCCATTATTTGTTGCTGTCTTATTGGTGGGTGCAGACCAGTAACTCAGTCCAAAATTGCCTACGCCTGCCAAATCAGGATTTGCAAGCCCTCAAATTCTTCAGTATAAGAGCATGTTGTGGGCCATGAACTGAAGGGTCTGTAAAAAAGAAGAATGGACGCCGTGCACAGCTTGTCTTTCTGTGAAATTTGGATAAAATTGGGCAATAAAAGAGCTCAGGCATCGTTTTTCAAAATGGTGATGGGCTTCAGGACCATTTTCAGGGGTGATCATCTTCGGATGGCAATTTGTCCAAAAGTCATTGGATTACTCTCCCCCCCCCCCAAAAAAAAATAAAAATAAAATTGAACGGAAAAGTTTAACAATTTTTGGAAGACTAAAGTACAGTGGTCTTATTAAGGCAGTATATTTAGTGGTCTGCACACTGGTGCGTTAACCTCAGTGGTTTTTTTTTTAATATGAAATTATACTGTACTGAAGTTTGCAATTGCAAATAATGGCAAATATACTTTTCTCTCCTTGCGGGGCTTGTGTAACAGTTCATTGAGAGAATTTTGCAGTGCATGTGTGCCCTTGACAAGTTTTCAGTGTTAAAAAATTTGATACCGCTAGTTATACATGTTTGTAAGCATTACTTCAACTGCTACATTGTATTGTTTGAGGTAAACTACAAGATGTACAAAGCGTCATGCATTGTACACAAGCTTTCTTACATATTGTTGTTTACTTATACGGTAAATTGCATATGCTCTTATGGTGTGTGAGTTTAACAAATCTCATGCTTGGTTTGGCAATATATGACCCATGGAGAAAACGCCAACACACTGACAGCAGTCGGTCCGCTTGCTTTGAATAAGGGCAATGTTGACTTTGTGTTGCCGTCAAAAACTGTTTCCAAAAAAAGTGCAGCTTTTTTTTTACGGAGGAATGGGCTTTTCAATGCAAAGTGCCTGAAGTTTGTCCACCCACAAGTTTGCATTTGTGAAATTCTTTTGTTGTGAATTTGTTTACCGGGGATAAAATTGTGTAATTAACAAATGACAATACGGTTATTGTGTTTTTAATTTCTGCATTCCTGTTTTTTTTTCCCCTGGCAGGCTAGGACAATTTTTTTTTTGGGGGGGGGGAATGACCCATTTCTGTAGTCACTCCATGCTCGGTGATGTGAGAGAGTTGAAAACAAAAACAAAATTGAAGGTCTTTTCAGGTTGAACTTCAACCAATGACCTTCTGCTTATGAATGCAGACGTCTTTAATAAATAAAAGACGAGATTACAAATTTGGTTTCCATTGTCGAGATAGGCCTTTGTACTTTCATTTGCTGTCGTTATCCAAAATAGGAAATCATTGAATCTTGATTTCCACATTGCATGGTTGAAACACCAAGCCTGCTTATAGGTTATTCTAGATTAGGCCAAAAAAAAAAGTCTCCGGTTTCTGGTATGGAGCTTGCCCAAAAAGTGGTGCGGCGACACGTTTTTTTTTTTTTTTTTTTACCTGACTTTTTTGCTTCAAATGTCGGCTGATGACTGCAAATGGTGCCCGACTAAACTTAGTGCAAATATATGGGAGTCCAGAGAGGCCACATAAAGCTTATTCTCGACCATAACCCAATCTAAAAACACGTTAAAATTGTGCAGCAGCAGGATTCCAGTCAAACCTGTGAGTTTGGCGGTTTTGAGACATCATCTTTCATTGAAAAAAACCTTTTTCAGTTTGCCGACGCGCATGGCTACAGCGACGCGCGCGCATACCAGAAACCGGAGACCTTTTTTTTTTGGCGTTATGGAGAGAAGGAAATATTTTGTTTTGTTTATCTGGACCTACCACTTTTAAAGGAATTCAAAAACTTATGAAGTGTCCTACTCTTTTAATGGACCATCTATAATTGTACCCCTTTGACAGAGTCTCATTTGACCACGTTCATCAGGGAATTTTTTTGGGAGGGGGGGGGAGAATTTATTGTCTTATTTTTCATGGATGTCAATTGACATGAACCCTATACCATGATGCTTTGTAAAGCCAGGGATGCATTCAATTATTACAGACATTAGCGCGAATGTTAGCTGAACCACTGTGATTGTACCGACCGTAGACTGAATGAACATGCCATGTGAAAAACTCTTGTCAAAATGATGCGATAAATCTTAAGTGCATTTTGCAGGTGGAATTTTGCTAGTGGTACAGAAAGGTTTTTTTTGGTATGTACACGAAGGAAAATTGCAACCCTAACATGATATGATCAGGACGTATCACGAAGTGTGAGTCAGCCACCTTGGAAAATGAAAGCAAACGACTCTGGAAGACCGTTCCCAGGTGTTGCAAGCATTCGCCGTGTTGGCCAGCAAACAGTCGGCCCCACTTGCTTGAACATTGCCAATATTGGCAAACGTTATCATCCTGGGGTACCATGGTCCAGTAGTTATGGTCTCAGACTCACGCGCACTGGCACACTGGTTTGAACTTCGACGTGGAACACGGTGTTTGCGTTCTTGGGCAAGACACTTTATCTCAATTGCCTCTCTTCACCCAGGAGTATTAATTGGTGCCTCTGAGGTTGAGAGACAAGTTTGCACAGATCTCAAAGTGCTGCAGAAACTGTAGTGTCATTGTGGCTTGTAGAACAGAAACTTTGAGACTTAGTATACAAGCACCATATCATTAAGCACCAATTTAATCGGAACGCACCCCTGATTTTTAGCGGTTTCCTGTCTCCCAATTTCCCGACACACAGGATGCTGATCTGGCCTCCTGCAGCATCTCCAAGAGGCTGGAGCTGATCCAGGACAGCCAGAGCAAATGGAAGAAACGTGTGGAGGAGAAAGATGCCACACAGTTCACCGTCTCAGGGAAGATGACCAAAGCTGGGAAGGAAGTGGTGGAGACGTCGCCCCAGCTGAGGAGAGCTGGGAGTTTGAGAGTCAAGCGGGGAGGCTCATTCAGAGGTCAGCTTTTTGTTTAGATAGAGAGGTTAAGTTATGTACATTTTTGGCAAGGATGGATGCACTTAAAGCTACAGTCCATCATTTGCAGCTATCCAAAAAGTAGGGCCAATGGTTTTCCGCGATCGCGGAAAACGGACGGAATTTGCGGAATCTGCTCCTTGAAACAGAAAACGGAATTTGAATCTGAAGAAAATAACTTCTGCAATTTTATTGATAAAAAAACATAGTTTTGTTAAATTTATTGAGTCCAAAACGAATTGTTGATGATTGATTGAACAGACGAGCCATATAACAAATGAGCGGTGTTTATATCATGATTTTTGGGGGGACAAAAAAATTCAAGATCAGAGCAATAAATGTTATGAGATCATTACCGTAGTACGCGTAGTCATGGGAGTGACAGTCCCGACGCACGCCGTAGCTGTCGGTCAGCGCATGGGTGAAAATCATCACACTTACGGCACGCTCTAACGGGTCTCTTTTGCTCCATCGGCAGGTTTATTTTTCTCCGTTCAATCAATCAACCATTCATATAACATCTAACTTTGGCTCTATTGAAATGCATGTTGTGCTTACCGGTAGGTCAAAAAATCTACCGTAAACTATCCTATTTTGTCGCTAACGTTAGCGCGAAAACGAACTGGCGGACATGAATTTCGCTTTGGCCAGCTGATGTGTGTGACGTCCTGGGATTGGCCTGTACGGCTTTTGCATGTTTCTTGCGTGTGTGGCAGTGGCTGTGCAGTATATGACTTGACTGTGGTGAAGTTAAATACTACGTCTGTACATTCATCGGCCGTTGATAATATAGCAATCTTTTATTGGCAATTTTTCCGCGTTTTAACCAAACGACTATTTCATTATCGTCTTGGAATTATTTACTGTGTACATAGTATATGTTTAAATGCCTTTTTTTTGTATTGAATAAATGTGAAACGGAATTTTTCAGCCTGAAACGGAATTTAGGATTTTTCAAAACAGAATTTGCACTTTTCTGAAACGGAAAAACATTGGCCCTAAAAAAGTAACTGACGTAATTTTTGTTGAAAAACATACTTGGTTGAAAGAGGTAGTAAGGGGACTAAACGCCCTGTAAATTGTTTTTTTCTGGCATGCTGTCATTTTGAAGAAATCAATGAAAGAATGCATCGATGCAAGATGCATCGTAAACACCAGTACAGACTTCTTACCACTCGCCCTCTGACCTCGCTGGGTTTTCTGGCCAATATAGCAAGAAGTACCATAAGTGACATACATAGCCACTGGTTGGTCATTCCAACCCCCCAATTAAAGACTTAGTGACATGTTTGTGGGAATAAACAAGTGTCATCTATTCATGTCTTACATAGGTCGTGTGACTCTTGGTGATAAAAAAGATGGCGATAAAAAAGATGCTGACAGTAAAGAAGGCGAGAGCAAAGGAGCTGAGGACAAAGAGGCAAACGCCAGCGACAAGAGTGAGGACAAGAGTGAAAGCACCAGCAGCATAACCATTAGTGTCTCAGGTAAACGAGGCTTTGCATTGTGGGTAATATATTGCATTGTGGGTAATATATATACATTGTGGTAATGTATATGCATTGTGGGTAATATAGGTTTTCCCGGCCAATTTCCTGAAATGTTCATTCACTTCTGAAAATCAGTCATTTGTTTTCGTCTGAGTTTGAATACACGTCTTTAATCCCATTTTCAATTCAAAAGTTCAATCGTTTTCAATGTCTGTGCCTTTGGTTTTGAGAAACAGACGGCCAATTACGTTACCTGTGCATTCATTTACTCAAGCATACCTTTTCTAAATTGACTTTTGGTTTGATTTTTTTGATTGACGGTTAATGAAAAAGAAACCCCTAATGGTATCTGGTGCCTATGGCATTAAACTAAAAGTGAAATGGAATGGTGAATGTTTGAAATCGTCCTCTAAAAGCGAAATAGAAGTCTTGTAAACGAATCCGAATGGACATAAACAAAAGGTGCTGCTCAATCACTTAATTGATTGAACTGAAATGGGATTGAATGCTCTGGTTGCGAAAACAAAAGGTGTGTTCAGAGCGATTCTCAAATTCACACGAAAAGGAATGACCGATTTTCAGAAGTGAATGAACATTTTAGGAAATTGGCCGAGAAAACCTATATATTGTATTGTGGTTAATACTTATCTTTCAGTACAATGGATGATTATTCCAAACACATGTAGACGTTCATTCAGTCTATTGAATTTGCCTGCCTTTCTTTTTGTGTGGATTTTACAGTCAGTGTATTGATGATTTGAAGGCCGAGAGGTTTTTATACGTGGTTCCAAGTAATAAGTTTTCCTTGATGGACAAATACCAGTAGGTTGTTGAAGCTCAAAAACAAAGTGATTACCTGAACCACAGGGTGACTTTACAGTTTTCTCAGAGGCTGCAGGTTCAAATTCTTCCCAAGTGAATTTTTCGTCCAACCTTATATTGATTTAAATGAAATGAAATTCCATCGTGCAGTTTGATAACTGTAAAATCATTTTTGACATTTTGAAACGAGGGCATGAATGTACAAAATATATGTGTTACTTCCAGGGGAAACACAAGACAGTAAGAGCTCCTCTACCAACGCAACAACCACCGAGTCGGAATCCGAGTCGGGCTTTCGCATCGTCAAGAAGAAGATTGCCGTCATGAAGCCAGACGATGAAACGTTTGCCGAGTTTTTCAGTAGCAGTTCGACAGTCATCACTGAGACCGCTATGCTACCCAAGGACCGCAAGGCCTCCCTGGATGATGTCACTCTCTCTGACTTTGATGCCCTGTCAGACATCCAGCTTCCAAAGTAAGACATGTTAAAGTTAATTGTACCAGTAACAATAATTTGAAATTGGTATTCCAGAATCACGGTGAGCCAAATAGTATTAGGAGTGACTCAGGTCGAGGTGAATTTATTTTGGTTTCAGACGGTTGAGCTTAATGTGTTCATTTTTCTATTGATTAAACTCTGAAGTCTTTTTGAACAATGGTAGCAATCAATCTTTCGATTTTAGCAACTGCTCACTGTTTCAAATATGAAACCGTTCATGTTCTTAATTCAATTCCTGGTAATAGATTGGTTTGGTCTGTCTCTGGAACTCCAGTAAAAAAACGGACGTAAAATGTCCTTTTGAGGGACCTGTAGAGTCCTGTTGGACAGATATATACCGGTATGAGGATACTGTCGTAATTACACCTCTCATACTGGTAGTTATTACACAAGTGCACATCTTTTTTTGGCTAATGTTTTTATTCATCAGGGAAGTTACAAGTAGCTAACCCCAGGCCATATGAACCGCAATGACTGATGTTCATACTAGTTAGTATCTGCTACTAACTTTGGCTGGTTGATAGTAAGCCAAAGATTAGCTCTTAGACTCCCAACCACGCAACAGTTGTGTTTGTAAGTCTGGATTTTGTTGAAACCGATAAATTCTATGGTTGTGTTTAACAAATTTCAACATTTGACTGAATTCTTGTGTAATTACAAGATAATGAAGTTAAATGTGAACAAGGTGCAGTAAAAAATATTCAACGTTTCATTTTTAGGGAAGTAGTGAAAAATGACTTGTGTTGGTTGATTTTGAATACCTCCCTCCGCTTTGAGTATTTGGAGGTAGTCAAAATCAACCATAAACCTTTTAACCAGTAATTTTGCACTACTTTCTCTCAAACTATTTGTACACCGCAAGATGTTTCATTATTTTTTGAAGGTTAACAGCACTCTCACGGAATCGCATGTCGCTGAGACCCAAGAGACGAGCCCATGGCACCAAGAACCCCATCCGTGCCCTGAAGACGCGCAGTAACGTCATCACGGAGTATGAAGAGGTGAAGATGGAAATGATTGAGACGCAGGTGATGGACAGGACGGCTGTCATGAAGGCCAGGCGAGTGGAATGTAAGCAGTAACTTTGCTTTTACTTTCTTCAGTAGTTTTTGTAGGGCTGGTTACCTCAAAATACAAGCGAGTGCAGCAGCATCATGCACAAGGCGCGTGATTGGTATGTGATCGCTGTGTTGTGGTTACCAAGCAGCCACGCGTCAGGTTTCGTGCGCTCGAGCGGCGTGGCCACAGAGTAAAACCACTGCAGCGATTCGTGTGCTGCATGTACATGTATTGATTTTTACGAGACCAATCACGTGGCGCGTCACAATACATCAACAGTTTGTGTGCTACACATACTGATTTGTACGAGACGTGATCCAGAGAAATGCAAGTTAGAATGAAGCAATAATGATAATCGCACAGTGAGGAATCCAGAAGAATAATTACAGAAATCAAAAATCTGTGTCCGTGTCAGTTGACCTCTTTGTGTGTGCAGTCCTGTTCCAATTTGCCTGAGTCTGTCTTGCCCCTCCCCCCCCCCCCCCCCACAAGTCCTGCTGTTCCTAACAGTCCTTAGACCACGATCTGGTGCATAACAATACATCAAAATCACATTGTCAAATTACTCACGTTTCAAAACAAGAAGATAGGGTACAAAATGTGAAGTGACATTTAAAACAAAAAAAAGATACTTATATAATATTGGATGGCTTTGGGGGGGATACAAGAATATATTGCAATATAGCCTTGGTCAATGCTCTCGTCGTTATTCGTCCCGTACGTACGCGGTCAATCGTCGGCATATATCCTCACGCGCGCGCTATGCACATGCATGTAAAAATACAGCGCGAACAGCGACCTCACGCGGCCACTATTTTTATGCAAATCAGTTGGAGACGATGTCGAGCCTTGGTTCAATCGTCCATGTGAGGTTTTTGGGGTGGTGCTCATTATGTTAATAGCCTTAGCTGACCTTAAATGTCGTTTTCTTATTGGTCGATCGTTGCGTGGAAACTTGCATAGTGAAACGTGGCACCGTACATAATCCATACACGTAGCTCCATGCACGTACCCATTGTGTGTCTCTGCACACGGCACCAATGCACAAAAACTGTGGTTCCTGTCACGTCCGCAAAAGGCGAATAGCTGCAAATAATTTGATGACGTCCGGATTTACCAAGGTGTGATTGGACACTCCACATATTAGCCCCGCCTACATTATCTGTATTCGCATACGAGGTCGTGCACTGGAAATCTAGCGCAAAGTAAAGAAAAACATAAGCTTTGGTTGACGATTGAACCAAGGCTCGACATCGTCTCCAACTGATTTGCATAAAAATAGTGGTTGCGTGAGGTCGCTGTTCGCGCTGTATTTTTACATGCATGTGCATAGCGCCTGAGGATATATGCCGACGATTTGACCGCATACGGGACGAATAACGACGAGAGCATTGACCAAGGCTAATTGCAATATCAATAATATTGCAGTCATCCGGGTACTTAATTGACATAAAATTGCAGTCATCCAGGTACTTTTTATGAAAGCTTACAATTCACTGCTTTATTATTGACACTGGAAGCCTGATAGAGTTAATAACGTGGTTTATTTAACCCTAACCATCCCAAATCCTCCGAAATCCTTTTTGCAAATTGGAGGAATTTGCAGGATTGGCAAAAGTGCGTTGCTGATTTCGGAGGTCTTGGGCCAGACCTTGTGTTGTTTATGCTCAGCCTAGCATAAATTTAGTCCTTGATTGTACTGGACATCCTCCGCACTGCTCCAGGATGTCACTGCCTCTGCCTCAGCCTATTGACAGTCATAGCCGGAGGATTTTGCAGCATTCAGGCAGTGGTCACCTCTCCACAGACCATATTCAAGAAATAATGGAAGAATTTGCAGGATTGAAGCTATATGCTATTTTTCCATGAGGCCAATTGGAGGATTTTGCAGGATTGAGGCTACATCCTAGCAAAAAGGCCTAGGGAGTTAGGGATACATGTATGTAAAAATTCACCCATAAATTCTGCATGTTTTTGCTGCTATCCTAGTGTCATCCCAGTCCAGGCTACACCACTCTGCACGGAAGGGACTAGCCAGCAAGGAAGACATCAGCAAGGGACTCAAGAAACTACAGAAGGTCAAAGATGTCAGGGAGATGGAGGGCAAACTCAGTCAGCTACTACCATACAAGGAGCTCATGCTGCTCCATATAAAAGGTGGGCTGAAATTGGACGGCAGGGCTTGAACAAAAGATTTTTATGGGGAGGTGGGGGTTTAGCTGTAAATGGCTGTGAAACGTACATGTGTGCATGCTGAATGCCTGCCATTGGGGGGGGGGGGGGGGGGGGCGTGTAGCTTGATGTCTGTCTGGAGCCAATGAGGCTTTCCCTTTGTATTAAAAAAACAACTTTAAACATTCCTTTAAGATGGGATGCCTGTCCATCACAAGTAATAGTACAGTCTGCAACGAGTCATATGGCCCAACAGGCCGGCGTTTATCTCCCGTTTTCTTGACATGAAACAAATGAGAATATTTCTACTCCCCCTGGATGGGATGCCAGTCCATCGCAGGTTACTCCCCTGCTAATGCAGATACCCACCAATACTCCTGGGTGGAGAGGGGCAAGTGGAGGTAAAGTGGCTTGCCCAAGGACACAGCATATGGCCAGCAGCTGGATTTGAACCTCTGACCCCCTGATCATGAGTCATGAATCCTAACCACTTGACCACACTCCTCCTCTGCCCATCACACACAAACTAGTGCTGAAACCTTTTTACATTACTCTTATCTTGTTCATTCCTCCGTGGCTCAATTAGCGCGGTCAAGCCTACCGCTGTGGAGTGTAAAACTTGTTATCGACTGTTGATTTTTATATTTGCCTGTAAGTTTTCCCCCTTTTTTCCCTTTTATCAGGGAGACGCTTCGTCCAAGTCCGACTGATACAGCCCTCCACTGAAATGCTGAACACCGGCGACTGTTTTGTGCTTGTTACGCCCAAGGAGTGCTTCCTGTGGATCGGGGAATACTCAAATGTCATTGAGAGGTCAAAGGTCAGACATTGTATTTAAATGAACATTGTTTTTAGTTTCAATGATGACAGCCCACTTGATTAACCCTAAATGGGCCGGGGAATCTGCCCCCCCCCCCACCTTTTCCGCGATAGCCTTGAAAAAAATTTTTTTGCGACCCGAGCCGTTATGACTTTTTAGCCTCGAGCCTTGCGCATCTTTTGATACCAAAAACATACAAATCGGACCACGGGTTGCCACGTAGGGAAAAATCTTCCAGCTGTGAAAACTGAATTTTCCCATATACGTCGTGTACACAGTGCAAAATTGCCATTCGTACATATGATTAATTAATTAGCCATAATTCCAAAACCCTTTGACCTATAGTCATGGAATTTCTTTGGTATGTTCATGAAGAGTTGCTCTATGCATGTACCAAGTTTCAAAATTTTGCGTCACTCGATGGTCGAGATCTTAGGCCCCCCCCCCCCCCCCGCCCCGACTGAGAGATGGTCACAATAACCCGGCCCTTTTAGGGTTAAGATGTTGAACATACTTGAATGTGATAGCTGCATCCTTGCATTAAAACCCTCTGCATCTTGTACAAATCTGCAAACTTATTGTTCCTAAATCATCTTTTCACTCGATCCAATTGTTTCTTGTTATCATTCATATCCCGTAGGCATCAGAAATAGCCCAGATGATCCAGACGACGCGAGACCTGGGCTGCAAGGCGCCCTCGTTGGTCACAATCGAAGAGTCTAAAGGCAAACCCCTGGGATCGCTGAGAGACTGGAAGCGGTTCATGGCCACGCTCGGTGGAGAGGACGACGTCAAAGGTTGGCAGCACTGTTGTAGAGCCATACTTCCTTCATTTAGTGCCATATTGCAATCTCCAGCTCCAATGCATTTCACTTTTAGGGTACTGAGAACTCTAGAGACTGACTTGTGCGATCCCATTGTCCCTACGCGATGTTAGCAACATTAGCAATGGTGCAAACCTGGGAAATAGCAAAGAGGGATCACTCAGAGAGGATAGGGCTTCTGACTAGTGCCCCTTGAACAAAGATATTAAACTTAAGGAATTATATTGTATGACATTTGAGTCGTTAAAGATATAGTCCATCATTTGTAATTTTTGTATTTTGTTCATTTGAAGCAACAAAAGTGCTCAAAATCTAAAGAAGGGTACTGAACAACTAACCTGATGAAGTTTCAGCTCAGCTTCAGCTATATATTCCGAGAAAAACAGCATTCTAGGATCTCAATTTCAAATCAAAAGTTGCTGAATCATGTTTTGAATTGGGCCTGAATTCAGCGTCTGAGACACGTTCTCACTGAGCCGATTGCAGCTACGCGATGTCGCGTACTGATCCGACGAATTATAGCAACCGCGCGTGTGTGTGCATCGTGCCAATGCTTGCACGCGCTTCGCCGAATAACAAAACGAACTACTAATTTATATTTCCTACGGTGCGTCTTAAGAAGCACTGTTGGAAAGGCCTTCTTTCGTTGATTACTTCAAAATGACAGCTTGCCAGAAAGAATAATTTCAAAGGGACTTTAGTACCCTTACTATCTTTCAACCAAGTATGTTTTTCAACAATAATTATGCCAGTTACTTTTCGGATAGCTGCAAATGATGGACTATAGCCTTAAATATCAGCTTCTCACTGTGTGCAACGAATTAACTTGTGCACTCTAGCTACTTCATCAGAACAAGAAGATGACCATTGCCCCTGACGTGTTGAATCATTGAGGTGGTGGTAAAATGATTTGAGTGCCATTGTCAGAAAAGTGTGTGGAATTGAAAAGGATAAAATGTACCTCTAGAAAGAAAATGCATCTTGAAAAACTGAAACCGCGTAATAACCTTTGACCCCCACTGCCATGCCAACAGATATTGCCCGTGCAGATGAGGATGAGTTGCACGAGATCTACATCACAGAGACCAACATGGTGTACAAGGTGGAGGGGGAATCGCTGGTACCCTGCGACGACTACTGGGGGTCACCGCCTAAATTCTCCATGCTGAATACCAACGAGGTTAGAATAGGCCTTACTCTTGAATGAATGAGAGCACAGTAACGACACAATTTTGGGGTATAATTAGTCGTACCCACGGTTATTGACATAACTTTACAAGTTGATACAATTTTAAAGTGAAATTTCATTTTATTTTTCTCCACAGAAATTTAAAAATTTATAAATTTTCTGACCCCAAAAAAGTACTTTTGGCATCCGTCTCCAACCCTCTTAAAAAACCCCAGATCTGCCTTGCAAGTAGACTGGCTCCCGGTCCTTACATTATTGATTCTGATTATGGGGCGGGAACCAGTCTCTGCTGCGAGAACAACATTATTGTCAAGCTGTAAATATTCAGAAGTTTCTACATCATTGTTCTATAAAGAAACATGACTTGATTTTTTTTCATTTGTTATCTCCTTCAAAAGTAAATAACTTTCGTAATGTTGGAAAAAGAGCAGTTTTAAAAAAAGTAATCTATTTTAGGTGAAAAAACTCAAAAATAGCAATGGTAGTGCATATTTTTAAAGTTGTAATTCAAACCTACTTGTGCAATTTTTACCTTATTATTTATGTTCTTTTTGTGTGTGTGCAGATCTATGTCTTTGACTTTGGGACGGAGCTGTACATATGGCAAGGGAAGCAGACATCCAGCAAGGAGCGACAGACGGCCGCTAAGCTGGCAGAGATCGTATGGCAGCGGGGTTATGACTACAGGGAGTTTGATATCAATCCGCTCTGGCCTGGACATTCCAAGAAACCTATGCACGGCGAGGAACGACCAGAATGGGCACTGTTTGGAAAGGTATGTTGTTGCAGACCTTGGAAATGTATGAATTAGACACCGAGTTGATTTTACAGAACGTGGGCACTGGTAAGACTTACATGCAGTGTTGTAGTACTCATACTCACAAGGAAAAAAAGATCCTGTACTCTTGAAATGTTCTCCCACAGGCATGCTTTTAAGATTACATAATGTACGTTTTAACCAAAACATTAAAAAAAATCCACCAAAAATTAAAGCTATAGTCCATCATTTCCAGCTATCCGAAAGTAACTGGCATAATTATTGTTGAAAAACATACTTGATTGAAAGATAGTGAGGGGACTAAACTCCCTGTGAAATTATTCTTTCTGGTAAGCTGTAATCAAGTAATCAATGAAAGAAGGCCTTTCCAACGGTGCTTCTTAAGACGCACGATAGGAAATTTAAATTAGTATTTCGTTTTGTTATTCGGCGAAGTGCGCGCAAGCATTGGCACAACACACACACATGCTATAATTCGTCGGAGAAGGGCCGCGACATCGCAAAGCTGCAATCAACTCAGTGAGAACGTGTCTCGGACGCTGAATTCAGGCCCAATTCAAAACATGATTCTGCAACTTTTTGATTTGAAATTGAGATCCTAGAATGCTGTTTTTCTCGGAATATACAGCTGAAGCTGAGCTGAAACTTCATCAGGTTAGTTCTTTAGATTTTGAGCACTTTTGTTGCTTCAAACGAACAAAATGCACAAATTACAAATGATGGACTATATCTTTAAAGTGATATACATGTACCAGTGTTGTAGTTGAGTATTTTTATCCGAGTACAAAGTACTGCGGAATACCAAGCTATGGAGTACTTTGATCCTTGAGAACAACTACAGGTACCCAGGTCCAAGTATTTGAACCTTCAAGTACAAGTTTTTTAAGTCAAGTCTGAGTACTGGGACCGCCGAGTAGGAGTACAAGTACTTTATGGAGAACTCAAACAGTTAAAATCTCAAGTAATGAGATACCACGCAGATGCCGTTCACACATTGGGGTCTGTGCATAGACCAACACAAAGGAAATGGAGCCTCTCCACAGCTCGTTTCTATTCAGTAAGTATTGATAAAATGCAGCACGTTACACTCCAAGTAAGGAGACTTTTTTCATTCAAAACTTAATTACTCAATTTTTCCCTGAGTCCTTATAATCGAGTCCGAGTAGTTTGATATTCAAGTACAAGTGCGAGTGTGAGTTTTCTCAAAAAGTACTGGAGTTGTACTCGAGTACGAGTACCAAGTGTGAGTACTACAACACCGACATGTACATGCCACAAAGGCTAACAGGTTGCCTTTTTGGTGAAAGTTGCAGTCTTTTGTCCACAATATGGAAGTTTGTTAACAAGTGCATGTGACATTAGCCTTTAGCGTTCAATGAGTGTAGTTTAGTGTTGATGTACAATTGCTTAAATGTTTCGTTTTATTGTGGTTACCAAGAAACTGTTTGCCATCACTGATCTGTCAAATTGTTTTTCCACTAATAAATGGTATTGAATTGTGAATGCTTTCCATGTGTTGCTTACAAATAGTGTGTGTTTTTATTTATTCTCAGACCACGGAACACATGGAGACAGTTCTCTTCCAGAACAAGTTCATTGATTGGCCGAGTGAATCCAGACTCATCAAAGTGAAAACCAACGAAGAAGAACAGAAGGTATGCTAGATGTAGATGAGTAATCTCATCACATATCCGGGATAACTTGTGGACAAGTTGATCTACAACAAGCCTATCATATGTTAGTTTGTTGCAGGATTCTAAACAGATAAGTTGTGGACAAGTTTATCTACAACAAGCCTATCATATGTTAGTTAGTTGCAGGATCCTAAACATCTGCCCCAGAATGTCAACGAAATAAAGGTATCAGTATGCAAACAATGCTAATATTTTCAATGCGGGAAGATTTCAGGGAATTTGTTCAGAATTTGAAGCTAGTATCCATTAACCAGTTCGCGTCGGTGGACATGTATACACGCAAAGGTCCTGCGGTATTCAGAACGGATGACGGATAAACACGCAGGGAGCGAGGCCGCAAATATCTGTCAGCGACCCGCTCGCAGCGAGCGAGGCCAGAAATATGAGTGTGCTGCCCGAGGGTGATGGCTTCAACCCGCCTGGCATTGAGACTGAGTGAAAAGTAATCCTGCGCCTCATTCCGTTCTTGTCAAAATACTCCCAGCGTGAACTGGTTAAAATAGGGCTGTTGTGGATAATCCTGTCTGCAAGTTTCCCAGATATTTTATGAGATGACTCTAAATAACAAATTACCTGCCAATCCAAATTTACATGTACATACAAACGTGTGTTCACCGTCGATAGTGGACGTCCTATTGTCCCTCTTTTGTTTGTACTCTAACTTTTTAGCAAGACTCCCATAGGTTCTATACACAACCCCAATCGCGGACGTATGCTGGGAATCTCGGACGATATTGTTCTCTTTTGTTCTCTGGTATTTTTCGTCCACGGTTTGAAAAGATGAACACGTACATCTACACACATGATCAAGATGTTTCCGATACACATATATGTAGCTATCTGAAGTCATTTCGGCCGTTCCATTGTCGTAGTACTGTGATCCAACATGGCAGCTTCCTATGCAAATCTCTCATTCATAGCTAAACTCAACACCGGCAAGTTGCTGGTCAAATGTAAAGGTAGGATCTTGTAAGCAGGAGGTCGGGGGTTCGAGTCCCACCTATAAGCTGAGCATGGCAATTTAGGTAAATTTTGTTTGTGTGTTTTTGTCGTTTTGTAGCCTGAACCAGCGCCTGAGTTAGTTCCTTACGATGCTTTTAAGATGATACAACCCAGCAAGGAAAAGACAGATCTCATCCTGGAAAACACAAACCTGGGCAGAGGAAAAGGTGAGTGATATGTCAGTCAATACTTCTGATCAGAGATGTTGATACATGGTATTCATATTAGCATTATTGTTGTAGCTCATGTGCTTATCAATCATTTTAACGAATTGTTGTGGTTGGTTGTTTATATATTTTTAAGAACCTAGCATTTGCGTTAATGTAAGTTTTACATTTCACCCTTAGTTCACCAGTTTATCGGTCGTTTAATGTTTGTCTTGTCCTTGTAATGTATTCGTTTACAATTTAATTCCTTGTTAATGTTTTACAGGGGACTCGCACTCGACAAGCCTTGCTTCTTGCGGGTCCCCTCCATCCCTGCTTTATATCTCTTAACACCACGAAAATTGGTTTACTTTGTCATAGTTTTGTATAATAATAATAACGTGGCTAATTATTGTATAGATGTACCTATCTTGGATGGAAATAAAGTCCAATAAGTACACTCTTATATTAATACGAGTGTTTTCTCAAGCTTTCTTTTTATACAAAAACTTAAAACTTGGAGAAATGTAACCCTTGTTTTTTTCTTTGTTTCATTTAATTTAATAGGTTCGACAGCAAAGGGTGATGGAGGCACAGGTAATCTTCCAAAAATTCTTTTCAGTTTGTGTTTCAAGACACTTAGGAACATTGATAATTACCCCAAAACAGATTTTCCGGCTTAATGAGAATAATACGCAGAGTAGAGATAGAGCCGGTACCAAATACCCTGTGAAATTGTTCCACCTAAAGTGGTATTTTTCAGAAGAAAACAATCCTTGAAGTTGTTTTAAAAGAGTGTGCCCATAGGCAAAGTATTGTCGATGAAGAGCAAAACCCAATGTTCAACCAAAAATATGAATTAAGGAAGCTTGTCAGTTACTTACTCCCTGGCATGCAATATAAATATGCCAAAATATTCCTTGTTTTTCTTTCTGCAGCACACTTTGAAAAGATTGACCAACGAGGCAACGAGATCACCACATTGTCAGTGGTTGTGTGGCACGTCTTGGAGTATGAGCACAGTATTTTACCTCAAGAGAGCTTCGGTCAGTTTCATGAGGGTGACACCTACGTGGTACGGTGGCAGTACAGGGTGGAGAGCACAGGTAGGTCCAAATTAAGTCAGGTCCCCCCCCCCCAAAAAAAAAACGTTGACAATTCTAAAACTTGCTAAAACTGGACTTTATGTCCCTAACTCCCTCACTGACGCTACTGTCACTTGAGACTTAGCTTGGTTGTTGGCTGGTGAATAAGTGGGACAGTGCTATCATATGGGCTCTATGTACAAGTACCCCTTCAACGGCCAGAAAAGGAGAGTTGGGGGAGACCTAGACTGGTTCCCGGTCCATCCACTGCGGACTTTGAATGTATCCATAGTTATGGTGGGCGGGGACTAGTCTGGGAGACCATCGAAAGAGAAATTTGAGCGCCGCCGATGCCTGACGCTCACTTGAGAATGCTCTTCTATATCTATGGGCTAAGCTTTGTGCACGGATAAATAAGTGGTGCGTACTTCGCGTGCGAACCAGTACAATACAGTACGCACACGCAGTGTGTCATCTACTGGGCTCTCAAAGGTGGTAGAAATGCGCCCTCTTTTGTTGGCGCACGGAGCCCATAGGATTACCCCGTAATGGGCTAAATCCAGCCTATTGTGTACACCAGATGCATGAAAAAGTGAATAACCATCGTGAGTCAAGGGCGAACCTATGGTCTGTTGACTGACTACATCACTGACTGACTGACTGAGCGACTGTCACTGAGTACAAATAATGTCCTGAACTGAGTCTTTCAGCTTGACTAGGTACGTCTAGTCTTGTTTCTATTACCTTGATTAGTCTGAGGTCTCAGTTTTGGCCTTTGGGTTCAAGTCTCTTTCTGGAACCTTAGCTTGATGATAGTACCCACAGTAAGCCCAATAATAATCTTGTTGTATGCATGCGAGACCTGAAGGGTAACTTATCCAAGAGCGGCCAGGGCCACGGCCTTCGAGTATTTCATCTAATTCTTCTGAATCCCTAGCTCCATGTTAGTATCCACATTAAGCCCATTTTCTTCTTGTTGCTATGTATGAGAGACCTTAAGGGTAACCTCTCCAAGCGTGGTCAGGGCCATGGGAGGGAGCATTGCGTCTATTTCTTGTGCACCCTTAGCTCATGTTACTACCCACATTAAGCCCATTCTCTTCTTCTTGTAGGTATGCGAGACCTGAAGGGTAACCTCTCCAAGCGTGGCCAGGGCCATGGCCGGGAGCGTTGCGTCTACTTCTTCTGGCAGGGATTAGGTAGTACCATCAATGAGAAGGGAGCCTCAGCTCTCATGACGGTGGAGCTGGATGATGAGAGGGGGCCGCAAAGACAGGTCAGAATTAAGGATCGCAATCCGTTTTCCATTCAGTAAAAGCTAAGTTAAAACTCTCTGGCACATTGACAAGATTGACAAAGAAACAATCTCATCCTGGGGATTCTACAGAATTCTGAAAACTTTAAAATGCATCGCGTTTTACAATTTTATGGCCGGCTCATATAAACACTTTTATTTCAGTCTTCGTTTTTGATTGAAAAATGACAGATTTATTGACATGAGGCACATTTATCTGCTTATCCCAAAGAGAATGCAATCAAAGCCTGGTAGGCACATGAGTGGTTGGAGTAGTATACTGGCTACGTGGGGCACGTGCGGTCTAGCGGTAGAGCACAGGAATCATGATCGTGAGATTTGAGATCGCGAGATTGTGGGTTTGAGCCCCGCCGTGGCCATGCATGTTGTGCCCTTGAGTAAGATGCCTTACCTCCTCTCAACCCAGGTGTTAAATGGGTACCGGCATTATTCAATGCTGGGAAGGTAACAGACTAGCTGTGGAGGAGGTGTGGCGATTCCCCCCACAGCAGCATTTCATGGATTCGAGTCTGGCCCAATTGCTTCGAAAGAGAGATGGGCATTCCGTTCCTGTGAACACATGTTCGTCCCCTTTTATTGGTTAATTGACCATTAACAGCAAAATAATTACCATCTTAACTTGATCATAAATAAGATTTGATACTTTGGATAAAAAGAACCGGTTCTTTTCAGAGCCACACATCTTGTTAACTTGATCAATTCACTTGTGTTTTGATAACTTTCTCCTTTGTATTTCAGGTGATTCAAGGCAAGGAGCCAGCAGCCTTCTTACAGCTCTTTGATGGCAGGATGGTGATACACATCGGCAAGCGAGAGGAAGAAGAAACCAATACCCCAGGTAAGTTGGATATATGAAAACACTGGGTAGGTTTTTATGCTTAATTTTATCAATTCATAGTAGAAACTTACAGAAAATACACATAGCTGTTTGAATAGATTATTCTTGTGCGTTTGGGTCATTATGTCTTCATTTCAATCTGCCCTTGCGCCCAGCAGCATGTGTTCTTTTTCCTCCCTGCGCAAGATGGCATCAACCATACATGTGAAAATCGGATAAAGATCATCTTTATTTACAAATGCCAATACTTGGCTCTTTTTGCAAAATTTCAGACGTTGTTTTTAGAAAACAAATACCTGTTATTCCTGATTGCATCTTTCCAAATAAGTCCTGATAACCCGACTTTGTTATGCGCCTATCAATTGTTTCCCCCACCTCTCCCCTCCCGGGCTGCCCCACCCAAGACGTGGGGATTGTCACTTTTGAAGTGACAAAATCCCCACCCCGGCAAAAATTAAGTGACAATCGGGCAAAATTTAAGTGACAATCCCCAACTAGCCTATGCCCCGACTTACATACGTGGGACGCACTAGTGATTGCCTTTCCATTAGTACGCCAATGTTAACAATGTAATTTGAGTTACCAAAATCCCCACCCTGGGGCATGAAAAACGTGACCAAATCCCGACATCTGACCTGGGGGGGGGGGGGGACATTTGATAGGCGCATTACATTTAAACAAACATTGTTACAAACATTTAAAGCTTTGTCGTTTTGTTCTCATAGACAACAATTGTTAAAAATGTAAGCGCTTAGAGTTCCCTCCCAATTGGATCGTCCTTTTTCTTATTTCAGGCCCCAATAGGCTGTACTGCGTCCGCAGCGAACACACCGAAGAAGGCTTACTGGTAGAGACAGAATGCAAGACCACCCAGCTCCGATCTAGAGCCTCATTTGTCCTTCTCAACCTCAAAGAAAGCCTCAACAGAGCAACTGTATGTGTATGGCATGGTGCCAAATCCTCCAAGGCTACTAGGGCTGTGGCGGTGCACGCCGCCAATATGCTGAAGGAAAAGTGAGTGAACTGAATGATTCCAAAATACTGAGCCCCTTCCTGAATGTGTCCAGCATCTTGTGTGTAATTGTATTTACAGTGTCTGAGTCGAACTGTTTATGGACCACAGGTCATCATCACAAGTCCATCACCAACTTCTTTGTTTCAAGCTACAGTCCATCATTTGCAGCTATCCAGAGAGTAACTGATGTAATTATTGTTGAAAAACATACTTGGTTGAAAGATAGTGAGGGAACTAAACTCCCTGTGAATTATTCTTTATGACATGTTGTCATTTTGAAAAAAATCTACGAAAGAAGGCCTTTCAGACGATCGTTGGAAAGTGCCGTTAGTATTTCGGTTATTTATTCGGAGAAGGGCGCACAAGCGTTAACACGACGCACAATGATAGACTGTACCTTTAATACTGTTTATCCCCTATTTCTTGTGACCGGACTTGTGAATTGACCTTTGATTTGGGCCATTTATTAAATTTTGGGTCCTAAGTGTGGCATTCTTCCTGTCCCTGTTACCTTGGTACTTTGTAATTTACCATTCAATTATCATTTCGAAAGGCTTCAAATTTTTGTTTTTATTTGTTGGGTAGGTGGTTTGCTGTTCATAATTACTCTTGGAGGATGACTACATGAGGAATGCATCCAGAATTAAAAAAAAAAAAAAAACAGGTGTCAGATGTAACAGGGACAGGGAAAAAGTGGACCCCAAATTTCTAGAATGACCCATTTAATTGTAATCCAGCACACTTTCGTGTACTTTAGCCAGTTCAAAATATGTTTTTACTGTCTGAGCAGCCTCCATTTTCTAAGATACAACTTTGTTTTGTCTTCCAGTAAGCCTCAAGAGATGGGAATGAAGGAGGATTGGACAGTCAGCATTGAGGAGATGGAGGAAGGACAGGAGACAAGCACCTTCAAGAAGCTCCTGGGCGTGGATCACAGTGCTTATGATAGTGCAATAGGAGGTAGGTTGGATGCAGAGACAACTGTTGAGCAGAGTTGTGATCAAGTTATAAGTCCATCACAAGTCATCATAAGAAGATTGCAACTCAATCAGAAAGGAGTCACAAGTCCATTAAAAGTCCATCACAAGTTAATCACATGTAATCCACATGTAGTCTCCATCTTCTTCTTGCGTGTGAAACCCCCCAAAAAAGTAGATAAATCTCTGGGTGCTTGCTGAGAAGCCACTTTCGAATTGCTGCATCTGTATCAACATCGATCAGGCCATGGTACTCATTTGGAGGGCGACAGAGGGGGCACTTGGAGATGATGTGGTCAGCAGTCTGCTGCTCCACTCCACATTCACAAGCTGGGCTCTGGGATAGGCCCCACCTCCACATGTCAGCATTGAAACGCACGACTCCGGTGCGGAGCCTGTTTAGTTTAACCCATGCCTGTCGTGGGAGATCAGATCCTGGGCAACTTCTGGATGGTACAGGAATATAGTCTCCATTCATGTGACAAACTAGTTAATTGAACCCCGACAAAGTCATTTGTTGTAAAATTGTTCATCCATTGTTTTGACCTGACATATGATTTGAGTTACGATTGACTTGTGATTGAGTTTTTATTGACTCATGATTGAGCTTGTGATTCAGTTGTGATTGACTTGCTATTGGTGTGGGATTGACTAGGGATTGACTCGGGATTGACATAGGATTGATACGAGAGTATCTTGGATAGATTTTTACACTCGTGGCCAATGGCCAAATTACAGTAAAAATTACAATTGTAAGAAAAAAAAAATTAAAATTACAAAATTAATTTACATAAAATTAAACATCTTATCGGCAATGAAAACTGCATTAAAAGATTCATTGGGTCATAAATTAACCACCAATATTTACACACAAGCGTACTGCAAGTTTTAAATGTACTGCAACTACCTATTTAACAAATTAACAAAATAAGGAATAGGACTATTTCTGCAACAAGAGGTCCGGGTACGGAGTTGTGAGACATTATGGGCACTGCACTATCAAGTAGGGGGAGGAAGGTCCATAGTGCGGCTAGACTTGCAGAGCCCTTACTGTCTTGAGATTAACTCGGGATTAACTTGTACTGACTTGGAATTGAGTTGGGATTTAATGGGAATTGGGATTGACTTGTGATTGACTTGGAATAATTTGGATTAGACTTTGGATTGACTAAGGATTGACTTTGGATTGACTAAGGATTGACATGCGAATGACATGGGATTGACTTGGGTATTGACTAAGAATTGACTATGGATTGGCTTATAATTGAGCTGGGATTGAGATGGGATTTAGTTGGGATAGTAGTTATAAGATTGAATGGGGATTAATTTGGGGTTGACTAGAGATTGACTTAACATGGATTCGGGATAAGCTCAGGATTAACTTAGGATTGACTTTTGAGAGACTTGATTACAACTTTGGTGTGTTTCTAACTCTTGCCTTTTAGCTCACTGTACATGGCCCAATTTCACGTCGCTGCTTAACAGCAGAAAAGTTGTGTTAAGCATAGCAGAAAAATTTGCTAACCTTAAGCACTATTTCACGGCGTGGACGTGCTAACGGTCGCACGTACATGGAGATTTCTATTGTTACGTCACTAAGTTAAGCAAATTTTTCCCCCGAAGTAAGCGTGCCTTTTGCTGTGCTTATGCTTACGGTCTCCATGAAAAAGACGAAGGCTCTGTTAGCATAAAATCGTGTGCTTAGCAGGGCCGTGAAATTGGGCCCATGTCTGGGCCACAGATCACCTGTATTACATGTAGCTGAGCATTGTTTTGTCATTGATTGCCTTTTAGATCCTCTGATATACAACTACACCCCACGGCTCTTCCATCTGACCAGCAAGTCTGGAGTGTTTGTTGCCACTGAGATATTGAATCAGTCTCGTTCAGAGGAGATGTTTACTCCGTATCCATTCCAGCAGACGGATCTGTATGGGGCATCTCAACCTGGTAAGACTAGGTTATTCAAGCAGCTTCTTTAAAAGAGATGTTAAACACCCATTCAAGACTAACGTTCTAGAGTAATTCGGAAAGAAATGGTATTAGGAGTTAGATTTGGGCTTCAGACAGGCGGCTTCTGTGCATAAATTTTCCATTGGCTATAGCAGCATCTGATACCAACACGCTCTTAACAGCTGCAGCAGTCAATCTTTTGAAAAAGTCGATCTTTACATCGGGTTATTCTTATTTGTTTCAAATGTTGAATGTTTTACATACTTTCTTCAAATCTTCAGAATAATTTGGCTCGGTGTGACTCTTGTATGTCGGTCTGAAATGGTCATAAATCTTTGAGATCCTGCAGAATTTCATGGTTTTTTTTTATATATCAGATAACGTTTCTTGTACCCTATACCATGTACATATGTACTCTTAAAGGTATAGTCCATCATTTGTAATTTGTGCATTTTGTTCGTTTGAAGCAACAAACTTTCTCAAAATCTAAAGAAGGGTGATAAACAATTAAGCTGATGAAGTTTCAGCTCGGCTTCAGCTGTAGGATCTCGATTTCAAATCAAAAGTTGCTGAATCATGTTTTGAATTGGGCCTGAATTCAGCGTCCAAGACACGTTCTTACTGAGCTGAATGCAGCTACGCGATGTTGCGCACTGATCCCACGAATTATAGAGGGCGCGTGCGTGTGTGCGTCGTGTCAACGCTTGCGCGCGCTTCGCCGTATAAAAAAAACGAACTACTAACGGAAATTTCCAACGGTGCGACGCACCGTTGGAATGGCCTTCTTTCGTTGATTTCTTCAAAATGACAGCATGTCACACAAAAATAATTTCACAGGGAGTTTAGTCCCCTTGCTATATTTCAACCAAGTATGTTTTTCAACGATAATTACGTCGGTCACTTTTTGGATAGCTGCAAATGATGGACTGTAGCTTTAACAAGCCAACAACAAGGATAAGGCACAAGTGAAATTGTAGTCAGTCAGTGCGTCAGTCAGTCTGTCAGTCAGTGAGGTAGGTAGAAAGAGAACACAAGGTGGGCGGGTGGACGCTCTGAGACCAACAAAGTCTCAACTGAATTTCTGGTCTCCTGTTTTGCAACCCACAGCCCAGTTTCTGTTTGACAATCACTACGAGGTGTACCTATGGCAAGGCTGGTGGCCTGAGGATCAAGATAAGAAGACTGGCTCAGCTAAGATGAGATGGGATATAGACAGGCGGTGTGCAATGGAGACAGTCATGGCGTATTGCAAAGGTGAGATTGCTGATTGATATGCGGTGGCTAGGAGAATTAAGCAAGGCCAAATTTTGTAGGCCAGAGTGAACTAAACATACGCTGGCAACATTTTTCTCACATTTTGCATCACATGTGTGATTTTTTTTCTTGGATTGGTTCACTTTGAATGGTACATGCTTTTGTCGTTTTTAAGCTCATATTTCAAGCAGAAATTCTCAAAATAGTTTCTAGTTATTTAACGGCTTAACCCATTACTCTCTGTAGTGCCCGAAACTGCCATAGCACTCTGTGGTTTTATTGATTCCTCAGTAAATAAATACAATGTAATACAATGTAATACAATGTTGTGTTCATCTATTTGTAATCAACGTTTTGTGAAATACTTTTTGCGCCGAGAAGTGTTGTTAGCTTTGGTTTTGATATTAGTCGAGTCAGACTTTTCCATGAAGTCTTTTTGTTTTCTTGTTACACAGAGAAACGGAGCAAGAACCCACCCAAAGCGTACTTGGTGTACGCGGGCCTGGAGCCCTTGACATTCATCAACTTGTTCCCCTGGTGGAGAATCGACGACCATGTAGCTGAAATCAACAAGAAGGTAGGTGGACTGTGGATCCAGAGATTAAGAGTTGTGGTCAATTCTGCAGAAGTCAATCACAAGTCAATCGCAAGTCATCACAAGTCATCAAAAGTCAATCGCAAGTCATCACAAGTCATCACAAGTCATCACAAGTCAATCACAAGTCAATCACAAGTCAATCACAGGTCAACTAGTAAGTCAAGTGAACAAGGTATTTAAATGACTTATGAATTGACTTGTCATTTACTTGCGATTTGGCTTGTGATTGACTTGTGATTTGATTGTGAATTGACTGGGCCCGATTTCATAGCGCTGCTTAACAGTTAGCAGAAAAGTTGTGCTTACTACAGCGGAAAATCATGCTGCTGCTTAAGCACTATTTCATATGACGTTGACGTGCCAGCGGTTATGCACATGGAGATTGCTATTGTTACGTCACTGATTTAAGCAACTTTTTTCCTCTGGGGTTAAGCGTGCTTTTGCTGTGCTTACTGCTTACGGTCTCCATGCAATAGGTTGAGGCTCTGTTGGCACAAAATTGGCTGTTCAGGAGTGTTATGAAATGGGGCCTTAGTGATTTGAAATTTGTTTTGACGTGTGGACACAAGTCCAACTCTGCTGACATCATTACGCTTTGTTGGTTGCTGTTTTAATGTCTTAAGAGGGCCAGAAACCCAGACACGGCAATTTGTATAAACTATCGGTCAAGCCAGAATATTTTTTTTCCACAGTTTCAATTCCAGTAAGCACACAGTCAGGCTTGGTGATATGTTCAAAGAGTTGATGAACTCCCTAAATGTTATCCAAATTAAGCCTTTCAGTTACTAGAGCCTCAAACCAGCCTCGACTCCAGGGGCGCGTGCTCGTTCCTTACACTAACCCCTGGCTGTGATGATGACGTAAATGACACTGAATGGCTATTCACAGCGTACTGCGCGGGCATTTCGAAGATTGCACGCCGGGCGCGCCCATAATGCGCTCGCGCTCGCGTGCTTAGCTTTGCACGTAACGTCACGTACGAAAAAAAAATTATGATTCAAAAGTCGCGAAGCCTGTACGATATGGATTATGTCAGCCGTGTTTTTCGCTAAAAAAAACCATGTATCTGTGGTTGTAAAGGCACGAAAGTGGGTACGTACATTTAATACAAATCTTTGCTAATTAACACAACGTCCAAACGTTGTGTTTGAAAGGATTGATTCTTCGAAATCACAACTTTTAACATTTTAAAGATGGCGGCCGGCACGTAAAACGGATAAACTGCAGCCCTAATTATAATGTACCGTATTTTGGCACATTTAAATTGCACAATTCCAGGGGTTACGATCGCGCAAGGCATGATGGGAAACAACATGGCACAGCAAGATCGTACCCACGGGGCTCGAGGTTGGCCTCAAACCTCTTGATGAGTCTTGTTAATTTTCATCATTGGTTTGTTTTTTTGTGGTTGTTGTTTTTCTACAGGATGGGAAAAGCGGTGACCATGCTGTTCTGGTCAGCGAAGTCTTACAGAAACTAACCAAAGCCCAGTACACGTTTGCCGAGCTGCAACAGAAGCCACTGCCAGACGGGGTGGACCCCCTCAAACTAGAAACCTACCTCTCTGAAGAAGAATTCAAGGTGAGAAAAGTGGTGTACTTTGGAAAATGGAGTCCTGTTAGGGGGTATTTTCAAAAATTGGGCAGAAAACGTGAGAACATTTGAGGAAACTTTTAGAAGTTGTAAGAAATGTTGTTTACTCAAAAAAGTTTTGAAATGAATTTGTATACAAAATATATTTTGTGCAAATATCCATGCATCTGAACTGTATAAAACATAAAACACCCTCTTTTTTTGGGGGGGGGGGTGTTTTGAATTATTTTAAAAGTGATTTTGTGCTGGTCCCAGAGAGCCAGCCTAGTGTACGCTTTATACATATCTGACTGACGGTCATATTCTACTTAGGCTGATGAAGAGAGCTCCAGCCGATTTCACGAAAAAGTGCGTAGCTTGCGCCATGCGTAGACTTGTGCAACAAATTTGTTGCACAGCTGCGTAATAAACTTACCTTCGATTTCACGAGACTTGGAGTACTGCGCAATGTTTTAAATAATCTAAACATCTTGGACGAGGATAATAACAGCATTTACGACGGCTGTTTGTGTATGATTTTGTTCATTCGCGAAACAGTCGTTGAATCACCTCAGCCCGCCATTTGAAATTAATTTTGTCCGACTTTCTTCGGATTCGTGTGGCAAAGTCCGAGTGTTTTGTGTCAACCTTGATAAGTTGTGAAACAACAGGCGTCACGGCTTTCACCATTTGCTGGTAAAATAAGTCATTTTCAGTTGCTACGCGATTGCGCAAGTTATGCCATAATTTGTTGTGCAATTCGCAGACTTACACACTATGGAACTTTCGTGAAATTGTCATGACTGAAATGTTGCAAAAGTTACGCAATAAATTGTGGCGCAAGTGGATTTATGCCATTGCGTACAGTTTCGTGAAATCGGCTGCTGGGCAGTGCTACCGTATAGTATTGCCCCATAATGGGGACCAGATAGATAAACAATTCTAGTGAATAGCCATTCTAAGTAGAATTGAAAGGATTTTGTGCAATGTGAAACCAGCTTTACTGAATTGCCTAGTCTTGTTTAGTCTTTTTTCTGAAGTTGTTAGTTTTTTTAATTGAGAGGTATATTGTCTCATATTTAGAGAACATGGAATGACCATCATATATCTCATTGTAGTTTTATAATAAAGGCAGTAATGTAATCTGTCAAATGAAAGGATAAACTGTAAAGTTACTTCTAATTGGAAGTCATCTTGAGCTCAACACTGTGCATTCTTTGCTATCCGCAGGAGAAACTAAACATGGGAAGGGAGGAATTCTACAAGATACCACCGTGGAAGCAACTCAAGATCAAGAAGGAAGTTGGTTTGTTTTAACCACGGCACCTCCCTGCGTGTGGGAGTTTTAAAAGTTTGTGCAGGATCACTGACAAGTATGAGTGGTTAGCTCCGAGAACTTTGGAACCGCTTGAAGAAACACATCTGCAATTTGGGACAGTTTTGAAGATATGATGCTGGATTTCTCAGCTTTGGAAAGCCGCAAATCTGTCATCAATAGACTGCCATGGAAGGAGTGACATCTGCGGGCCAGGATTGATAGATCTCTGCATCACAGCCATATTCTAGTTGTGTGCTATGGTTCTGCAGGGATAAACATGAGTAGACGTGCATTCATTGTTAATGGATTCAAATACATGTATCAAAAAGATCTTAAAAGATGGCTGCGCAGTGCAGTGGACCTGTTAGCCTGAGAGCGTGTCCACTCCTTGGGCTTTTTCCCCCAGATCTTGGGAATTTAGGCCAGGGCTTGGGAACATTTCGTTGAGCCTTGTGAATGTTTGTGCATTGAGAACACACAAAAGTATGGATTTGTGAATGCGCAGAATGTTAATTGAAGCATTTTAAGAGCCCCATTCACATACGGTCTGTACTGCTATTCTGATACATAATCCTGGGAGATCTTGGGAAATCTTGGGAATTTTTCAGCGGTCATCTTGGGATTTCAAAATTGATGAGTGGCCACTCTGGCCTGTTGCAGTCGTATCCCGTATGGTGTATCAGGCAGTGCCTCTATTTTGATGAGCTCTCTGTCAACCTGAGGTTTATTAAAGGCATATAGAATCATTTGCATTTGTTCCGATAACTTTTGAATTATGGTCAAAATTCTTACTAGGTTTAAAGATCGTAGTGGTACTAAACACCCTGTGAAATCTTCCGGTCTGGTTTGCTGTCATGTAGAAGAAATCCAGAAAAATGTCGGAGATTTCCAACGATCAGTCAATTGACTGATTTTTGGAAATAGAGAGTGCTATGGATGAAATTGTGTTTCGTAATCAAAAAGTTGTGCATGCTTTTCACTGTTTTCTTGAAAAGTGTCAAATCCACCGAGCTGAAATTTCACTAGTTTAGGTTTTTGAACATTTGTCTTTTCATTTTGAGTGGTGTTATAAACAATGCATGATTGAAGCAAATGATCCTATATGTCTCTAGGTTACCGGATCAAGTCATTAATTTAAGAGACCGACATTCCATTTTTGGAGTAACGGCAATTAAAGTGTGAATGTCTATTCCAGAAACACTTACTGCTTTTCATTGCACAAAACTTGAAACTCATTTTCTGTACATATGTACCATACCTATGTATCCATTCTCATTTGTTTCTCCGTTTTTCATGGTATTGAAGTCGGTCATTTGCAATAGGTTTTTACTGGGTATGGCAGTGGGGACACCTGCCCATCACCCCACATCCCCATGGCTGTGACAGTCCTGTTTAGATAACGATGTAGTACCTTGAGCACCAACTCTAGTGGATATGTGGGCTTTATCAATCCACATTACAGTAGACGAATCTGGTGAGAGCGTTGAAATGCTTGAGGGTGCCCTACTATTTTAGGTCACTGTGGTGTACCGGATGAGTCCGTGGAAATCAACACGAAATAAGGGGTTTCCGTCCAAATTTCCTGAATTATTATGTTTCTGGTTTTAAAAAAGGACAATTTTGGAAGAGAAATGAGAGTAAAGTGCAAGCACCAGTGCACCCATACTTGTTCCGTAGTTGTGGGGATTACACATGTGTTGTTCCGTAGTATTATAGGGACCGAATACGCTATGGTAGAAAGTCCCCAGAACTCGGTCATGGTTTTCATAACAATAAAAACCTTCGCCATAACGCGGTGACAGCCCGCCCTACACAACACATGCACAAATGCACCATAGTCATGAGACCCGTCCACACTATCCAAAGTCTCTTTTTATGGGCCTGGGTCCAACATGTAGATTTCTGGAACCTCATTCCTACTACTAAGAATCCAAAATGGCTTGTACACAGGTCCCAGATGTAAGTGTGAACGGTATGCCTTACCTATCCACGTTCAATGGGACCTGGTTCTGTTTACCGTGGAACCGTGTTGATTTCATTCAACAAGGGTAGGCGAGATGATAGTGTGTAAAGGCTCATGATTCTGTCATTGGAGGGCCGCATTGCCAGAATCGTCTGTAGGGACAAGTACTGCGATAATTCAAATTGATTTTTTTGAGCCTTGAGAAACTCGCTCCAAAACAAACTGTTTGACCATAATATGCAGGAAAATGTATACTGCAGTGATGGAAAGCACAGTGAGTTTGATCTTACGGTGACATGGGTGGCTAGTGTGTAAAGGTCTCGCCTTTTACTTGTGATGCCCAATTCAATTCCCGGCACGGACCATGTGTGAGTAGAGTTGTTCAACGATTCTCTCCTGTGCCTCAAGAGTTTTTCTGCAGGCTCTCTGGTTTTCCTCCTGCAAAAATGCAACACTTCTGATATCTGGCATGGGTCGTATGGCTGATGCTTATTAAAGGCCCCTTTACATGCAAGCTGCTGGACTACGTTGTAGCTGGTCCTTCACAATTCAGCTTCTCAGCTGCTAGTAAGGATGATTAGCCCCCAAAATTAATTAATTACAAACTCCTCCGTTTTCAATTCTAAATCAATGGTATGTTTCCTTTTTTAAGCTAGAAGTACTGCCTGCAATCACATTAGAAATGTGCTGTAATGTAATGTACATATACACAGGAGGGTTGGTAGATGTATTACCTAATGTTTTAGCGGACATTCGTGTACTATGAACAATTTCACAATTCTTAACGAATTTTGTGAGTCTTACAATTGATATTTCCTAACAACAAAAAAATGTAAATAATCTATGTAAAAAAGAGAGGAAGCTAATATGTGAGATTGTGTTTATTAATTCCATAATATTGTCATTGAGAAAGAGGGAAGCGGTACGCGATGAGTTGTTGAATGAGTGGGAATTGTAAAGAATTATGTAACTTCCTATAAGTACTGGTATAATAACATATCAAGCGTGGTGTAGGATTCCTGTATATGTAGTTATTTAGCAGTGTAGAATTCTCTAACAACTCTCTCTTTAGGTTTCGGACCAGTGCAATGAAGGGGCAGAGTACGTAGCTTATTTATTAACACATGTATGCATTGGTGAACTTTTGGCCTGTTGAGAAATTTGGTGTTTCTTCACAATTTTTTGGATACAAGGGTTGAAAATATATCGTTGTGTGACGATGATGAAGTTTAAAAGGAATGTTAACTCTGGTAACGTAAAAAACACATAACTGCCTGAAACAAATATAATGAGTTGTAATTTTGTGTACTTTTCATACAAATATTTGGAATCAAATTTGATGTGTAGGGTTTTTTTTTGGGGGGGGGGGTGTCAAGAAGTAAACCTAATGTGCCAAACCAAATGTCATCAGTAACCGTGGTAATAATGTATAACTGTTGGTATAATTATATTGATTGCTTACTGTGACTTATGTGTATTACAACCTCATTCAATCACAATATCCTGACATTGTTGAGATTATCTACGGATGTCGCTAAATGTCTCCAAAAGTCAGAACATTGCCCAAAACATACGGAGAAATTTCTTTTGATAATTTTTGATAATCAACACGTCTTGGAAGACTTATTTATGGTTTCGGTGAGGCAGGGATAAAACCACTGCCAAAAAAATAAACAGCACGAGGTTGAACAATGTATTTTTGATTGGGCTGAGATTTCCTCAAATCTTCATTTAACTCGAACTCCCTAGGCATTTTTGCTAGGATGCAACCTCAATCCTGCAAAATCCTACAGTTGCCTTCATGTAAAAATGGCATACAGCCTCAATCCTGCAAAATCAATCGTTATTTCTTGAGTGTGTTCCTTGGAGGGGTGACCACTGCCTCAAACCTGCAAAATACCCTGGCCATCATTGTCAATATGTTGAGGCAGAGCCTGTGACATCCTGGAGCAGTGCAGAGGATTTCTAAGTACAATCTAGGCCTAAATTTAAGCACGGCTGAGCATAAACAACACAAGGTCCGGCCCAAGACCTTGACACAGTGCCTCCTTCAAAATCAGCCACACATTTTTTGCCATATAGCCTCAATCCTGCAAAATCCTCCATTTTGCAAAGAGGAGTTGGGAAGGTTTGGGTTAAGTCCCACACATGAACATGACTCTTGAAGCATGTTGTGCACTTTATAATATATGCACTTTACAATTTCTGTATTAAATACTATAATTTATGAAAAGTGCCTTGTTTTACGAAGCACATAACCCAGCACAAAGTCAAAAATGGAATCCTCAAAGTCTGCAACAGTATGGGGAAACGCAGTGTTTGTTGACATGTATAAGAATCTTTTCATCAAATCCATACCTGCAGTAACAGAAATAGATGTGTAACCTTATAATCTATGTGTTTTGTATAAATCATGAAAATGAAACTGCCCATGCATTTGTAAATTCCAGTTTGATACCACAACTTTTGTTAACTCCTTTATAAATAACTGTCTAAGAGATTCTTCTGATGATTTATCAAATTTGTAATTTCGGTGTAATGTGTGACTCTTTTGTGTAATTTATCACGATGCAAATTAAGGCTAGTAATTGAAATATTAACACCATTTGATATTGTTGAATCAAAGATTTCTGATTTATTATACAATCGTTACAATTCCTAGAAGTGATGACGTTTTAGATTTTTAGGCAGTGGTACTTTGAGCTTGTAGTTCATGTATAAGTCAGTTTTAATAAGGGAAAAAGGGACAGAAACATCTTGATCATTCAAAATGTCATTTGGAGCTTTGTTCTCACCTTCGGAAACTAAGTTTGAAAAGGAAACATTGTTTCATTTAAACCTTAATTAAAAATGATTGAAAAACACAAATTTCTGAAATACTAATAAATGTTTGGGAATTAATACTCGAGTGAGGCGTGATGTTACTACTGCAAAAGCTTTAACTCGTCAGTAGGTCTTCAATATTGGGTGAAACTTGATCATTTTTCATTATCAATTTTGTGAAGTTGTTGTAGTTCTGAAAGTATTTTCTGATGAACCAATTTTAAAGGGACGCCTTTCTCAACAAAAAAAAATCTCTTGGAATGTTATCTTGTTGCCTTATGACTGTTGGGTTAAGAAAAGGGAAACATTATCTTATTATTCTTCACTTGAAATTGCCCAAAATTGTGGCAGTCTTGAGATCTGAATTTCCAATGCTCTGGCTTGCTGCAGAAACCGGGATAAATTTTAGGACGATTGATGCAAAATTAAAATCATCCATTAAAAACGCAATCTTATCAGCTGTCTAAGAAATCAGACTGTTTTCCTTTGAACTGTTGTGATTAAACAGTTAGATAATCAGGGTTGCTGGTTAATTGTTTATTTTGTATAGGTTATGCAATGACTAAATCAAAGCAAGATTTGTAGTTGTTCCCCTCATGAATTATCATATTGTTCAGTTTTCATTCCGCCAATATTTTTCTTTTCACTGTATGTGACGTCAAATCTTCAAATTTTTTTTATTGTACCAGGATTCATATGTGTATTTATTAAAATACATGTAGTTGCAATGTTATGTGCCCGTTAATTCATGCAATTTGTGAAGACATTAATGCAAAACCTTGTCCTTTTTTTTCTTCTTTTTTTTGCGGTGTGGGGGGGGGGAGGGGGTTCCATTCATTTATACAATTTATCAGTCGCGTGGGGTAGTATTTTTAACACAGTTGGTGCCACAGAAATCATCAGTGATGAACATCAATGAAGCAGCCTTTGTAAATAAGTTTTAAAACTGTCAATGCTAATGAATATTTTGGTGAACATCATGGAAATCCAAGGTTTATTGCAGTCCAATGAAAAGGTCTTACGGTAAATGAGTGAAAGCTACAGCATGTGCACAAAATGCAATGGAAAACTAATACTTACAACCAATTCAGATCAAAGTTGTTTTTGTTTTTAATTTGGTCCTATTTCCCCCTTTTTTTTGGGGGGGGGGAAGAATGGGTGGTTGTTTTTGTGTTAACACTTGTTCTGTTCCGGAATGGGGGGGGGGGGGCAACGTGGGTATACTTGTACACATTGCTTGAAACAAACGCCATCTTGAAATCCACGAAGGAATAATCATTAGTATGGTTGTCAATTGGCCTGGTGTGATTAATGTGACACAACTCAACTTTAATGAAATAAATACAAAATAATGTCTTCCCCGTCCCCTTTGAAAACAACCTGTGCTAAACTGTGCGTGAATCATAGTACTTACTAACAATATTATATAGAACCACCTTTATTCCTAGGTTTAGCTTCTATCAGTATCTTTTCACCATTTTTTTAACACCTTGTTAAGTTCTTTACGTATCATTTGTTTATATAGCAAAATTGTTAATTGGACAATTAACTTTCTAGACTAATGATTGAGAGTGGAATTTATATATGAAATTGTTATTAATAAACATCATGATTTACAAAACAACAGAATTACTCCTGTGTTATTTGTGTGTTAATATGCTGTATGAACGCGGTTGCCTTGTGTTTGTATGGTGATGGTATATGTTTTAAAACTTTTTTCCATTCTTTAAACTTCAAAAGATGGTTTGTTTTTTTCAAAAGCCCAATTAAAAGTAAAATTTCATAACACCAGTCTCATTTTTGCAGCTTGGACTTGTACACACATTATCAATAAAAGGGCTACATGACAAAGATGTTTCATGTCAATTGGTTTATTCAGTCATACATTTCAATCAGACCAGAACAAAAGGGTAGGACATTATTTGTGGACTTCTTCAATGCTCTATATGCTTGTTGAGCCAAGGATCCAAACATAACGATTTGAGTTTGTGCACTTGGCTTCAAAATGGTCGTTGAAATGTTCAGAACTAAAATCAAACCTTCCTATTGTAGTAAGTAGATGTAGTGGGAGCCGTGTCATGCGAGGAATAGGTCAATGTGAACGGCATGTCGGTTCTATCCTGGTAAGTATAATCACATATTGCACATATAAAAGGAACTGATGTTGGTAAAACATTTGATATATGTCAGTTCTTAAAATGAACAAATTATCGGGAATTTTTTGGTAAGTTGAGAAGGCATAATGACATATGAATGCCATTATTGTTTTGTGGTAAAATATTTATTTTACTGCACCTTTCTGTATTCTGTTTAACACGTTATCAATATTGCCTTCATATCACATTAAGTACTTGGTAAACAGATAGTGGTATTCCAACTAGTACACAACTAAACTTGGTATGATTGGTATGATTGGAAAAACAAACTCCTCCTGTGCTGTTAAGATGTAAGGATTCCTATAACCTCAAGATGGTGTGGACGAGACCCTTATGGCAGTAGGGAGTCTGCAAAAGAGAGAAATTTTAAAAACAAATTATGTCGGCAACCTTTAGTGATTGACACCATTAGAAAAACCCTAGAAAGAGAGTTCTCTTTTTTATGTGAACATGTTTATTTCCGGTTTGGAGTCTGGACACTGAAAATCAGCGTCCAGTCTTAAACACTATGTTTAAGACTGGTTTACAGTGTTTAATAACAGCCAAGCACCTATTTATTCCTATTCATAAACACATTTTCGGTCAAGCAATCAAAACTTTTCGGGCCAAAAGTTAAAGCAAGTCAAAGATTATATATTTCCAACGATTTTTGTTCAATAAATTTATATGTTTTTCGAAACACCTCTCTAGCTATGTTATGATACGTCCTGCTCCCGAGTAGTTGTAAACAACTTGCTATTCGGACATTGGCATGTACGTCGACTGTGTGCAGAACGCAGCTGCGCCGGTGAAGTGTGAATTTAGGACTATGAAATATTACTCGCTGGTAGTATTGCGCAAACCTATAAACGTGAGGATTGTGAATGTTCAACCAATAAAACGGTAAAAGGCACTGGATTTCATAGGAGCCAAAATTTCATGTGACGTGACACTGGAAAAGTGTTTGAGACCAACCAACCGGTCTTTATCAACCGTTTAAGACCGGCCACGTGACGGGCTATCGACCAATAGGAATGGGTAACTTGTTTTTTAGGTATTTATGAAAGTCGAGTAAAAGGAAGAAAGCTGCAGTAGTGGGAAAATACAAGATGGAAATCTTTTCCATAACAATTGCTAAGTTCTAGATATAAAATCGAACATCCTGCTGTTGCCTTTTAGCTCCCGAATCTTGCACAAAAGTTTATGGCCAATTTTCATTTTTGAACCATAACTTCACAAAATGACAATAAAAAGAAAAGAAAACAAACAAAGAAGGATGGTATCATCAGATATACGTACTGGTATTATAAGTATTGCATTCGTGGTATTGTCAGATAAATATGTCACCACAATATCAAATAACGACTGTACGGCTTCACTCACCAAGTCCACAGAACTTCCAGAGGCCATAGTTATGCTGGCCACCGGTGCAGTAACCGCAGTATGAGACTGGTAGAGGGTTAGGATCCTGCCAGGATAGCAGGATGTGCTGAGCACTGGAATAGCTGTATGGTAGAGGAGGGAAGAGTCAGGGTGTTAGACTGCGAAGTGTCATTTGACTGATATTTTTTTACCAAACCTAATACAAGATGAATGCAGTTTGTGTATTGTAATAATTAGTGCATTTTTATTGCGCTCTCTCCAGAACCAGCCTGTTCGAGAGCGCATTACATATGTAAGAATAAAGTAAAAAGTAAACAGATAATTAAATCAATTGCAAAAATTAGCAAAATACACACAGATAAATATCAAAACTCACAGGCAAAAATACACAATAACCATTAATTAAAAATAAAAACAACCCAGCCCCCCCCCCCCCCGAAGTCAGACGCACAGGCAGAAATTAAGAATCACTAAATGCTTGCTTAAAAAGGAAAGTCTTAAGTATAGTTTTAAAAGAACACATTGAATGTTCAATCCTGATGTTTAAGGGCAAGGCATTCCATAAACTAGGTGCTGCTGAGACAAAAGCACGATCTCCTAAAGTAGACAGCATTTTACCCTTGGGATAATCTAATAAAAATTCACTTGCAGACCTAAGACTGTAACGCTGTCAATTACGGATGGTGATTTGTTCCTGTAAATAACTTGGTGCTAGACCATGTAAACACTTAAAAACCAGCAGTAAAATCTTAAATTCAATACGAAACTTGACAGGAAGCCAATGCAATGAGCTAAGAATGGGAGTAATGTGACACCTTCGATGCGAATTCGTAACCAGCCTTGCTGCGGCATTTTGAATCCTCTGTAACTTAAACAATTGACGATCCGGCAATCCATAGAGTAAGCCATTACAATAATCCAAACGACTGGTAATAAAGGCATGGATTAAAATAGTTAGTGATTGATAAAAACTTACTGATACGTTTTATATTATGAAGATGATAGAATCCAGCGGAGCAGACTTTGTTGATGTGAGTACTCATAGACATATTTCCTTAATATTTGAGTCGAACCATGAACCTAGATTTCTAACATGACTAACTGGGACAATGCTGGTATCACCTACTAAAATGTCAGGGATATTAATTTTAGACAGCTGCTGCTTTGTACCAAGAACAATGAACTCAGTTTTGTTATCATTTAACAAAAGTCTGTCATGAAACATCCAAGACCTAATATCTTTAATGCAGTTTACCATGGCTAAAATTGACATCACACCACCCAAAACAGACACTCTTGTTTTACTATACTCTTGAGGACAATGCTTTGTGTTTCCCTTTGTCCCTGTAATATGACACTCTCCCATAGACTAAGCACACAAACTTACTACAGAGGACTGTTTCCAACAAAAGACCCAACTCCCAAACCTGAAAGGATCTGTTGTTCTCCCTTTGCGTGTCAGTCCTAATGGGTTATGTAGAACACATACAGCCTTACTGTTACTCCTTATGCTGCCCCAGCATTTTATGGTTCATTATGGTTCATTAGGTATACAAATGTATAAGTTATGCTACAAGCATGAGTGAAACATGGAATAATGTAGTTGTCTGCATGCATCACATATGCCACAAGGCCGCATTACCAAGTGGCATATGTGACACAGACGCACTACATTTTCTGCGTTCCACGAGCATGAGTGGGATAACGACTTTCAGATGGAACATGCATGCTGTAAACAAAATTTTCCACGATTATCCTAACACACTTGCATGGAGGATAAAAACCGCGTGCATCTTAGAATAGCGTGATACACAGAGTGGGATATATGGGCGTATATACGGGATATTACCACACTTGTTGCCATGGATCAACCAATCAGGATCGAGGATCTAAGTTTGCTTGAAGATAAAGTATAATGTACAAGTGCAAATGAGTCCCTGATGTACCTGATGGTGATGGTTCCGTCAGGAGAAACACCAACGTAGATATTGGTGTAGGAGTAGTAGTTCAGGACCCAAGGATGGGCAGCGTAAGCCACGGGATCGCAGCCGGCACAGCGGGCGATGGACACGCCCACACCATGGGAGGAGCCAATGATGATCTCATACATGTCCGGTAGGTTGTGGTTCTCGGCCGACAGGGCAATGTAGACGTTGGTGTATGCATAGACCTGTCAGTCAACCAAAATTGAAACCAATATGTAAACATTTCTTAAACCTCTTTTAATGATTGTTTTTTTTCCAAATGATACCATTTCAGGCAGAATAATTCCACAGGGTATTTGGTAGCAGTCCTATCTTCACTTTGAGCAAGCATTTTCTTGTTAAATTGGTCGCTATGTTTCTTGGTAATTGCAAATGTTCCTTGACAAGCTTTTCATATAGCTTTTTAGGCAATCCCTCAGGCCTGCATGTGGTACAATTTAATGTTTTATGTTTTAATGTGTTTGTTTGATAGTTTCTTGTATCGTAACTTTTGTAGTCTGTCCCTTTGATCTTCTTTCCCTGTCTAGTAATTTTTATGCAATGGAATTTCAAAACTGTCATATATTTATATATTTTAATTGTCTTGTTGCCTGAGAATTTATCTAATATATAAAAAAATAAACCGAGATTTGGATATTGTATGACATTATTTCCAGAAAGAAAATTCTGCATTTTTTCAGAAATATGAAAAATATCCCATAGTGATGAGAAACAAGGGATGGGTGATTAACCATCCTAACCATTCCCAATCTACTTGAACAGGCTGAAAATTAATGATAAATAATTTTTGGCGAACTGTAACAACTTGATTGGGAATAAAATGCCCAAATTGAATACCTGGAAATGAACAGTGTGGCTCTGCAGCAGGCCGACATTCCATATGTACTGGTACGGATCACTGCCGTACGTGTGTGCTGGAGCATACAAGTCACAGTCTGTATAGGCACATGGTTAAAAAAAGACAAGAAAGTGAGTTAATAATAATAATAATAATTTGGGTGGCTAATCATCCTTACTGGCAGCTGGTATGCTGAATTGCGAAGGACGCGGCTACAATGTGGTCGGGCCGCTGGCACGTAAAGGCGCCTATGGCTGCCGGCCACATCGACCCATATATGACCACGGAGCACAGCCTGAGATCGAAAATGTTTGATTTTTCCGGAGGGAGGAAAACCGGAGGGCCCGGAGAAAAAACCTCGTGGCACAGGAGAGAACCCTACTCACATGTGATCCGCGGCCAGGATTCGAACCGTGGTCACTTTGGTGAGAGGCGAGGGCTTTACGCACAAGCCACCCATGCCACCCTATTAAAAAGGGCACCCTTTATTCTTTGAAATATGTTTAAAAGTGCAGACTTTTCTAAGCTGCTAATTGGGCAGTATTATTGTGATGTTCTTCTCTAAGAAATAGAAATCTAAAGTCTCAATACATAAGGAAGTGCATTAAGTTTACCTATTGGCTATCATGCTTTGAATCCACAAAATAGCGCAAATAAACTGTCTTGTTTTGTTCAACAGCTGAAGCTGCGGCCAAAGATGACATCACTGTTTTGCATCAGACATGTATTTTAGCATAAAAACCCTCCAAAAACACCTAAAAACACTAAAGGATTCCACTGAAAAAAAACCAGAAAACAAATCACATATCCATTCATCAATCATAACAGAGATTCACTTACCATAATATGGTGGGTAGGTGATATGAGGTGGAAGGCCGCCATACTCTGGAAGTTACAAAAATAAAAAAAAATACATTTTTAACGGTTTTTGAGGAAATTAGGCAATGTAAGAGTTGATCACTGGAATAGTGTGAACTTTTATCTAGAGGCAAGTACGAGCAAGGACCAGTGGTTAACGAGTGGTTGGTTTGTGATGTACCTAGCGCATGCGCACTGAAGTTGAAGTGCGAATGACTCTAGTCGAACTATTGTCATGTCAACGACCGTGAGAAAATGGCAGTCCCACAATTTTTTCAACACTTGATGTTTCTGTTTATTTACACTAATAAAAGTGATTGTGTAGTTTAGAACACCTTACACAATTGCCATTATTATTGTACAATGGTGACAAAATCGTAAACTAACATGGAAAACTATGCAATGAAGATGAAATTTAACACTCTGCTTTCGTTTTTCCTCCTTTTTTTGGTGATAGTTGGTCCCCTCTTCAATTTGATATGAAAAATTGCTATTGATAACCAGCTATATCATGGTGAGACCAAACACGGTAGGCTGGTCCTGAATAGTCGACTAGACTAGTCCAACCATCGTCGACTAGCGTGCGTTTGGTCAGAGTTAGTCGAACTATGGTTAACTATAATTCTTGATCGAACTTGCCCTAGGCCTATCTTAAAAGTTTTAATTATAAAATGAGATCATAGTGCATACATGATGTATACTTCAAAGACTGATCACATAAACTCACCGACATTGCAGAAGTGCCAGTATCCAATGGCTTGATAGGAACTGGCGAAACCAAAGTACTTGATCCAGAGCTGATCAGGGTCAGTGTAGGTCAAGATGGGTTCATGGGAGCCACCCACACCTACGATGATTGTAGCATGGTGCCACCAGATCCAGAATGTACGGTACTCATAGGGAGACAGGGCACCATGCAATGCTGCCTAAATGGGTAGAATTTAGTGGAAGATACTGAATTTTTATTTTTATTCTTATATTTCAAATAACAATTTATGATTTTATTTCAAACATTCAGCTTGACTTAAGGCTGATACTTCACACAAATGTAAAACAAGTTTGATGACAGAAAACATCTGTGGCAAATTGGAGAAAGTGAAGAACGTTTGTAATCGCTGTTGGCGGCGCAATGCATATTTTTTATTCAAAGCCGTTTTTCTCAAAGTGAGGTTGGCGAAGATTGGCGGGACAGTGTTGAAGTTCCTGTGGCATGTATTTGGAATAAATTTAGCTCCAGAAATCAATTTGGTATCATTGGAAAGCCAATGATTTGCGCTTTAACATAATGTACATAACTTGAAAAGTCAAAGGTGGGGGTTTTTCCTCATTATGCTATGGCACGTCACATATTAGAATATCAGTGAGGGTTTCAAGAGTTTTACCGAAGCAACAAATTCGCCGCCGGCCTGTCTCCTCAGCAGCACCATGCTGTTGTCGTAGCCGCCAAAGATGATCTCGTACATGAGAGGGACCTGTTTATTCTCAGCCGAGAGGGCCACGTGGGCGTAGCCACTGGCTTTCACTGCGAAGGTGATGTGACTGGTCTGTAGATGACCAAAGATGAAATGCCAGGCACCGTCACCATAGGTCTGGTACTCATCATGGCAGGCTAGAAAACAAGGTGATCATAAGACAAAACAGATAATAAGCTTTCATAGGCGAGGGTAATCAACTCAATAATTGCGGGGGGGGGGGGGGAAGAAAAAAAACACAAATTAAAAAAAATCATCACGGCCCTGTATTAAAATGGAAAAAAAAACTAATTTTAGACACCCACAGGTAAAAAAAACAAGATACAATCAAATACTAAAACTAACTGGAGCAATTGTGTAGAAAAAAAATTTTTAAAGGTGAGCATGGCCAAGATCCCCCAAAAAATAAAGAAAAAAAAATTTGATCTGTTTAACTAAATAATTTAAGAAAAACCAGATAAAGAAAAAACTGATAATGCGCTTTTATAGCAAGGGTTATCAACTCAAACAATTGAAGAAAAATATGGAAAAAAAGTTAAATAAATCATCAGGGCCCTGTATTAAAAAATCCTCTAATCTTAGACTCGCAAAGGTAGAGAACAAGATACAGTCAAATACCAAAAACTTGAGAAATTGTGTAAATTTTGTTTTTAAATGGAGCCTGGCCAAGATCCCCCACCCAAAAAGAAATTCAATCTGTTTAATTAAATAATTTCACATCTACAATAATTGCATTATATGACTCTATTACACACATGTGACTCATTTGTCTTGATCTGGCCTCATGCCCCATCACTATTTCATCTGCTTTGGAGTGGACATTTTGAAACTCTTGCTTCCAGCATATTTTTTTAAGACGATGTGGTCTACCGTATTAACACATTTTAAAAAATCTATCACTGAAAGAAAAAAAGCTTCAGTCAAGTTACTCACCAACACAAGGGACGCTTGCACAGGCCGTGATGACGGCATCCGAAGACTGGGCCCACTTCTTCTGGGCGGCCGTTGAGGGCAGCAGATTGGCGCAGATGTACTTGTACTTGGCGGTGGAGCAGTCAACTCCGGTGAGGTCTAGACTGACAGTCAGTGAGGCGAATATGGACTGGATGTTGTCAGCAATGTCAAGTTTCTTCTGGGTAGCGGTCAGAATTGCCTCGGCAAAAGCTGTAACAGGCACAATTGTCATGAAAATGTCTCTAAACAGCAATTCAATATTTAGGTTTTTGCCCTTCACCGATGTATTTGTTTAAAACATTTTTTAGTTCTGTGGCATTATGCATGGGCGGGTGTGTTCAACTTTCTAAGACATATTTACGGTGTAATTCTGCAAATTCTGAGTTCATTAATACTTGTGTCCTTGGGCAAGACACCTTGTCACAATTTGAGTATTAAATCTGTGACACGTCTAGTTATCTAAGCCTCTTGAATGTTTTCCATGGTCATCACTTAAATGCATCAATTTAAAGACAACTTAACTTGAAATGTAACCTGTTCAATCAGAATTGCACAGCATTTTCTTCCTCGCCTTCCACCGCTGTGACCTGGGTTTGATTCCTGCCCCGGTCCACATGTGGATTGGGATTTCAGTCCCTGCCTGATTCCGTGGGTTTTCCCCAGAAAAATACTCTCGGGTTTTCCTCCCACCTCTAAAACTGTAATGTCTTTTCATTGTCTTCTCTCTACAGGTTTCTTCAGGCTTGCGAGCTACAGTGCCTAGGGTGCTTTTGAGGAATCCTTGGTTTCATGACCAGATATAAATAATAATAATAATCTATGCCTGTTCGGTAAAATGCAAACATGAATGGCTGTTATAGATTGACGTCAAGATGTGGCCCATTAAATTTAAGTAAATCATTTGTTTTAACTTAGGATTCACATTTATATGTGGTCGAACATTAGGTTACAATTAACTGGAGTTGGGTTTGAACTTGCAATCTATGGAACACAAATGTCTCCAGTGCTCTACAAACCAAGATACGTGTAACCAGCCCTGACTCCCAAATTGTCAACGTTCAGTGAGCATTAGTCAGAACCTTTAGATTTTGCAAATTCTTATTTTATCATTGTTAATTTCATGAGATTTACTTTGGTTTTGTTTTTTGAATGGTTGCTTCTGAAATGCAAAACTCACCGGTTGGGTAATCCCCATGCAGATTCTGTGCCAAGTAAACCATGACCAGGTACCGGTCATCCCCGGCCCAGTTCACAGGGGGCGATGAGCCAGTCGTTGGGGTGAACTTGAGGTCGAAGGTTACAGTGGTGGCACCACCGTCAACGATGTAGTGCGGGGAGGCAATGTCCAACACATTGACATTGAGTTCAACATTGGCTGAAGATAAGACAAAAAGAATTTCCACTTCCAAACTACTGCTATTTTTATGATCAATATGTGCTTTGTAAAGCCGCTTCATATTCGGTGTGAAAGCAAACGCGAACACGAATCTGTGACGTCATGGCAATTTTTTGCACCGTGAATTTGAACAAGTTTAAATTCCGGCTAATTTCGCAACAAATGTTTCCTTGCCTGAAACATCGCATTTATATTCACATGAAGTAAGAAACAGCCTTTTCTTAAAAGAACTTGAATACCTTTGCCATATTGAATTCCTAAGCTATAATGAGCTACGTGGCTCATAAATGACATTTTTTAAAGACCAGGGCCCAATTTCATAGCGCTGCTTAACAGCCGACTTTGTGCTTACCGAGCCTCCATCTATTTCATAGGGACCGTTAAGCAGTAAGCACAGCAAAAGCACGCTTAACCCCAGAGGACAACTTCGCTTAAATCAGTGACGTAACAATAGAAATCTCCATGTGCGCGCATTTGTTAGCATAAAATACCGGTAGTGCTTAAGCAGCAGCATGATTTTCTGCTATAATAAGCACAACTTTTTTGCTTACTGTTAAGCAGTGCTATGAAATTGGGCCCAGAGCCAGTGCCTTATCAATTCACAATAACAGGAGGCCATGCAGCTACTCTACATACACATTGAGAAAATATTGGTTTCATTATCGTAAATGAATGATAATAATAACAATAGAGCTCGACCGTAACTTTTGATTTCCCTAGCAAGCCGGGCTAAATAGACCCTTAACTAGCCCGTGGACCTTTTTACTAACCCACATGGGGTTTTTTTTGCAGACAAACGTTTGATACAATCCTTTTGGAACCATTTTGCCCTCATTATTTGCGAGATAGACTTCCTGTCCTTTCATCGTTGCTGTTTCCTAAGGGTAAGTAAGGAATGGTTTGACTAGCCCGCCGCTGTTTTGACTAGCATTTGGCTAGCAGGCTGCCGCTAATTTCGAGTCCTGAATAATAATCTATGCCTGTTTGGTACATTTGGCTCATTTCTTATTAAGCTCTGTTAGATTATTTCTGGACAAAAAGGTCTTTCTGCAGCAAATGTAGCCATGAAGGCAGGAGGCAGTGTAATTTTAACTGCATTAATTGGCAACCTGTGCGGTGAGAAAAGCCATGAGTACAGACTGGTCGTTTTACAATTGATGAAAAAAAAAGTGTCTGATCCAGTATGGGCACTATTCCTGTTAACAAGAGAATGGTCTCACCCACAATACAAAAAAATTATCACCACCCTGAACAGTTTAGGCACTTACGGACACAATAGATGGGTGTGCATATCTGGTTGACGGCGGTAGGGAGTTGATTCCAGTAACACCGTGCAGGGGGTGCTGGCTGGATGTTGATGCAGACATCCCAGATGGGGGTCTCGTGACAGTCAATGTATGTCAGGTCAAACTCCACGTCAACCTGAGGTGAAGACAAGAAGAAAAAAAAAGGGGGAAAAAGGGCAGGATGGTAATTGCTTCAACTGGTTAGCTCCAGTGAGTGCGAACTCAAGTTTAAATGTTTGGCAACAGATTAGTTGCTTTGACTAGGGTCCATGCACTAAAACAGTAACTTTCAGCAAACTATATGTTGAACTACAGGTATAATGCTTGACCAAATCAATAAAATTGCCACTCCTTCAAGGATTGTATGATGAAAAATTGTCTAATTGTACACAATATGTGTATAAACTCACGACTAACACAGGATTTCAAGCCGATTCAAAATTAACACAAATGCAAACACAAAACAAACTTGTGATGTGAATGGCAGCCATTCACACTGCCATTTCCAACAGTTGAATGTTTTGTTTGTTACTGCAAATGTTTCATAACATAAATTTGCTTAGTATCTGCCTTCAGATTGATATGTGAACTGGCCTTAAGGCCAGAATTTTCTGAATAAGCTCTGAAAAAGCATTGGTGAAAATGGACAGCATTTGTTATGAGCTTATGATGTGTGTGGCTAGGCAAATATTTCAACAACGATCTTGTAGGGACCAGTAAATTGGACACATCACATGCGCCTATAGGTCTCTCTCAAATGACATCATTTCCTACGGACCAGCCACGTGCTTGGCCATTTTTAACGTCAACTTGCATAACGCGCGACGGCAGCGCGTCAGATTTTGCACACGTATGTTTGGAACTTTTTCAACACTGCGCAATGCGTGCTTGATTGCGTAAAATACGCAGTTACAGTTCTCCTACAGAGATGGCCATCTTTGAGAGAGACCTATTGGGTCACGCGTATACAGCACAAAGTACACGCAATCAAATATATTATTAATGTGCACAAAGCCATAGTGTCTTTGCGTGAGCAGCATGAGCATTTGGTTTCAATGAAAATGAACTACCGTTGCATGTCACTATGAATTTCAACACCGTGAAAATATAGTTTGCAATGAAGTGCCGTGAAATCTGTTTTCACTGCCAAGTAAGCTCATTTTCAAGGTGCCAAACTGGGCCCCTCAGCAGGGGATAAGCTCACTGCAGTTTCACAGTGTTTTTACATGGGTCTTCTGGTCCAAGGGTATTCATAACTGTACAGCAGGTCCAGCTTCCGTCCACTGAAGGTGTGAAAACCACAGATTAATGGTCTGAGTGATTACAGGATTAGTGTGATTGACAGCTACACTTACTACCCAATGCCCACTGCCCAAGTACACAAAAGCTACAAAGTGTCCTCCTACAAGTATTCAACACCCTGTTTATTGTGATCACCTCGTTAAGATTGACAGGCAATGTGCCTTTTTATGAGGGGGATTAGGCCCCAAAGTTGACAAACTGCTCAACAGATTAACGCAACCACAAAGTTAATGAGCTGGGTTCCACAGGAGGCGTCAATGCATTTTCACGATGTTTTTACTTGACCTTAACATGTCCTGGTTGCGTGATGATTTTCAGGGTGATTTCACCAGATACTTTGCAATGACATCGCCGTGAAAAAAAGTCACGGTGAATTCATGTCAAACTATATATTCACTCCAAATTCACGGTGTTGAAATTCATAGATGATGGGGTAGTTGTGCAAGAAGCCCATATCAAAGATACAAAGACAGTTTAACCCTTACCTCGGCCATCATGAACTGCTGTCCGTTGGCAATCTCCTGCACTTGGAACTTCTCCAGGATGCGCCCCTGTGTGGTGGCCAGCGCGCCATTGCCTGCGGCGTCCTGTGCCAGCCAGGTGGTGATTTCGTAGCGGTCCACCCCGGTGGGGATGGCATTGATGACGTCGGCGGCCGAGGTCGTGCTCAGGAAGATGCACAGGAAGATGTTGGCAATCCCGCCGTCATGAATGATGAGACTGGTGGGCCAGTCGATGGTCAGAACATCCACGTTGATGTCCACAGATTCTGCAAAGTGTGATCGGATACCCACAAAATGAGTCTTAACCCTAACTCCCTAGGCGGTGTGCAAAATCATCTTAAAATTGGAGGATTCAGGACTGTTAGGGCTATGGGTCTGAGTTTGTTTCTTAGCTTTTGTAGTGCAATAGAAAGAACATCATGCACTTTTCTTTCTGATACCACTCTGTCTGATTGGTGCCATTCTATGCAAATTCAGGTACTCCCTCCCAGCCCTTCCCCCCACATGTCTAAATATATTTGAATATATTTTTGAATATATATACATCTGAATAAATTTGAAGATTCATGCCACAATTAATTTGATAACAAAAATCAAATGAAGTAAGATAAAGGGACAAAGTCTGGCAATATAGTGCTGTTATTAAAAAAATTAATCAGTTGAAAGCCACTATTAACCAGTTCACGCCGATATTATTTTGACAAGAATGGAACGAGGTGCTGGATTACTTTTCACTCAACCTCATGCCAGGCGTGTTATTTCCGGCCTTGCTCACTGCGAGCGGGTCGCAGACAAATATTTCTGGCCTCGCTCCCTGTGTGTTTATCTGTCATCCATTGCGAATACTGCAAAATGTTTGCTGGTATACACGTCCAGAGCCTGACCTATTTAATGGATCATTACGACCTTATGTGGGCAAAAATGTTTCTGTCCCTTCTGATTTCCATTGTGCAAAATTTGTAAGAATTAGCCCCAATACACAAGGTAGCTTTCGCAACCGCTTGTGGCCGACTCTGTTGGGTTAGGTCAAATAAGATATCACTGATTATCACTGTTTGGAATGAGTTCATGTACACCAGGAGGAATACAAGGTTTGATGAGCCAAAATCTGTTTACATTTTCATTTCTTACGCCCATTCAAGACTTGATAATTTGAAAGGCCCATGTACAGGGTGAGTCAAAAAGAAAGTTACCCAATTTGAAAAATATTTTTTAAATATTTAGCTTACTCCATTTCACACAAAAACGTATTTGGATAAAGTACATCTTATTGACTTTTAACTGTGCAAATTTCCCGTAATATTCCCAAGCTATGTCTATTTCAATAAAAAGATCACAAAACTCGGCTGTACGTCCGCCACTGATCATTTACCGTTCTACGAACCGATGAATGCCTATTGGGTACAATGAACGGTGGACGTGTAATCTGTAATACTCCCCCAGCTCAAAAGGTTCTAATGGCATTCCATGGACAGCAATAAAAATGGGTTCTTTTAGTACATTGTATAACATTCGTAACTCCTGGATCAATTTCAGTAATTCTGTTTTGAGATGAGTGGAAGAAGATGCTCCTTTCAGATATACTTAATTGGTGTTTCAAATTTAATTGCTTTTTAATTTTGGGTAACTTTCTTTTCAAGGAAATATCACAAGGAATTTACTCTTAAAGTTTCACTAAAACTGTACAACTCACCACCACAGCAGATCGGGAAGCAGCCGATGGTAACGGCATTATCCGATTGCTTCCAGACCTTGGAGGCTTCCAGGGACGGTTCAAGCTCTGCGCAGAAATGGGTGTAGATGCCCCCTGCGCAGCTGACCCCTGTCAGGTCAAGGGTCACGCTTAGGTCATTGAAGGTAGAGGCCACACCATCAGTGACATCCATGGAGTCCTGGGCTGGCGTCAGGGTCACGACCTCAGCAGCGACCTTGACCAATCCAGATGCATCTGTGGATAGGTAACCTTTGACCTCGTAGCGGTCCAATCCCGCACTGTTGACTGGCGCGGCTGAGCCGGGTGCAGGGATGAAGTCCAGGTCAAAGGTCAGATCCTGAAGGACGCCGTCGGAAATGATGGCATCAGGGGGTAGGGTCACGACCACAGAGTCCACGTTGAGTTCAACATTAGCTATAAGAGGAGGAAACAGAAGATATTGTTATTCAACCTGAGTTGTTTTTTTTTCATCTGAAAGGCTGTTTAACCAACAAACACATAAAAACTTCAAAAAATTGAACATCATCACCAGAACCAAAACTCACATGAACAGGACATCAGAAAGCAAGGCTTGAGGAAAACCTCAAAGACTCATAACTAACAAAAAAGTAGCAAGCATGCTGTAGGAAAACAGCACTTAACTGTATTTGATAAATTCCTCAACCTCAGGAAAGGAACATCAAATGACCAAACCAAAAAGACTCAATCTTAGTTTGAGTATGTAGGTTCAAATCCTAACAGAGCAAGTGGTGCTTTGAGACCTAAAGCGCTTTAAAAAACACTGCATCGTCAAAAACGTACAAGAACAGAAGATGGGAGTGCAAGCTGTGTCGACAGCTTCTGGTGACTGGCACCACGAGGTACCGCATGCATCAGACGAATCCAGGGTCACACACAGGTAGGAGTAACCGGCCTGGTTACAATCAACACCAGTCAGGTCAACCTCAAAGACAATGTTGGTGAACAGCGCTTGCTGGTTGTCGACCAGATCCATGGCTTGGACCTGTGATACAGAGGACAGAACAAAGGCAGTGAATACAACTGAATGGCTTTGGAGGAATTCGCAAGATGTAGATTTTTAACATTTGGTTTTGGCCTACACATAACTTTTTAAAAGCACTGAACATTCAGTGCCGTCGCAAACTCTTGAAGAAAAGAATAAACTACAAGCTCTCTCTGTGAAGATCAATTGTTACCCATGATAATTTAACTACCCAACCACCAAGCTTGCTAGGATCTGCTAGCCAATTTTGAGACCAATTTGAATAACTGGTACAATTGACTTTATCACAAGTCAGATGACAAGTCTGTAAATCACAAATTACTTTACAAGTCCAGTCACAAGTAACAAAGGATGAACAAGAACATACAACACTCTTCAATATAGTAGTAACATTAACTGCAATTACTGCTGGTATATCAGACTTGAATTAGGCCGAATAAAAAAAAAACCATGTTTCTCGTCCGGCATGTTACAAAAAAGGAGGAAGAGGGGCTTTTTTTTTTTCATTTTTTTTTTTTTCAAGATGGCCGCCATTTTAAAATGTCCTGCAACCGTTGATGTTTCCACTGTTCAAAGACACTTTTAATATGAAAGACAAGTTGGACAAGAGAACTGAACATATTTACAGTGTCATTAGAGTTGTATTGGTCAGGCGTGTGAGTGACCACTGATAAAAAATAGCTGAAAACAGCTGAAAAAGGTGTAAAAAAGCTGAACTTTGGACATCTCCTACACTTTTGTACACAGCATGTGAGGGAAAAAAGCTGAAATTCAAAACAAAAAAGCTGAAATCAGCTTTAGAGCTGAGATTTCACACCCCTGATTGGTCTACAATGAACAGTTTTAGATGCATTTGCAGACTTTTTCGGTGTTTTTTTACTGCATTTTTCAAAAATAAAAAATAATAAAAAAATCCAGGCGGCTGACTAGCGCCCTTGAAAAAGACATCGACAAATTGGGGAACTGCCAACATTGGGCTGGATAGCTCAGTTGGTAGAGCACTGGCACGGTAATCCGCAGGTCGCAGTTTCAAACCCAGCTCCAATCAATTTCTTCGTTCCACTTTTCAAAGATTTGCATTAGTTCAGCTGACCCTGGCAAGCTTGCTTGTTGAGAGTTAAGGCATCTACACCAAAATGACATGGGTCAGAGTCCCACCTGAGTAAGAATGTGAATGTTTTGCCTCACAAACTTCTTGACAGCACCGAGTATGGGCTCTGTGCGCCGACAAAAGAGGGCGCCCTTTTACCTAGCAACGACGTCCCATAGGGCGGGACATTTTGCTGGTTGACGCGCACCGTTCCTTGTGTGTGACGCTTGTACACCAGGGGATTTGTACTATGTACACGCAGTGGCCGCGCTTCGTGGCAAATGAATCGCAGTCAGGCAAGATGGCGTCGGTTGGTCACCCCCAACTGTACCTTCTTTGCCGGTGAGGGGGTACTTGTGAACGGAGCGGATAGAGTACTGTAAAATATGTTGCTGTTTATCCATGAATAATTTGATAACACAGTGTTCCAGCATTGGTATATTGCTAGCATCACGTCTCTGGGCCTAAAGGTTTATGGCTTCTGACTTGGGCCCCATGAACAAAGACAATGAATAACGGGAAGACCTCGAACAAAGTACCAGATAGTTTATTGGGTTGAGCACTGGTGCAACATTCTGGAGGTTGTAGGTTCAAAACCCCACTCCAGCCAATTTCTTCATTAAAGATATAGTCCATCATTTGTAATTTGTGCATTTTGTTCGTTTGAAGCAACAAAAGTGCTCAAAGTCTAAAGAAGGGTACTGAACAACTAACCTGGTGAAGTTTCACCTCACCTTCAGCTGTATATGTTGAGAAAAACAGCATTCTAGGTTCTCGATTTCAAATCAAAAGTTGCTGAATCATGTTTTGAATTGGGCCTGAATTCAGCGTCCGAGACACGTTCTCACTTAGCCGATTGCAGCTACGGGATGTCGCGCACTGATCCGACGAATTATAGCAACCGCGCGTGCGTGTGCGTCGTGCCAATGCTTGCGCGGGCTTCGCCGAATTACAAAACGAACTACTAATTTAAATTTCCTACGGTGCGTCTTAAGAAGTACTGTTGAAAAGGCCTTCTTTTTCGTTGGTTACTTCAAAATGACAGCTTGCCAGAAAGAATAATTCACAGGGAGTTTAGTCCCCTTACTATCTTTCAACCAAGTATGTTTTTCAACAATAATTACGCCAGTTACTTTTCGAATAGCTGCAAATGATGGACTATAGCTTTAAAATTAATGCTGTTATGAAAATGAACATTTGCAAAAAACTCTTACAGCTGGAGTCAGAACTCCTGCAGGGATTGGGAATGAGTCGCTGCCCTGTGCATCGGTAGCCAGGATTGCGGTGACTGAGTAGCGATCCCCGCCGTCACACCCGTTGACTGGGGCGGAGGAGTCTGTGGTAGGCGTGGCCGTGAGAGTGATTGACACCTGGTTGATTTCTTCGTCACAGAGGATGAGGGTGCTGGGGGAGTCCACACGGATTAGGTCAATGTTGATCTCCACGGAGGCTGTGGTAGATAAAATATTCAAGATAAGTTTAAGCTACAGTCCATCATTTGTAGCTATCCAAAAGGTAACTGACATAATATTGTTGAAAAACATACTTAGGTGAAAGATAGTAAGGGAACTAAACTCCCTGTAAAATTAGTCTTTCTGGCATGCTGTCATTTTGAAGAAATGCACCGTTGGAAATTTCCATTAGTATGTCTTTTTTTTTTTATTCTGCGAAGCGCGCGCAACCGTTGACACGACGCACATGTGCGCGCTGTTGCTATAGTTTGTCAGATCAGTGCGCAACATTGCGTAGGTGCAATTGGCTCAGAGAGAACGTGTCTCGGATGCTGAATTCAGGCCCAATTTAAAACATGATTCAGCAACTTTTGATTTGAAATTCGGATCCTAGCATGTTGTTTTTCTCCTAATGTACAGCTGAAGCTGAGCTGAAACTTCTTCAGGTTATGTTCAGCACCCTTCTTTAGATTTTGAGCACATTTGTTGCTTCAAACGACCAAAATGCACAAATTACAAATGATGGACTGTATAAACTTTAATTTAATAACAAATTTCGAATGAGCTTGTGAAGGAATATTTACTCAGTAAGGATCTGTGTTAGCATTGTAAATACACGCATGATGAATAACACTAAAATGTGCACTGGCAACACATGTTTGCTGGCTTGCTGCAGTACACAGTGGGTGATTTTGGTGTTCCCCATAACATGAGGATAAGGAAGGGGTAAAACCTCCACAGTACTTGTATATTTGTTACAAGTTATAATTGGAGGTACCGGTAACAGAATTTAAGCATTCTAGGAGATAATCTCAATAAATACAAATATTTTTGTCTGGCCCTTCACTAACATCATTAGAAGGTATACCCAGTGCTGTCTGAGAACTTGGGAAACAAAATAAAGCATCAAATGAGCCCTAAATAAAACTTTTAGAATTTTGATAAATTGCATAAGCTGTTAGAGGGCCCATTGAGGCGGGCGTAAATAAATGGGGTTAGTAGAAGGAGGCCTCGGTCATTATGTGGACCATGGATACTTAATCTACCCTAGTTGTCTTTCCTGTGCGGCTGAAACAGTGTTGACTATATGGGTGAGAAGGCAAGTACACTGAATGTGGTACCACCAAGGAGACAAAGTGAAACCATACCAGTTAGGCCAAAAAAAAAAATATTCGGTCTCTGGTCAGACCAAAGTTCCGGAATTGACGCGGCCACGCGGCTTTTTTTTTTTTTTTGCTTTTTTTTTTTCTTCAAGCTTGGATTGTACAGACAAGGTGGGTACTATTTTGCTTTTTTGGTGTCCTCATGTACATTGGTGTCCTCCATAATTTGCCTTGGTGCTTTCGATCATTTGCCTTGGTGCAATTTCCCATTCCTTGGTGCTCTTTGGTAAAAAAAAATGGAGGAGGTGCGGAAATAGAGGGCGCTGTTGGAGCTACCGCGGAACATTTTGGAAAAAAAAAAGATCGACGCGCATGCTTAAAATCGACGCGCGCTGACCAGAGACCGACTTATTTTTTTTTTTGGCCTTATTAGTCTGTTTTTTTTTCTATACTCACATTTACATGTAATCTGCGCACATCCAATCCGGATAGCCGGGGGTGCCTGGTCCCACAGTTCGTTATCCAGGGCTGCCTGGGACGGCCCCAGATCAATGCAGATGTACTGGTACTGACCCTCGAAGCAACTGACCTGGGACAGGTCAAGGGTCACGGCGACATCATCAAAGGTGTTGAGGATAAGGTCGGTGATGTCTTGCTGCATTTGGGTCGGGGTGAGGTCGGCGTCTGTGGGAGGGGTGGGGTTGCTGCCGTCAGAGTCTGTGGCCAGGAAGACTTGGATCCTGAAAGAATGATCGTAGATATGATAGGTGAGAATGCAACTTTTTTTATAAGTCAGATGGTGAGAAAGAAAACTGAACAACTTTGATACATTTGTCTGTTGAAACGGTATTCAAATGCAATCATTTCAGCTTCACACAAGACTTGCGGGATGATGTGAACTCTGAACCGAAGCAGTAGTTAGCACTTAGCATGACCAACTCATCACATATGCCTGAATGCATAGGGCACACTACACTTACATGTATGCACTCATTTTACAAGACCAATTTTATCGGAATGTGCACAAACCTGAAACGTCTTCACAGAGGAACTCGGCGTGTTTTTATGACAAGGCCATTTTGGGGTACTCATAACACAAAGGGAGCAATAGTATCATTGAAGTCAGTGAAGTCTTTCAAGTAAGGGGAAATTCTTGTGGGAAACAAGAACCTAATGTGAGTTCCCCACAAAGCCCATCCTTCTGTGACAATGGCACTCAAGTGACCATCACGACTCATTCTCTTTTCACTCTTGATAAGGGGAAATTTCTGACAAGAGTACACAGTCACGTCCACCTTTACTATACTTCATTCCTTTGATGATGTTGTGACGTTAACTTTAACTGGAATAAAATTTAAGTAATATTATTCTTCATGCTGACAATATAGGTACATAGTACAAGTAAAATTAACAAAGTATGCAAACAGAAACAGTTTTCACATTTCATGATTCAGGAAAGATTTTACACTCAAATAGGCTCTACTCGTTTGGCTGTACACCTCAACATGATACTTCAAATCACATTTAACAATATGAAAAACTGTATCCAACAACTAACTACACATTTCATATACTTTGCTGTCAAGCAGCCAGCTCGTCTTATTCATTCTCAGTTTTACCTGTATCTGTCCGTTCCAGCGGCATTGACAACATCTGCCGAATCCGGAGTTGGGATGAAATCAATATCTAATGTGACATCCTGAATTCCTCCATCAGTGATCAGTGCATCACTGGGTACCTCCACGGTCACTTCTTGCACATCCAACTGCACCAGGAACACTGTGTGCAAACAAAGCCGGAACTTCTTATCTGTGTCTTAAAATACTGTGATTTACCCTAACCCCGCTGAATCCAACAGGATCCAACTATATCATATACCCGATGGAGCCTGTTGGATTGAGCAGTAAACCCCTTGTGTACATTTCTGACGCAAAATGTTGGATTCAGCAGGCAACTGAACCGCATTATAACGCCAAGTCGGACTCCATTGGATTCAGCAGGCAACTGAAAGTAAGGCACAGTGGATTGAACAGGAAAGTCCGGTTGGACTCTGTTGGATTTAGCAGGGTAGTCCTGAGGAACTACTAGGGGGTTAGGGTAAAAACAGCCACACGCCATTTTTTTATGCCTGTGACATGACAGGCAGGAGAACACAGCAAGAATACACAACTTTTATCCATTTAAAGGAAGGAAAAAGGAAAAAGGAACTTTTTATCCATTTAAAATATACAACATTTGCAAACATCGAAAAATAAAACTACCCAGTTTTTATGAAATACCTACTAGGATGTTGGTAAATGACAGTGTAAAGCATCATGTAAAATAAAGGCAGCAGGTGTGAAGTCATTTTCAAGAAAAGTGGTATTTTTGTATACATTTTGGTCGGCCGACCACCCTTGGAAAAACCTAACTATTTTCAACTACTGCTCCAAATTTACCATTTTTTTTCAGTCCAAATTTTTTTTGCTGTTGGTTACATGTACATGAACGGTTGCAGGCCAGCTAGACTGGTTCCCTCACCTTACAATTTTCCGGCATCTATAAATTGATCCATTTCAACTTTAGTGCAGGAGTCAGAAAACCAGACTACTTGAACATTTTTGTTTTTCTTGGTTTTTTCAGGATTTTCGAACACAAAACTTTAAATATGTCAGTGTAACAATATTTGATCTATTACAATAACCCCTCATATAGTTCATTTCCGAAAATTACAGCAAAACCAGTACATTCCCTTTAACTTGCCGTGAAAACAATAGACATGGAAAGTATTACATTTGTTGTGTTACCTACTCAAGACTGCCATATATCTATTCAGTGTATATGTGCATTGTCTTGCAGTTGCAATGACACCTGCCAACAATCCCTAACTGCCTGTCAAATTTGTTACTCTTTTGAAAAGCACGTTTGATCATGCAGATGTGCAACAGACAGAACCTTGCGGAACTCAAAGTTGAACCATCCGAATAATTCTAATTTATCTTAATCATTGTTTTTACTTTTATTTTATTATTCTTCAAACTCAAATGTAAGTTTTATTGTAAACTGTAAGACATGCTCTCTTTTTAGAATGATTGAACATATTGATATTCTTCCATTTTTATATATTAACGTTCTCATCATCATCACCTAGTGGTCGCAACTGAGATCTCGTTCACAACGCCACGCCAGGTGTCTTTATCTCTCATTATGTACAGAAGGTCCTTAATTTCACATTGGGTGTCCCAATCGCATCAAAATTGTATTGAAGTGCAATATATCTTTATTCTCAATGCCATTATAAATTTACTCAAGTGGAATAAAACAGTTTTATCTTTTTGTGAATCTTCCTATTTATCTATCACATTTTAATGCCACAAAAAAAAACAAGGAGAGTTCCAGGATTTTGGGGTTATGACAATATTGTTGTTCCTAGAGAACCATAAAGCTTGCTTTGAAAAACATGAAAAAAATTGCTTCTCAGACCAAATGGTAACTTACATCTTTCACAGTAGATTCCTTTGTAGTAAGGAGTACATTCACAGGTGTATTTATAGCAGTCCACTGGGTCCGGTACACAGATACCACCATTGACACATTGGTTGTTGAGACATGGATCCTTATCTAAAGATTAAAAAAAAAAAATCAAAGAAATATTAAGTAAGAAACAGCCATTGAAACGCACACAGTGTTTGCTGCTTTTAAATGAGAAGCATCGAAAACTAGTCCTTTGAATTTATTGTCAAGAGAAGATATATGACCACAGTACTCTTGCAAAGAAACATAAACAGGATGCCTTGTACAACTACATTTCAACAATATTAAGATTGGTATTCGCTACACAAGAGGATGATTGCAGAATTCTACCAATGAGGCACAAAAATGTTAGTTTTTTTTGCATCCTTCAAAACAAGGCTTTGCTCTAAGGATGTGCAAAACAATTTGTCAACGTGCCAAAAAAGTAATAAAAAAGTTGATACTGGGGATCGATGTTTCTTTCATAAACAAAACTGGAATTCATTCTACAATTCAATTCAATCGTTTTCAATCATGCATCAATAATCTTAAAACATAAAGGAAAAACGAAAATGCAGCAGGGTTACATTTTCTTAATTGTTCAAATATTTTGACAATGTGACACAAAAAAAATTGAATCCCGATTCTCTTAAAAAAAAAAAAAAAAAAAATTTGTCTGCTTTAATTTCTAATAAGTTTAAATGCTCATTGCCTACTTTGGTTGAAATTCATTGCTAACTGAACTGATGTTGAATATATACACTATACCTTCAACGGTGTTTAAACGCTCATTGCCTACTTTGGTTGAAATTCATTGCTAACTGAGCTGATGTTGAATATATACACTTTACCTTCAACGGTGTTTAAACGATCATTGCCTACTTTGGTTGAAATTCATTGCTAACTGAGCTGATGTTAAAAATATACACTTTACCTTCAACGGTGACAGTGAATTCACAGTGGTTCTCGTTGCCGTTACCGTCTGTGGCAACGCAAGTAACTGTGGTCGTACCCAATGGGAAAGCGTACCCTGACGCAGGGTAACACGACACAGTGGGTGTCAGACCCGAATTATCCGTCGCGGTGACTGTGTAGGTCACCACAGCGGTGTTCAGACAGTCATCCTCCTTAACAACGACGTCTTCGCTACAGGAGATAGAGGGCTTTTCATCATCTAAGTACAAAAAAAAGATTCAATGAAATTTCAATGAGCCAACTTCGGCTGGAAATGGAGCCAGTGGAGACAGTGAGCTGACATATGGAATCAAATTACAGGGTGCTTTGTTTTAATTGTGTGTAATTAGCACAAGCAATTAAACACTCATCAGATAAGAAAGTTGACATTGTTTACTAACTTTCTAAATTGAATTTTGGTTTTCACTCACATTAGAGACAAAATGGGTATGAACATTTTTCTTTAAATAAAATATTAAAAAACACCCAGTAAGTGTTAGCGCTAAAGCACCCAACAGCAACAATAGACAAAACGAAAAACAAGAGGCACGAAACAACATTTATGCTTTAAAACTTTTTTTGACATTGTCTTTCATCTCTCACCATTAACAGTGATTGTGAATGAACATGATGCTTGGTTTCCAGCCTCATCTGTTGCTGTGCAGGTAACCGTGGTAACACCAATTGGAAATTGATCTCCGGATTGCAGTCCACCAGCATCGCATACAATGGTTGGCTGAATTCCTGAGTTATCCTGGGCAGTGACTTCCCAGGTAACAACAGCTCCAGGCTGGCCTGGGTCAGTCACCTCGTAGAAGTCAACAGGACAATTGATGCTAGGATCTTCCTCGTCTGACAACAAGGAAAAGATTCACGGCAATTATTATTCACAAAATTTATAAATAGTTCTTCGTTTCTCCCACAAGTTCAACTGTGCATAAATGTGCTGAATTTGAACTTCATTTTGATTTCCATCTGCTTTAACAAGTACTAAAAACAGTGGGTGAGAAAAAAGAAAGAAATGTATTAATTGGAACAAAAACAATATGTGTTCAATTCGCAATTCCTCATAAAAATAACAAATACTCATTATATTAACGAACAATTAAATATAGCAAGAAACATAGCATATAACATGTACTCTAAGAAGACCTAACTTTTCAGCTATAAATCTTTCTTCACTAACCATTAACATTGATGGTAAATGAACAAGATAGTTCGTTTCCAGCCTCATCCGTTGCTGTGCAGGTTACCGTGGTAACACCAATTGGAAATTGATCTCCAGATTGCAGTCCACCAGCATCGCATACAATGATTGGCTGAATTCCTGAGTTATCCTGGGCAGTGACTTCCCAGGTAACAACAGCTCCAGGCTGGCCTGGGTCAGTCACCTTGAAGAAGTCAACAGGACAATTGATGGTAGGATCTTCCTCATCTGAAATCAAAGCATAGATAGAAGATAATAGTGAGTACATGCACATGTATGTGAATATTGTTTCTTCATTCCTCCAAAAACCTTCAATCTGCATTGTGTGCGATGTTAAACTTTCCATCAGCTTTTATGTTCTCAAATGGGCACTGACAAAAATGGATGAGAACAAGAAAAAAAAGAACAACATTCATTTGAACAGAAATTATAGGTGTTCTTAACAAAACACCTCAAAACAAGCAACAAAAAAGCAAAAGAAGCAAGAAACAAAGCATTTGGTAAACTTTACAACCATGACGGTCTTTTCACACTCACCATTAACATTGATGGTGAATGAACAAGATACTTCATTTCCAGCTTCATCTGTTGCTGTGCAGGTTACCGTGGTAACACCAATTGGAAATTGATCTCCAGATTGGAGTCCACCAGCATCGCATACAATGGTTGGCTGAATTCCTGAGTTATCCTGGGCAGTGACTTCCCAGGTAACAACAGCTCCAGGCTGGCCTGGGTCAGTCACCTCGAAGAAGTCAACAGGACAATTGATGGTAGGATCTTCCTCATCTGAAATCAAAGCATAGATAGATAGAAGAGTGAATAACTATATGCAAACATTGTTTCTTCATTTCTCCAAAACCTTCAATTTGCATTTGTGTGTAACTTAACACTTTTAATCAGCTTTCACTGTGAGAAAAATAAAAAAAGGAAAAACAACAATTTGAACAGAAATTATAGGTGTTCTTTACAAAACACCTCAAAACAATCAACAACCAAAAAACCCAAAATGGCAATAAATACAGCATTTAGTATACTTTACAACCATGAATGTTCTTTAACACTCACCATTAACATTAATGGTGAATGAACAAGTTGCTTGGTTTCCAGCCTCATCTGTTGCTGTGCAGGTTACCGTGGTAACACCAATTGGAAATTGATCTCCAGATTGCAGTCCACCAGCATCGCATACAATGGTTGGCTGAATTCCTGAGTTATCCTGGGCAGTGACTTCCCAGGTAACAACAGCTCCAGGCTGGCCTGGGTCAGTCACCTCGTAGAAGTCAACAGGACAATTGATTGTTGGATCTTCCTCATCTGACAAGGAAAAGATTCACGTCAATTATTATTCACAAAATTTATAAATAGTTCTTTGTTTCTCCCACAAGTTCAACTGTGCTGAATTTCAACTTCATTTTGGTTTCCATCTGCTTTAACAAGTACTGAAAAAAGTGGGTGAGAAAAAAGAAAGAAATGTATTAATTGGATCAAAAACAATATGTGTTCAATCCGCAATTCCTCATAAATATAACAAATACTCAATAACGAACAATTAAATATAGCAAGAAACATAGCATATAACATGTACTCTGAGAAGACCTAACTTTTCAGCCATAAATCTTTCTTCACTAACCATTAACATTGATGGTAAATGAACAAGATAGTTCGTTTCCTGCCTCATCTGTTGCTGTGCAGGTTACCGTGGTAACACCAATTGGAAATTGATCTCCAGATTGCAGTCCACCAGCATCGCATACAATGGTTGGCTGAATTCCTGAGTTATCCTGGGCAGTGACTTCCCAGGTAACAACAGCTCCAGGCTGGCCTGGGTCAGTTACCTTGAAGAAGTCAACAGGACAATTGATGCTAGGATCTTCCTCATCTGACAAGGAAAAGTTTCACGTCAATTATTATTCACAAAATTTATAAATAGTTCTTTGTTTCTCCCGCAAGTTCAACTGTGCATTAATGTGCCGAATTTGAACTTCATTTTGGTTTCCATCTGCTTTAACAAGTACTGAAAAAAAAGGGTGAGAAAAAAGAAAGAAATGTATTAATTGGAACAAAAACAATATGTGTTCAATCCGCAATTCCTCATAAATATAACAAATACTCATTAACGAACAATTAAATATAGCAAGAAACATAGCTTATAACATGTACTCTGAAAAGACCTAACTTTTCAGCCATAAATCTTTCTTCACTAACCATTAACATTGATGGTAAATGAACAAGATAGTTCGTTTCCTGCCTCATCCGTTGCTGTGCAGGTTACCGTGGTAACACCAATTGGAAATTGATCTCCAGATTGCAGTCCACCAGCATCGCATACAATGGTTGGCTGAATTCCTGAGTTATCCTGGGCAGTGACTTCCCAGGTAACAACAGCTCCAGGCTGGCCTGGGTCAGTTACCTCGTAGAAGTCAACAGGACAATTGATGGTAGGATCTTCCTCATCTGAAATCAAAGCAAAAATAGAAGACAACTCAGATTTTGTTTCTACATTTCTCCAAATTGTTTCAATACTCATTTTTGTGCAAATTTGCACTTTATTTCAGCTTTCATGTGCTCAAATGGGCTGGGTGAGAAAAAGAGAAAAGAAAAAAAATAATTGGAACAGAAACAATAGGTGTTCATTATGAAATTTCTCATAACAATCAACCATAAAGCAAAAGAAGCAAGGAACAAAGCATTAAATATACTTTTCAATTATGAATGTCTTTTCACACTCACCATTAACATTGATGGTGAAGGAACAAGTTGCTTGGTTTCCAGCCTCATCTGTTGCTGTGCAGGTAACCGTGGTAACACCAATCGGAAATTGATCTCCAGATTGCAGTCCACCAGCATCGCATACAATGGTTGGCTGAATTCCTGAGTTATCCTGGGCAGTGACTTCCCAGGTAACAACAGCTCCAGGCTGGCCTGGGTCAGTCACCTTGAAGAAGTCAACAGGACAATTGATGGTAGGATCTTCCTCATCTGAAATCAAAGCATAGACAGATTGAAGAGTGAATAACTATATGCAAATATTGTTTCTTCATTTCTTTAACACCTTCAATCTGCATTTATAGTTGAAAGTTTTCAAACTATAAATCTTTCTTCACTAACCATTAACATTGATGGTAAATGAACAAGATAAATCATTTCCAGCTTCATCTGTTGCTGTGCAGGTAACCGTGGTAACACCAATTGGAAATTGATCTCCAGATTGCAGTCCACCAGCATCGCATACAATGGTTGGCTGAATTCCTGAGTTATCCTGGGCAGTGACTTCCCAGGTAACAACAGCTCCAGGCTGGCCTGGGTCAGTCACCTCGTAGAAGTCAACAGGACAATTGACGGTAGGATCTTCCTCGTCTGAAGACCAAGAGAAAATTGAAACATTGAAAGTTATAATTTTTATACATGTAATTGATTCTTCGTTCCTCCTCCAGTTTTTAATTGTCTATAAATGAGCCAAATGTGAGCTCCATTTCAGCACGCATTCTCATAAACAAGAACTAAACTACAATCGGTGAGAAAAAGAAAAAGGAAAAATAATAATTGGAACAGAAACAATAGGTGTTCAATCCAACATTTCTCATATAACAACAAAATACACATGAACGAAAAGTTAAAATAAGCATGAATAAAAACCAAGACGTCTCGTAAAGTCTTTAAAAATAAGTCTGCCAAGACTCACCATTAACGTTGATGGTGAAGAAACAAGAGACTTGGTTTCCAGCCTCATCTGTTGCTGTGCAGGTTACCGTGGTAACACCAATTGGAAATTGATCTCCAGATTGCAGTCCACCAGCATCGCATACAATGGTTGGCTGAATTCCTGAGTTATCCTGGGCAGTGACTTCCCAGGTAACAACAGCTCCAGGCTGGCCTGGGTCAGTCACCTCATAGAAGTCAACAGGACAATTGATGGTAGGATCTTCCTCATCTGACAACAAGGAAAAGATTCAAGCCAAATGAAATATAAAATTGAAAATTGGTTTTTCCTTTCTCCCACAAGTTCCACTGTGCATTAATGTGCCAAGTTTGAGCTTCGTTTTAGTTTTCATCTGCTTTAACAAGTGCAATGGGTGAGAAAAAGAGAAATATTAATTGGAACAAAAACAATGTATTCAACCCCATATTCCTCATAACATTAACAAAATACACATCAACAAAAAATAAAAAGCAGCAAGAAACACAGCAAATAAACTCTTAGAAGACCTAAGTTTTGAACTATAGACCTTTCTTCACTAACCATTAACATTGATAGTGAATGAGCACGAAAGTTCGTTTCCTGCCTCATCTGTTGCTGTGCAGGTAACCGTGGTAACACCAATCGGAAATTGATCTCCAGATTGCAGTCCACCAGCATCGCATACAATGGTTGGCTGAATTCCTGAGTTATCCTGGGCAGTGACTTCCCAGGTAACAACAGCTCCAGGCTGGCCTGGGTCAGTCACCTCATAGAAGTCAACAGGACAATTGATGGTAGGATCTTCCTCATCTGACAACAAGGAAAAGATTCAAGCCAAATGAAATATAAAATTGAAAATTGGTTTTTCCTTTCTCCCACAAGTTCCACTGTGCATTAATGTGCCAAGTTTGAGCTTCGTTTTAGTTTTCATCTGCTTTAACAAGTGCAATGGGTGAGAAAAAGAGAAATATTAATTGGAACAAAAACAATGTATTCAACCCCATATTCCTCATAACATTAACAAAATACACATCAACAAAAAATAAAAAGCAGCAAGAAACACAGCAAATAAACTCTTAGAAGACCTAAGTTTTGAACTATAGACCTTTCTTCACTAACCATTAACATTGATAGTGAATGAGCACGAAAGTTCGTTTCCTGCCTCATCTGTTGCTGTGCAGGTAACCGTGGTAACACCAATCGGAAATTGATCTCCAGATTGCAGTCCACCAGCATCGCATACAATGGTTGGCTGAATTCCTGAGTTATCCTGGGCAGTGACTTCCCAGGTAACAACAGCTCCAGGCTGGCCTGGGTCAGTCACCTCGTAGAAGTCAACAGGACAATTGATAGTAGGATCTTCATCATCTGAAGACCAAGAAAAAAATTAAAAACATTGAAAGTTATAAATTCTATACATGTAATTGGTTCTTTGTTCCTCCTACACTTTTTAATTGTCTATAAATGAGCCAAATGTGAGCTCCATTTCAGCATGCATTCGCTTAAACAAGCACTAAACTACAATCGGTGTGAAAAAGAAAAAGGAAAATAATAATTGGAACAGAAACAATAGGTGTTCAATCTAACATTTCTCATATAACAATACACATAAACAAAAAGTTAAAATTAGCATGGAAAAAACCAAGACGTCTCATAAAGTCTTTAAAAATAATAGTCTGCCAAGACTCACCATTAACGTTGATGGTGAAGAAACAAGAGACTTGGTTTCCAGCCTCATCTGTTGCTGTGCAGGTAACCGTGGTAACACCAATTGGAAATTGATCTCCAGATTGCAGTCCACCAGCATCGCATACAATGGTTGGCTGAATTCCTGAGTTATCCTGGGCAGTGACTTCCCAGGTAACAACAGCTCCAGGCTGGCCTGGGTCAGTCACCTTGAAGAAGTCAACGGGACAATTGATGGTAGGATCTTCCTCATCTGAAATCAAAGCATAGACAGATAGAAGAGTGAATAACTATATGCAAATATTGTTTCTTCATTTCTTCAAAACCTTCAATCTGCATTTATACAGCGTGTGTCAATAAAAACGCAGGATTAGAAACAAAAATATTAAGAATATAAACCACCCCTATTCATCATAATGTTAACCCTCTTTTCAAAGTACCTTTCCTTCTCTTCACTATGCTTTTTATCCCATCTCATTTGGACAATCCTGTCCAGAGATAGAGTACATTGAAGAAGGGTTATAAATTCCAAGCTGGTCTGATTTGTGAAATCACACATACCTAATGAAAGGTTTGAATTCAGTACAGGTGAAAGTATTTGTGGATCACAAAGAAGGACATGTGTGGCAGGATTAGGTTTACATAATCCTTAAGTCCACAATCAATGTTATTTGATATGTCAGAGACGACATTCATGATGCTTTGAAACAATGATAGTCCAGTTATTAAATTTAAGTGATACTTATCATCAGTTGTTTCAAAGAAAGTTTGGTTCTGGTTTAATTGTCTTCAATGCATACCTGCATTGTACATAACTGGTCGTTGTGTTAAGGTCATTGAATCAGACCGACCCGCTTCAGAAGGGCTTCACAAAACTTGTCATAACTTTTGAACCAAAAGTCCAAATTCCACCAAACAAAAATCTTGTCAAAGATGAAATTATGGACAATCAAATCCTTATCAAATTAGGCACACCAGTAGCATAATTTTCTCAGGAAAAAATTGCTTTGAATCCTGCGTTTTTATTGACACACACTATAGTTGAAACTTTTCAAACTATAAATCTTTCTTCACTAACCATTAACATTGATGGTGAATGAACAAGATAGTTCGTTTCCAGCCTCATCTGTTGCTGTGCAGGTTACCGTGGTAACACCAATCGGAAATTGATCTCCAGATTGCAGTCCACCAGCATCGCATACAATGGTTGGCTGAATTCCTGAGTTATCCTGGGCAGTGACTTCCCAGGTAACAACAGCTCCAGGCTGGCCTGGGTCAGTCACCTCGTAGAAGTCAACAGGACAATTGATGGTAGGATCTTCCTCATCTGAAATCAAAGCATAGATAGGAGGTATGTGAATATTGTTTCTTCATTTTTCTAAAATGATTGAATGTGCATTTGTGTGCAAATTTGCACTTTACTTCAGCTTTCATGTGCTCAAATGGGCACTGACAAAAATGGGTGAGAAAAAGAAAAAAACCCAATAATTTGAACAGAAACAATAGGTGTTCAATATGAAATTTTTTAACAACAATCAAAAAAAAAAAGCAAATGTAGCAGAAACAAAGCAGTTAGTATACTTTGCTTTGCAACCATGAATGTCTTTTAACACTCACCATCAACATTGATGGTGAATGAACAAGTTGCTTGGTTTCCAGCCTCATCTGTTGCTGTGCAGGTAACCATGGTAACACCAATTGGAAATTGATCTCCAGATTGCAGTCCACCAGCATCGCATACAATGGTTGGCTGAATTCCTGAGTTATCCTGGGCAGTGACTTCCCAGGTAACAACAGCTCCAGGCTGGCCTGGGTCAGTCACCTTGAAGAAGTCAATGGGACAATTGATGGTAGGATCTTCCTCATCTGACAACAAGGAAAAGATTCAAACCAATTAAATTTATAAAATTAAAATTTGGTTCTTCGTTTCTCCAACAAGTTCCACTGTGCATTAATGTGCCAAGTTTGAGCTTCATTTTAGCTTTCGTCTGCTTTAACAAGTGCAATGGGTGAGAAAAAGGAAAAAGAAATATATTAATTGGAAAAAAAACAATGTATTTAACCCCATATTCCTAATAACATTAACAAAATACGCACCAACAAAAAAAAAAAGCAGCAAGAAACACAGCAAATAAACTCTAAGAAACTTAACTTTTGAAGCATAAATCTTTCTTCACTAACCATTAACATTGATGGTGAATGAGCACGATAGTTCGTTTCCAGCCTCATCTGTTGCTGTGCAGGTAACCGTGGTAACACCAATTGGAAATTGATCTCCAGATTGCAGTCCACCAGCATCGCATACAATGGTTGGCTGAATTCCTGAGTTATCCTGGGCAGTGACTTCCCAGGTAACAACAGCTCCAGGCTGGCCTGGGTCAGTCACCTCGTAGAAGTCAACAGGACAATTGATGGTAGGATCTTCCTCATCTGAAATCAAAGCATAGACAGATAGAAGAGTGAATAACTATATGCAAATATTGTTTCTTCATTTCTTTAACACCTTCAATCTGCATTGATAGTTGAAAGTTTTCAAACTATAAATCTTTCTTCACTCACCATCAACATTGATGGTGAATGAACAAGTTGCTTGGTTTCCGGCCTCATCTGTTGCTGTGCAGGTAACCGTGGTAACACCAATTGGAAATTGATCTCCAGATTGCAGTCCACCAGCATCGCATACAATGGTTGGCTGAATTCCTGAGTTATCCTGGGCAGTGACTTCCCAGGTAACAACAGCGCCAGGCTGGCCTGGGTCAGTCACCTCGTAGAAGTCAACAGGACAATTGATGGTAGGATCTTCCTCATCTGAAGACCAAGAGAAAATTGAAACATTGAAAGTTATAATTTTTATACATGTAATTGATTCTTCGTTCCTCCTTCAGTTTTTAATCGTCTATAAATGAGCCAAATGTGAGCTCCATTTCAGCACGCATTCTCTTAAACAAAAACTAAACTACAATCGGTGAGAAAAAGAAAAAGGAAAAGTAATAATCGGAACAGAAACAATAGGTGTTCAATCCAACATTTCTCATATAACAACAAAATACACATGAACAAAAAGTTAAAATAAGCATGAATAAAAACCAAGACGTCTCGTAAAGTCTTTAAAAATAAGTCTGCCAAGACTCACCATTAACGTTGATGGTAAAGAAACAAGAGACTTGGTTTCCAGCCTCATCTGTTGCTGTGCAGGTTACCGTAGTAACGCCAATTGGAAATTGATCTCCAGATTGCAGTCCACCAGCATCGCATACAATGGTTGGCTGAATTCCTGAGTTATCCTGGGCAGTGACTTCCCAGGTAACAACAGCTCCAGGCTGGCCTGGGTCAGTCACCTCGTAGAAGTCAACGGGACAATTGATGGTAGGATCTTCCTCATCTGAAATCAAAGCATAGATAGAAGATAAGTGAGTACACATGTATTTGAATATTGTTTCTTCATTTTTCCAAAAACCTTCAATCTGCATTTGTGTGCAAGTTTGCACAGCTTTCCTGTGCTCAAATGGGCACTGACAAAAATTGCTGAGAAAAAGAAAAAAGAAAAACATTAATTTCAACAGAAATTATAGGTGTTTCAAACAACTTTTTCACACGTGTATTCCCATTTTAAAAGGCCTACCTTGAACGGTAACAGTGAAATCACACGTGGCAGAGTTGCCGGCTGAATCAGTCGCGGTACAGATCACCGTCGTCACGACATCCAGGGGAAAGACTGACCCAGAAGCTGGTTCACAGACCACTGCAACCGCCTGATCAGAGTTGTCGGTGACGACGGGGGCATCCCAAGTCACCACAGCACCGTCCTGATTCAGGTCTGTCGCAACAACAATATCGTGAGGGCACTTGATGTCCGGTGCTATCTTGTCTGCAATTAAACAAGAATGTAAAACAACTAGCCAATTTAACAGATTCATACTTGACACTTAAAGGTTTGCATGGGGACATGATCAATAAATGGGAGGTTTGTGGTAAGTTGTGTGGTTCTGAGAAGAACCAGTTGGCTTAATTCAATGTTTCGAACAGTATGCTCTGTTTGTCATCAGGAGACATGCCTACTTGGCTGTTACAAAAAATGTTTGATGCATTAAAACACACAAGAAAAGACACATATCTTAAAAATAATTATGAAAACAGCCATACAAAGTGGCATAAAATTGATGAGCGTTTTCATTCAATATTGACAATATTCCTTGTCAATTCAAACGGCCAGATTGTAGGCCTACGTCATGTACGTTTACCGATGATCGTGAAGTGTAGGGCCCTCGTTTTGTTTTGATCAAATTAGAGTAAAACATGTTTATTATTGCTAAAAATTCACCTTTAAAATCAAAAGCAGACTTTTCTCAATTCTAGTGACACCCGTTCTGCAATTTTGAACAGATTTCGGGGTAGAAATCACGTTTTTCCTGCGCGGTTTGTGCCTTGCGATTCACTGAATCGCAAGGCACAAACTGCGCTGTCGCCGCGCTGTCGCCGCGCTGTCATTGTCATTTTACCCCCAAATTTCCCTCAAAAAATCAAAACTATGTCCTTTATCTGTAACATACCAGTTTATTGAGAAAGTCGCTAACTAGTTTGGTAGATCCAATAACTTTAAAGTGGATTTTGTTCCCTTATATAGGAACCGGTCCCTACAGGCTACACTACACGATCGCCACCTGTTGTCGTCTGCTCCAAACGGTAAACGCGCGTGTGTGGTCATGATCCCTAATCATTTAGCGAAATACTCGTACTCGAGTAAATCGAAGTATGTCACCAGACTATTTTTATGACCAGGAGTGCGCCCTCTATAGTTCATTTACAGCACTTCAGTCAACAGAATGGATGAGAAAGCCTGGCACGTGGCACGGCATTTGAATTATCCTTACAATCCTTTCTCAGTCATAAGATAAACCGACCACTTCAATGATACATGTCTGGTCTTTTTTAAGGTTTAATTTTGCAAGGTTTATTCCCCCTCAATATCGGCGGAGAAAACAGGCCATGTTATTGTACTGTCATTATTAATGACTTTAAGAGAGGGTAATAAAATCACTCATGCAATTATGATGAATTAGGCTGGTTTGCACAACAACATACCGACGATATAGAACTTCCACATCCCAGTCTTCCACGACTCGCTGATTTCCGTGGCGTAACCGAAGTACTTTATGCTGAGTGGGCTGTCGTCGGTCCAGTATGCCAGGCCGGACTCCTGACGACACGTCTGGCCGAGTCTGATGTAACCGTTGTCGTAGCAGATGCAAAAGAAGCGGAACTCCGTACCGCTGAGGAGGACGAAGTCGTGCACCTCGATGGCCTTGGTGCAGCTCCCAATGCACCTGAGGGAGAAAACAATCTTGAGATGAGATGGAGACACAACACCCCGGGAGTAACCGTGAAACGCCGCATCGAAAATCCGACCTGCGTTTAGTTATTGAATAATTACAAATTTCGACACTACGTTTGCCGCGCCCGGCAATAATTCAAGCGTATGTTCCGTGCATTAGAGACGCAAAGCATCCCTAGAGCAGGCGCCCAAATTAAAAACAAAGTAGGTTTTGGGGTGCAGAAAATATATCTGAGTTACCAGACGATTAAAAACAAAAATCCTACTTTGGAAAAAGAATCACTCCAGTTGCAACTTGAGTAAAAACTTGATCAATTCGATGGAGTTGAAATTCGATTTTCTGCACCTCAAAACCCATTTTGCGTCTGCAACCCTCTTAAACAGGCTTTATCTCGAGGTGCTTTGCGTCTCTAATTCACGAAACATATTATTATTGCCAGGCCGCCGCGGTGTCGAAATTTGTAATTATTCCAAAACTAAACGCAGGCAGGATTTTCGATGCATTTCGCGATTTTCCCAGATTAGCAGAGTGAAAATTTGTGAATTTGGTGTTTTTTTTTAAAACTTTAATCTTTGTACAGCCTTTTTTCGGCGCTAAAATAATCATGCACAATTATGACAATTTGACCGAATTTCGCAAAAGTTTGAACACTATTTGTTTAAAACCTGTATGGCATTAGCTGGACCACTCGGGCAAAAGAGACGTCTTGCCATGTAGATTATCCGTCTTCATTGATTACCGAACTGTCATTATCCTACCTTCTGATGAGCGCCTTGTAGCCGCTGATGGCTATTTCATACTGGACTATCTGGTCGTTGGCCTCAGCCGACAAAGTGATAAAGGCACTGCCTTCCGTCTTGACTTCGAACAGCAGGTAGCCCGTGTCGGGCTTGATGGGGTACTTGAAGTACTTGTAGACTTTGTTGTATGTGGTGGAGTCCTCCACAACGACATAATAACCTGAGGAATTGCAACAACAAAACAATGAGCTATACCTGTTTCGCCGCAGTAAATTGATCGGCACACGTATTAAGCCGTTTTGCAGATTATTTGAGCTTTTATTTTTATTAGCATTAAAAAACCTTTAAGAGCTTCACAAAGCTAAACGTTCGATGTTTGAAATGACTGACACGTGTCCGAATTTACTTCTTTTTTATCCATCTTTCAAAGTTTGTCAGGTATTTGGAACAGTTTTGGCGTGTGATTCAGTTTAATTTGCAGATGATTTCATTAAAGAAGTAGTAATATTTCATAATAGCAAATCAGAAGAAAAAGAACTAACTCATTGTAGACCGTGATGACCGCGCTGTTGCTGAATTCGGCCGTCATTGAGTAATCTCAACTCTTTTGGGGTTCATGATCACAATATACAGGGAGGTGCAAAAAGAAGGAAACCCAGTTTTGACAGCAATTTTGAATTATTCGCTGAGCAGATTTCAAAAATTCAATATAATGGTATTAAAATATTGATCTTTAAATATCAGTGACGAAAAAAATTATTGCAGATGTATATTTTGTCTCTGAGATGTGTAGTTTAAAAATGTCATGAGCCAAACATTTCGTCCACGGCCGGACGGTTTTATTCCATCCGCTTGACTGAGCTCCGGAGCTTGATTTGAAGACAAACTACACTAGACTAATTACACGTGGACAACAGTAATCTCGGTGACTTGTATTCAAATAAGCATGATAACACTATTCTTAGAATTTTTTTACAATTTTTTTTTCACCATCTATGGTTGAAGAGCAATACTTTACTACATTATGAAAAAAAAACCCGTTAAAATTCCAGTCAAAAGTGGGTTTCCTTCTTTTTGCACACCCCCCCCTGTAAAATATATACTCATCGGCAAATACTCACCTCGATCATCATTGATGTCTGGGATTCCATCTGTTCACGAAAACATGGGAAAAAATGTTCGGAGGTGGTTTAAAAATTTTAATTTGATGCAAAAATTTGATTAATGAATTTAATCTTTAAAACAATTCTTCGAAATACAAAAAAGGGTTCTGATCCCATGTGCATGACGTTTTAAATATGCGCTGTCCATACTTTTCAACAAATTCGATTTTTGTTGGAGACTTACAAAATTTCAACCGTTTTATTTCAAGGGGGAAAAGACTTTTCTTACCCTGGGTGTCTCAGACTTGGAAAATGGTTGGGTTTTGACCGCTTTTGCGCACAAGCACATTCACCCGAGAGAGTTGGCTGGTTTTTGTACATTAGTGATTCTGAGAGCGATACTATCATTGGCGTCGCCAGGATTTTTTTCTAGAGGGGGGGGGGGGGGGCAAAGCATTTTTCCCCCAAAATATCCCTATATTTTCCAGCATTTTCCCGATTGATCATTTTTCGACGGTGGGCAGGGACATTTGCCCACAACCCATTAAATCAACAACAATATGATTTCGCCCCCCCCCCTTGCCCCCCCCCCCCCTCGACGCCCATGTATACCATTGTCAACCGTAAGCCATTCAAAATGTGTATGATTATTATTATACTCAAAAGCTCATTATAGGCCATTTTTTCATTCATAGACTAAATCAAAAAAGAAACAACTTTTGTATTGCTGGGGAAAAAGAAATCAAAAATCTGTTCTTTGGGAGTGAAATTCGGGGGAAAAAGTATAGAATTATGATTATACGGTACATTTTTAAAATGTTTTTGTCATAAAGAAATTACAGGTAATACTATTGTATTTAAAAAAAAGAAGAAGTTTGTTTTAACTTACAAACGTCTCCTTTTACGAAGCCAATTGATGCAAGAGCTATCATGGAGATGAGGCCCACGACTGACCACATTTTGCCGTTGTTTCCCGATTGGGTAGCGTTTCAAATACACAGCTAACTTCTTGGACCAACTTATACTGCCTCCGTCCGCGTGTCAAGCTCGCGGGACTGCCCACTTTCGGCTCCCGTACCACTTTTTATAATTAGGCCCAAACAAGACTAAACCATTCTCCGAGGGGTTTTCTTATTTTTGAGAAGTATTATGCAACACCTTTCAAACATAGGAAGAATTGTTTTAATTTAATCAAAATAGATCGTACAGCTCGTCATAATGATTGCGGACAGTCGTATTATGCGAGTTACCAAAATGTTGGTATATTTTGTTGGAAATGTATTGATTTCTGTGCAAAATCAATATTTTTCTACAATTCCATTTTATGCCTACATACCTACTCATTTCTTTTTGGGATGTTCCACTTAAGCTTTTGTTCTATCTTACAGCATATGGTGTTATAAGTGTTCATTTCTAATGCCCGTTCGCTATAAAACCATATGCTTCTAAGCCCTCTCGTTATTTGCAAGGGAACACTCGTCACTGAAGGACCCTGCAGCCGGCCTTGATGACGAAAGTGCATAGATAAAACAAAAAGAATGCTAAACTGCAACGTTTGCAATATTGGTCCTGCCCGAAAACAGATATCTGATCAACTTTCCAAACATTCAAATTGTAGAGGAGACATTCGTCCACCAAATCTTATTTGTTCAGAACGGCGGTTAAGAATCATTTGGAAAGGTAGGGCGCCCTGAAATGTCCATCATCAATTCTAGTGCTCCATGTAAAAATCATGACCAAACTCAAGATATCGAGGTTCTCATAAGTAGGGGGAAAGTGAGAACTTCAGCTTACCCCTTCCCACTTATCAAAAAAATGTCGTTGACCCACGAAAGCATATTGCTGTTGTGTTGATTTTTGCTTCTTTCTCTTTCATAACTCGTCCCAACGAGGTCCGAGATATCAGTCGTTCGAACGAGGTTTAAGTTGTTCGAACGAGATTTTGAGTTGAATATCGAACGAGAAAATAAGAATTTCAAACAATATACTGTTGGTTTTTCGAGCGAGAATAACTAAGTCGTTTGAACAAGTGTCCCGTCCGTTCGAGCGAGATAATTATCTCGTGCGAACGACATGCATATCGAACGACAGTAGTCGATCAAACGACTGTTAGTATATTAGTGTATCATTCGAACGATTAGGGCAAAATGGATGGCTTTTGATCCACTTACAAAACTAAAACGTTGTAGCAACACAATAGTTTTTCCATGTTGAATAGCAATCTTGTTTTATTCTTTCAGAAACATCGTTTTCAGACAGACATATTTCTCAAAAAGGTTTGAAATTACCAGACAATCTTGAGATTCAGAAGCAAGGCTTTACTTTTCAGAATTTTTTTATTTTCAGGCAAGGAAACATTAACTCAGGTTGACTAGGTGACGAATTATGTTAGATTGGTTTGTGGGGCTTATTCCTTTATATTACGAGTAGTGACCGTCACACTTGTCTTCAAGTTTGAAAACTTCAATTTAAAAGCAGTGGACAACATTTGCAAAAGCCAAAAATGAAATTGTCGAATAACTATATTCATATTTGATTCTCAGAATATACCTGATTCATCATTAAGTTTGCTTAGCCGCTATTGATATGTTGTTTTTTGCCGTGTCCATTTTGTTTAGCCGTTATATATTTAACTTTTGTTATTTTTTCTAAATTCTATAATTAGTGTTGTTTGTCTTGTTTTGTCTTGTTTTGTTGGTTACATCTACCACAAGCTTCGGCTTTTTGGAATGATGCCTCCAGAGAGTGGAAATAAATGTTTTATAGAATTGAACTACACAATAGCTTACTTGGTTAGAATGAATTCCTAACGCCTGGTTTGCTGTAATTTTTGAGAAAAGAGGAAGTTTGAATCATTTTATTTTACTCTTAAGCGATAGTCCAGCTATTAAAACAATCATTGGATAACCGGCTTCATTTCTTCAAATAATCCGTTGACAAGCGCAAGTCAGCTATTGACTTCACTTGCACGCTCGGCTACGAACGTATGCATCCCCCGACACAGCAAGTGTAGCGTGAATATCCGACTCACATTGTACGGAAATCTTTAAAAAGGGAAACGATAATTGTTTTTACGGATTTGTTTGTTAACACTGTAAATCAGGCCTATATTCCGTTCGCTGTTCTAAACAGTCCTTCATCAGCCTGTTATCAAACATTATTTTCTTGAAAAATAATGTGAATAGCAAATTTTCATCCTTATTAAAAAAAAAACCCGAATATTTAAATGTAGACGAAAACAACATTACACCAGGACATTACACTAAGGGCGCAGCTGTTCACGATACCGATGTTCATCCGTTATGACAGCGCTTCGCTCGTACCCGGCACTCCTGCCCTGCAAACAGGTTTATAGGCGCTGGTCCGGGACGGGCTGATGACATTCACAGAATCTTGTTAAGGAAGTGGGAATGGCATTCTGGGTAACTTATCATGTCCTATAAATATATAAAGACATAATTAAAGCTGCTGCAGCTGTTTAAAGGGTGCGGGCTAGTCTGGTTACCTGACCCCATTGTCCTTTTGACTTCCAAATATCTTTAGGTGGGGCCGATGTCATATGAACATCCGACTCCTTTGAAAATCGTGACAGGTCACTCTCCCATAATGATCCAAAAAATAGCATATTATCGTACTTACGCATGACAATACCACCAATAAGTCCATATTTCACGGAGTCTAATGTTCACGCTACACCGGGAAACAGTCTTGGTGCAGGCCAGTAAATCGGTCCGAAATTGCCTACGCCGGCTAAATCACGATTTGCATGCCAAAACAATGAACAATGAACACTGCAATTGTGCATTAAAAAAAGGCAGACACGTAGATTTTTTACTCTTTGTATCTGGACACATATAGATTCTCACCTCCGTCTTCAACTACTTCGACTTTCTTAAAAAGAAAAAACATATAGGCCTAGTTTGTTAAAATTGGTTTGCTAACAATGCATCTATCGTCTCTCCGGAACATCTCAAATTCGAGCCTCTATTAAAATCTGTTCGCTGTTCCCAAACATCATTTTTGTGTGTGAGAAATAAAGCTTGTAAAATAAAATCCACAAGGCAAGCAACAACTTTTTAATCTATATATTTAATGTTAAAGTATCAAAACAGGATATTTCCCGCCGATTTTAGGCGTTTGCAGCCCTCTAAAAGAAAGCTTTTCTTTTGGGTTGCTTTTTTACCCATTCCACAACAAAAGATCCGTCTTAAGTATGATCAGAAATTAATTATGCTATAACTAAACGTGGACGGTGTTTTCCCGTTACGTTTATATAACTCTTAATATTCTTAAAAAATATCAATTAAATAAAAATACTTTTTGGGGTGAATCTCACAATTAGCATGAGGGGAGCAACTCTAAGTAAAAGTCCCGGCTAAGTAAAAAAGGAATTGAGCGATCCTTTAGCCTTTCATGATAGTATGCTTAGTAAAGACAAGTTTTAAAATATTTCAAAAACCGATCAAATAAGCCGATAATAAATAAGATGTAAACTGGTTGATCAGATGGGTGCTACCCGATTCGAAATCCGTCTCTGGATCAAGCGGTAGATGTCTTCGGTCATGAGAATAACCACGACGACACATGACGATGACCCCAGGAAGACGAACGACAAGTCGTAGCTCCCTAACTTGTCGTAGAGCCAGCCTTAAAAACAAAGACAATGTCAATAGAGAATAGCAATGACAAACATATTTGAAATAAGATATTGTTAGCCTTAGGTAAATCACGAGTTTTCAAACAAAAATCCGCACAAGAAATAATTAATCTGTATTTTATTCGAGAGGGAAAAAGGTGCTGTAATAACGCAATTTTCCGGGTCAGCAAACTAGAATTTAAAAAAATCCGGGTTTTGAAGCCGGTTAGTAATTTTAGATACTGAAATCAAAAAAGCCGTACTAATGTGTAAACTTGCGCCAATAACCGTTGGTTCGCGTATGTTTATACCCCCTAAATGATATTGCTATACAGCGCCCTCTTTTTTCTTTAGAAGAAGGCATTTGAATAAGTTTTTAAGTTTGACTTAACGATTTAAGCTACCAATAGACCTTTGTTAGGGTGCAAGAGTCACTCGTTCACCGCGGCAGTCTATTTAGGTCGCCACGTTTGTTTGCGTTATTTGCCTCGCTTTGATTTACAAGATGGCGTGTACCAACGGAAAGGTCTATTGAGTTAACAATTTTGAATATTCGCGGAGCCGTTCATTTTTTTTTTAATAATGAAACGAGATTATTTCAAGAGCCAGCTTCTCTCACAACGAACGGCTGCTCTCAATCTGTTTGTACTAAGTTATGTAAGGTATGCGAAAAGGCCTTTTCTCATTAACTCTTGAATTTGACACTGTATTCATGGCCATTTTAAAGCTTTAGAAGAAATTTGACACGCAGCATAAGACCGGAAATTTGTGAAGGATATTCACGATCTCATGATCGAAATTAGGAATGCTTGATTCAAGTTGCCAGGCAAAAACATCTTAAGCTCGACGAAATAGGACTATCCTCTGTTTCTATAAAACTCAAGGTTAGTCAAACCACACACATACTTTACCTGTTAAAAAGCTGGACAATATTCGAAACACTCCGCCCGTCATTTCAGCCCATCCCACCGCATTGGTCATTCTTGCGACACCGACCACGTCCCGCATCAAGGTATACGTCAGAGGCAGCCCGATGCCTAGTCCAAGCCCGAAGAAGAAGTTACTAGCGGCCAGCGGCCACTTGCCAAAGAGTAGCGGGTCGCAGAGCAAAGTGCATCCCATCAGGAGGTTGGCCAGGTACATTACCAAGCGCCCCTTCAGCAGCTTGAAGTCCACCAGGAGCCCGTGGCCGAGTTGGCCCACCAGGATACCGATGCCTCCCGCCCAGACGACAGTGGTGGAGCTGGAGGTGGTCAGATCCTTAGCGATGAGGTGGGGCACGGTGTAGACAATCCAGGCAATGTTGACGAAGCACAGGTTGCCCATGCAGAGTATCAGGGTCAGGTAGGACAGATCCAAGAACAGATCCAGACCCATGGCTTTAGAAAACTTAAGACAGAACTTCAAGCAGCTCCCTCGACCATTGGCCGAAATGTGTCTGTTGAGTTCACTTGCTGATGGCTCATGTCTCTCACGCAAAACGTGGTCAGTGCCGACCTCCCTGTAACCGACTTCTCCCCTTCGATGACATGATGGAGGCCTCTGGAGACTGCCCAGGGCAATCAGGTGAAGCTGGATACCACCAACAAGCAAGAGGGCGCCCTGCCACCCGTACGTATCCAACAAGATCTGGCTCACGGGCGCGTAGACCAAGATGCCAATGGAGGCGCCTGAGTAAGCCAGGCCGTTTGCGCATGCGTATAGTCGATGAAAGTATTGGCCCAGTAGAACGAGGGATATATTAAGAACGAGGCCAAAAGCGGGACCTTGAGAATGAAATATGAGATAGAAAATAAAAAGGTTGAGCGAGATTGCTAGACAACAAAAATAAAGAAGCTACAATATAGGGACATAACAATATTTTCACAAATAAAGCACGTTCCACGCAAATATCCATGTCTCTTAAATGTGCAAGAAATAAAGGAAAATCTTTTTTTTTTATTTCAGTGCATTTTTAAAAACTATTTTATTATCCACCGAGGGCGCAGTTGATGCAATTATAAACCCGAAATGTAGCTCAATGTTACAGTTTGTTCATTAACTGGCAGTGCAATATCAAACGTGTTACCGTAGAACGAGCCCAAATTGTTGTGGTATGACATCAGGGTTTTGCATTAATAAGGAAAGTTATTAGCATGAAACCAAAATCACGTCTTCTTTTTAAAGCATCTGTATAAAAACTGAACCTTCGAAGATGACATTATTGCTTTTCCCCCCATGAATATGGAAATTGTCTTTTTGTTTTGCCGTAGATGTGGAAATTGGTATTATAGCATTATACTAAAAGGTGAAGATGCGAAATGAATATCACTAGAAACTATTATTTGCAAATTGTATAAAATCATCTCTCACATTCTCTACAGCCACCATTTGTTACTTGGTGACTGTATTGCCTTTGTTAATTCTAGCCCCGGGAACCTTCATGTTGCCACGAAATTCACCATTGTCCAGGACAAGTCAAGGATCTTTTATTGTACGCGACCTGAAAACGCCCGTGCAGACACGGGTACGTGCACGGTCGTGGGAAATCTCGCGACGGACGACTTTCGTCACTAAACAATGGCAACGAGGAATGTGTGATCCAAGGTTAACACACAAAGTTAACGTGGGCAATAAAGAAACAATCTCATGGCTCATTAACCTCATTATATATATGGTTGAGGTATATTTTATTTTAGAAATTTGTCGAAGAATTAAAAATAAAATAAAAAATGTTTTACCGGTGACAAGAACGAGACAGGCAGCAAACTGAAGTAGGGTACGAGCGAAGGAAGCCCCTATAACCCCAACTCCCGCGACGAGTCCACTCACAAGCGCTATTTGGTGATACTGCCATCGAACCTCTAAAGCCCTCAGCAATGGTCCTAAAATTAAAAAGAGTGAAGTTGTTTGTTCTTTCTTCGGAGTGAAAGTTGAAATTAGCACTGGCAGTAGCCTATATCTCACAATACCACATACTGTTTGCATGTTAAAACAAGGTGTCAAAGTGACTACCCAAAATCCATGATTTTAGCCGGAAAAAACAGGTCTTTTGACCAAAAAGAGTTTTTTGACCCACAAAATCACCCTCAACTATATTCCAACCCAATGACATACCACTCAAATGAAAGATCTTGTTGTCCTCTTTAATTTGATACCACATTTGTTGTTGTGATGCTTGTAGTTCTGAAGATTATTATCAATTTATATTTTTTCATGTAATAATTAGCTGATGACGTCATAATGACGTCATACATGCCCTTCCCATCATCCAATTTTTTGCGTCCGTCTTTTTATCGAAAAGGTATACCATGGAAATGTTTTGGTGAAAAAATTGTGCTTTTGTCCACTGTGTAACGATCCTTAGCATTTTTGATACTAATGTACCTCACTACTAGGCATAGCTACATCTTTTAACATTGTATGCACGCAGACACTATTGTTTATGGGACAATAGTTGGCACACATACACACGAATACTTCTATACACTGGCCTGCAAGTTCAACCCCCCCCCAACAAAAAATCATTATATGTTTACATTCGAATTAAGACGAAGTTCATTCATCGATCATGAACTTGGTGGTGCATGGTGGTATTCACAAAGCCAGACGCAAATATCGTGACAAGGCATTGTGCACGTTTCTTCGTGATTTATAATGGTGAAAATGTAAAATGCGTCTTAGCTTCTGTTGGGACTTCTAAGTATCGCTTTAGGGGTTTGGGGTCCTACTCCTAGGGTTGGAAGGGGGGATTTTTTGTCTGCAATTTAATGCGCCAGCCTTCGTAACCAGATCTAGCGGTCCTTCTACACCGCTATTATACATATTTTAAGGATAAACATAACTTTCTATCCTGTTACTTTCAGAAACATTTCCTCGTTCTGCCACCCTGGACCCGAAGCTATGCTCGCCATTTCTAGAAGCAAAACCCCCAAAGAAACAAATTACCTGTTTCTGCTAGCGTACCGAAATAGCTTAAAAACCACCGGTGTACAAGATTCGGATGAACACTTTTTGCTAAAACACGCTGAGCATTCAGTATACGTCGGTGGAGGGCAACAAACTAATTGAATTTACATCGCCCCGACGCAAATTCCATCTATGAAAACACTGCAAAAAATGGCGGCTAGAGGATAAACACATCGTCGGTCGCACCACGAACCGGCGTATCTCGATTTTTTGCCAAATTGAGTTTTTGTCATTAACGTTATTATTTCATCAAAGTGCTCATTCTCAGAAAGTTTTATTCCGATCGGAGTTCTAATTAACTAAGAACGCTAATTAGATTGTGCGGCGTATCTCTAAAAAATGAAAAATGCTGCACCACGAAGTGGCGTATCCCGATACGCCGCTTTACACGCTAATTTCCATAGTGCTATGACGTCACAAAGCAGCGTCGACATGAAAAAATGGAATTAAGCGTTTCACGAACCGACGGATCTCTGTATCTGGCACACGGCCACTATTACGCGCTTTGTATAACATAGGAAAAACATGATAAAAATCTGTTTCACGAAGTGACGAATAACTTTGGAGCAGAATTTCTCAAAAACTTAGCAACTCGATGCACACGGATTGCATACAATAAAGTTCAATCTATAATTTACCAGCAAAAACGAAACAGCTTGAATTCTTACAAGGAGAGTATATGGAATGAACCTACAAAATAATGACCAACTTTAAATCGGTTTTTCTCGAAACACAAAAAAATGCGATACGTCGGTTCGTGGTGCAACCGACGACATTTTAAACACATAACAATTATCTTGTACCCACTTTTTGACATGTTCAGCCCACGACATGTTTAAGATTTCGGAATTAAGTGTTTAAATGTTGACATGTGTTTAGCCCACGACATGTTTAGATTTCTGATTTATATGGGCTAGATGTTTAAATTTTGACACGTGTTTAGCCCACGACATGTTTAGATTTCGGATTTAAACGTTTAAATTAAGCATTTAAACGACTTTCGAATAATGTCGGTTGTACGTTAGGGGCATACCAACAATGCAGTCATGAATATTCCCCTTCGGTGCGGGGTCAACTTCAGCTCAGTCCACCCACGTTATTGCGAACAAAAGAAGCAGGTTGATTGGGACACTTTTCAATTCGGACGTCAGCATCTTTTTAGTGGCGCTCTATAGGGCCGACCTTCTATGGTGCGGTTTGGAAAGGTCAATATCATGGTTTCACCATGAAGGATTCCAATATTAAAATACGAAAAGAGATTTAATGCGATTTTTCACTTACGGTTGCAAAAGTAAATTTTATTTATTTATTTATTTATTTCCAACAAAACCTCCATAAAATAAAAAAATAAAATTACAATAAATACATAAAATTATATACATAACAACGTGTTCACAAACAGGATAACCCCGACACTCAAGGACGACCCCCAGATAATCCAGACAACGTCAGAAATTAAAGATTGTCAAAACGACCTGAGCAGTCCACCAAGAGTGCCAAGATCATCATAATCAAGAAATTGGTTACGATACAAAACTGCCTTGACACTATCACAAACACCATGGTTGATACAGTCTACATTCTTAATGGTAGAAATGTATTTCCGTCTGAGTGATGGACTAACAATGCAATTTAGTAGTGAGAAATCATCACGCATGCTAAAACTGCTTATCGTGGATTCGTTTGAATAATTACACATTACGGTCAAGAAAGTGCGTTTTTGGACAAAACGCCACAATTTAACATGACTTTTGTGAACACAAATTTCGTCAGTCCCGATTGGTCAGTTACTGCGTAATGAGATTCCCTGTAAATAAACATGTCTCCAAAAGCTAACCACGTTAAGAGTGTTTACAGTGGATACGCGTTTAGCATTTTAAAACACTTTCCCAAACGCCTTAAGTGCAAATATGTAAACATTGTGTCGAAAAGAGAAGCACAGTTTTTTTTTATACTTTCGCGACGTTAACAGATTATTCAAATGAAGCGAATGCTTCCAGTTGACGTACGCCTCCTTTATTTGCTTGGAATTTCTTAAATTGTTGGATAAGGGATTGGGGCTCACTTTAAGATTGGTTAGGCCTATGTGTCTGTAGTCTGTTACGGGACAGCTGATGCTCTATGCAGCCACGTCTGTGCGCTCGGCTTTATTTTAAATGGGAGCAATTTTACGAGTTGCTTAAGTTATACCAACTCGGTTTGACTAAAGCACTTTTTTAGTCTAATACCCACTCCAAATCCCACCTTATTTTAAAAAAGCATTTCTGTTATTTTACCTGTCAGTCCCCGGGCTGCTAGCATTATCCCAATGGCAGAGCCGACCGGCCATGTCTCCGTGTTCAGCTGCACAGCGATAGACTGCAGCATTATCCCCAGACTCTTGCAGAGTCCCTCCCAGAGAAGAAAGCTTAGGTACGCCGCCAGCAGCACCAGCCACCTGCGTCTCTCCTCTCGCTCCGGCAACGGGCCGGGATCCTCATCTTTCCCCACCGGTGCGCAGCAAAGCGTGATCATTATTTTCGCCGGACCCACTGTCCTCCGACCGGCTTAGTCGCTGACTGATGGCTGGCTTAGTCGCTGACTGATGGCTGACTGACTCCCCGACTGAATGATCGTATCACCGGGTATAATGAACAGTCTGATAGTTAAACTGCAGTGCAATTTTTTTGGTCCAACTCGACTGGAAATTCTAGGACTTGTTCACTCAGTGTTGCGAGGACCTCACTCTTGCTTTTAGTGAGTACTGCCCGCCTATGAACCACCGTCAAGGCATAGGTCAAGGCAAGGCCAACTTATATGATGCCGAATCCGGGGGTTATTGCATGGATAATATTACATAATTATTATTTGATCTGGAGTGCCTGATCGGAAGTGCCAAATCTCTTTTACTCATATTAAAGAAAGTGTTTGATAAGGAGATCTCGATGCAGTCGAAGCTCTTAATAATAAACAGGCTAATCTTATTAATGTGCGTAAGATTAAAAATGAAAGGTGTATTATTTAGGTCAAAGACTCGCTGGATGGAATGCGAAAAATACAGTTCGAATGAAAGTCAATTTTCATAGAACAAAGGCAACACGTTCCTCTTGCAAAAGAAGAATTAAATTGGAGGTTCCTTTGATTAACTATTTTGCAAGGTCATTTTTACAGGCTCAGTTTTGTCAACTAAAATTTTCTGTCAAAAAAAGGGCGCACTAAACAAAATCTCGCGCGGAGACGTGCGTGCCTCACAGTTTCGCTCGTACCCCCCGCCCTGCAAACAGGACGCCTGGGAAGGGCTGATGAATTTACGCTCTGATTGGATAGATTTTGCATGACCTGTGACCTGCAAGTCATCACGGCCACGACCCTGCAAGGTTTTGTACGGCCGTTAAGACTGAGTCATCACTCTTTCATTCCCATTCATACATTTTTTTTTCGTTGAGAAGCGTAATAATGTAGGAAAATCTGTAAAACTTATCTGTTTTGTAAATTTTCAATTCCCGTCACTTGCTCAGACTCCGTTTCGAAATCACGAAGGGTCAAATGGCATATTATGCGACGCTCAAAATTTGTCCACATGGTCCGCAATGAAAAAGAAATCACTTCCGGTATGGAATGTGTGCATGTCTATGGGAAACTTTTCGGATAGCATTTGCGCGCATTGGCTAACTACGGTCTTAAACAGCTGCAGCCAGATGTCTTTATACATAGGTCATGATAAATTACCCAGAATACCACCCCGACTTCCTTCACAAGATTCTGTGAAGCTCACCAGTCCTTCCCGGCGCCCTGTTTGCAGGGCGGGGGTAAGAGCGAACCCCACAGTCAACTTTAATTTACTTTCAAGAGAGGGCGCGCCACATAAAAAGTGATCACCACCGCAGTAATTGACAAAGCCGCGGCGTCAACACGGATACCTCACTATTGAACAAAAAGAATACACTCGTTTTTTTTGGACAATAACTCAAGATACTAGATGTATTAAATTGAAATTTCGTCCGCTGACTTTCCATGATGTGTAACATTGGGAGATCGAATTTAATGAGAAACTGTCAAACAATAAAAAACAAAGTAAGACGCGAAAAATACAATCCGAGTGAAAGTCATCATTCATGGACAAATTATACGCTCCTTTTTTGGGGGCAATAACCAGAAAATTACCAGTTGTACTAAGTTGAAATTTTGTCCAGTGATCGGTCGTGATATGTAACATTGGGAGATTCAATTTGTGATGAGAAACTGTTAAACATTTAAAATAAAAATGACCAAAGCAAGGTAGGTTACCTGGGGTATTTACCTGGGGGACACTAGGGGCTCATTAAGAAGGGCACTCAGCTCCTTGTTTGCCGAAATTCTAAGCAGGGGCGGGACACAATTGTCAAGGGGCGGCACTAGGCCTCTTGCCTACCCCGTGTTCTATCACCTCTTGTTTGATGTCTGCTAATAAAGCGGTTATGAATGCGCTTTATGTAATGTGCTCAGGAATTCCCATCTGGCATCGTTGATGAATAAACCCATTGGGGGGCTCGTTTTTTGTCAATTTTCCGGGGACAGACGTATGCAAGATTGATGCGCATTCGCATCAATCGAGACAAAGCCCGTTTTCCGATAACTTTCGCCAAGAGTGCAAATACTGACGACGGCATGGCATTTCATAATTTTTTTGGTCAAATATTTTTGGTCAATTTTGGGGGACAGACAGACCAACCGACCGACTGACTACTAAGTGACGTGATACAAAGATACACGATACAAAGCAATTATTCTATTCAATCAGAATATTAGGACACAAGTTAGGATCTGCTGTATCGAGGTTAGAAAGTGGACACAGGGGCATAGGTTGGTCGCTGTTTGCATGTGACCGAGTCAGGCATGCACTTCGGACGCATTGGTTGCGGCTATCTGGCAGGAGCTTCTACATGTCACCTGGTGGTCGGTCGGTCGGTCGGTCGGGCGGTCTGTCTGTCTGTCTGTCTGTCTGTCTGTTTGTACTGTCTGTCCCCGAAAATTGACCGAAAGTATTGACCAAAAATTGACCAAATGCCATGCCGTCGTCAGTTAATTGACGAAAGTTATCGGGAAACGGGATTTTGTCTCGATCGATGCGCATGCGCGTTTATTTTTCATAATCTGTCCCCGGAAATTGACCAAAAACGAACCCATAAAATAAAACTACCAAATTCAATTTAAAAAAAAAAATTGAAGCACTAAAAAAAAAAAATTGTAACAATTTGTTAAGTTGTTCATGAAAATTGTGCCAATGGATGTCGTGCAGTATTGATATAGTCACGTGGTATTTTGTATAGTGGTTGGACGGTATCAAGAAGGAGGAAATGAACATTGGCCAAAAGTATGGTGTTCCATAATGTGCCATCGGCGTCGCAAATTTCGCCAGAGCTTATTGTGCACTCGCACCTGTTTCCTCGATCACGAGATCTGCCCACAAAAGGCATCGATGGTAGACGTCTGCTGGTTTGTCACAACCAAGTCAAGGGGCGGAGGTCATAATTATTAATCACCGGAACTACAATTTAAAGGCCATGTTCGTAATGAACATTGTTGTCTATCAGCTAGGGTTATTGCCAACATGACAAAGCATGAAGCCTTAGCTGGAAAATACCCGAATTTGAACACTTACGAGGGGAGAGCGAAAGTTTATTCAGTGACCCGGTTTAATCATCATCATCGTCGTCCTCACATGGTCTAATACAGGCAATCAGTCTTAAGACTCCTCTGATAATTTGCATCTATCCTAAGTTGCCTTTCCGATCTCGGCTGGGGTGATACAGGGGGAATCGGGAACCCAAAATAGGCACAGTCGGAAATGAAAACCACAAAATTAAAAACGGGCGCCCTTACGGGTCTTTACAAGCTTCCCCCTTGAGCTTATATGTAAGTGTGATGGTGCTCCAGACCCTGGCATTTTTTTACTTGGGGAACTGTTAGACATCATGAACCGGAATTATCCCTAATTGAATAGCCACCGTGTTCCGCACACGCACAGTGAGTCAGGATCATATGTTCTCCTTATATAGGACCCTATTATTAGTCATTGCCCTATACTATATGCGCAAAAAACGCTCAACGAGAACAGATGCAGGGTGAAACAGACAAGAAATCCCTTACATCCTCAAACCAGCTTCTGCATAAAGCTCTTTGCATTATATTCCTTCTTGTAAGCAATGTGTCCACGAGTCTATCTATTAGATAACTTCCATACCAATGAACTACCGGTATCAGCCCTAAGGACCTCGGATCTTATTTGCACCTAACTTCATACCTTAACTCATGTTTCCTGTTATTAAAAGCTTAACTACTTGAAGTAGAGTCTGAAAGCACGCCATTTGAGCTTCCGGACCCCGGCTGAGCGACCCCTTTGCGGCATTTTACACGGGCTGCCCTTTCTCTTGCTATCATTTTTAACGGAAAGATATCTAACCGTAATCACCCAAAGAAACATTCATTTGGGAATTTTATCTTTTCCACAAGAAAAAAAAATAATGACACATCAGTTGGAGATGGATAAAAACGAATGTTATACTTAAAACCTTCACATGCAACATTTTCGTACATAGGTCTCCTTGTTCGATCACGTTTGTTTTCACATCGCATACTTGCGTAAGAATGAGAGTGATAACGATTCGACAATTTACCTACTACATCCGATGGGTTCTTAATTTAATCCGGCTAGCTTGAATACAGTTCTTATCAACGGTCATTTCAAATTTATTTGTAAATGATAATAAGTCCTTCAAGTTTTTTTTTTTTAAATGTATGTCCTAAAGACAGGTTAGTCTCCTATTTAAATTTCAGTTTTTACTTAATGACTGCCACACAATTATTTCATAAATTTTCATCTTTCATACGAGTTAACCGAGTGCCACTCGTCCACATGTATTATAGATTTTTTGGAAGGGAGAGGTCAATTTTTCAGGCACGACATTTCTCTTTCACGTCATGCGATTTTTCAGTTTCCATAAATTGAGATGCTAATAACAATTTAACAATGCCCGTTTCGAGAGTGTTTTCTTCAGAAATCAATTAATGTATCATTTTTTTTTTTTTTTTAATTCTGACTTGTACACGCTTATTTTTCTATTCGAGGGGTCCGGAAGCGCGCCACCAGGTGTCAACTGTCAGGCTCTATTGCAATGAATGAAAAATACTTAAAATAATCAGACCATTTCGAGTGCACGCGAGACGATATTTGCACGCGAGACGGGCAGCTTACTAACAATGGTAAACGTAATTTGGACTTCAGCTCCCGTGTCGACTTTTACAGATGTATTACCTGCATTTATTTTTGAAAAATCTTAATGGTATAAACGAAACGAAAGATTGCTAAGATTAGGTTTAGGATTATGACCCAAGTTAATGTTCTTGTAGTCACACAATTATTATCCAAACTTTTTTCAGGTAGTTGAAGTGAATGTTTCGTGCGGAATTGACTTCGAAGATAGCCCCGTGCGGCCGGTAGCCAAGACTGGACCTAAAAAAGCACACAGTTAAAAAGTGGGTCAACGGCAATTCCCGGACGAAAATGAAAAAAAAGAAGGAAATGTGCTAATAATTTGCTAAAGGAAATCAATTTAGCAAATTTTATCAGCATAATCATGGGCAGTTCCATTTCACCATTTTTTTTCAGTCCATTGGGACTTATCTGGCTTCCGTTTTGAATGATTAGGTTGACAAGCTGCGGATTTTGTTCTCCATGGCGAAATCGTGCGTGACCCTTAAACGGCGCAATATATAAATTATGTGGCCTTAGCACGAACCAAAGGGGTGCCATTTCCTCCCCGCGAAATTAAGTGAATGCACTTAATATAACTTCTTATATCCTTAAAATAAAAGTTGGGTGGGGGAGGGGGAATTGTAGAGCAGGAGATCAGGAATTATCAGCCTGCCCGCCTTACTGCAACGTTATACGGGCGAGCACGTGAGCTTCACGCGCTTGGTGACCTACAAGAAGCCACCACGGGTGATTACCGCTCACGTATGCGTCATACACGCTGACCTATGGAAAGGCAGTTGAGATCATCAAATGCACAGGGTAAAAGAGACTTCCCCCCTCCGAACTAGGCTTTTCTGACGGGAGCTTCTGGCGGGAAAGGCGTATAGGAGAGGCTTGCTTTGTTGCGCAGAGAGGTAAGTTGTCTGTGGTTAAAAACATATCCTCATTAAAAATGTCCATACTCATTTTGATTTTTTGGCAATGCATATTAGATGGTTGCACAGGAAAGACGGATTCCTACCTCTCGGCTTGATGCATGCACATTGTCTTCTTTATTATTCAGTGGCAGACTCTTCACCTTCAATCAAAGACCAATTGAAGCGCAAAAAAAAAGACTCAAGATTCTTTCGGTTTTGGTTTACCTCTAGATTATATAGGCCCTACTCTATTTGACCGAGAAAAACTCTTTAACGAATAGTTGAGGTAAATTCCAGCACTCTTCTTAAATAAACACCGCAAAAAAGAAAGTCCACACTCATTGCGTTGCTCATAATTTTGAATCTGATCGTCTTATGATGACGTCATTTATATATACCCTGGGGAATTTTGTTAGCTACATTTTGATACCCCGTTTGCTACCAGAGACTATAAATCGTCCAAGATTGACAACGGTTTATGAAAAATGATTTAAAAAGTTTAAAAAGTTGCATTTAGGCTAAACAAAAAAAGTCTCCGGTTTCTGGTATGCGCGCGCGTCACCGTAGCCATGCGCGTCGGCAAAATGAAAAAGTTTTTTTTTCATTACAAGATGATGTTTCAAAACCGCCAAACTCACTGGTTTGACTAAAATTCTGCTGCTGCACAATTTTAACGTGTTTTTAGATGGGGTTATGATCGAGAATAAGATTTATGTGGCCTCTCTGGACCATATATTTGCACTAAGTTTAGTCGGGCACCATTTGCAGTCATCAGCCGACATTTGAAGCAAAAAAATCAGGTAGAAAAAAAAAAAAGCTGCGTCGCCGCACCACTTTTTGGGCAAGCTCCATACCAGAAACCGGAGACTTTTTTTTTTTTGGCCTTAGAGAGTACGCGAGGAGAAATTGCCGAGCGACTCACACATGCCCGTAATTGGCCCCTGTCGACTGCACAGTGCCGGAACATGAAGCGTGGGTCTTTTGAATAGCCTGCGTGCTCCCACGCATTGTTTCGGGCACTGTAACATGTCACGCCGCAATTTCCACTCGTGTGATCTTTCAAATTTGCAATTTTTGCAACTGCATCATTTTTCATACACCGTTGTCAATCTGGAACGATTTACAGTCTTTGGTAGTAAACGGGTTGTCAAAATGTAGCTAACAAAATTTCCTGTAAAGCTCTATATAAATGACGATATCATAAGACGATCAGATTCAATTTATAATGAGTGTGGGTCCTTCTTTTTTTGCGGTGTTTTTATGAATAACTCATTTAAATAAGACTGTCTCGTATTAAATGGACTTTGTGATATAATTTTTAGCAATAGTTCAATATGCTATATATGAATGTGTGAACGGCGACGTACTGCGAATCACTTGACCGTCGTGGGTGAGAATTTCCTGGGTTTTTTTTCAATTGTACGGCTATGAGCGCTATGGAGGAGTTTGTCGTGTGCTAGCCACCTTATTTCTACCAAACTTGAGTTTCAAATGCAACTTATGACCGACATTTAAAACCTGAAAACTCAAATTAGTTCTTATTTTCCCCTCTATAATTTATTGTCCCTCGGGTATCTGTGAGAAAGATTTTGTTTGAAGTTACCATAACGACACTACTAACAGCCAAATTTCTTGGTGTTGAAGTTGGCTTATTTCTACACTTTGACTGATCGAGAAGAAAATCGCAGCATGCGTTTTGGAAAAAAAAGTCAAGAAAGGGATGAAGTAACCAGTACAGGAAAATCAGATGTTTTTTTATAATGCTTCGATTTTTACCGAAGACCAAAACAATATTTTGTTTCATTGAAAAGTTAAAGGAGGGGCAAGAACGTGCAATAAACTGATAATAATGTAATCTAAGTATAAACGTACCTTTGGAGAAGAGTTGTCAATGGATTTATAACAACTCCCAAAGCCAACTTTTGAAAACTCTCAAAATCTGCTTCGATACACGTACACATCACGTTGAACGAACATTCCATAGACAACTGGGAAGCTCAATCCCGACAATTTCTGATTTTTTTTTTACTACTACGTGTAGTTTGCTTTTAGACAAATAACAATATGTTAAGGATGTCACCTACCCTTAGGCTATCCTTGAGAAAGGTATTGTTTGAAGATGCTATGCCTCTTAAAGTTAAACCTCTATGCAGCCTTTAATTCTTTTGAGTTGAAGGTGGTTACTAAGATAATATTTTATTCTGACGCACCTTTAGCATTACAACAAATCCTAGACACAAATCCCGACAACCTTGGAGGTGAATCTGTGAAGGTCAGTTCACGTACAGGTCTCACGTCCTATGATTACTCATCTGCATTAATCTGGCGCTCTTTTCCATTTTAAGATTACCTTAGTCCCATCTGCAAAAGGCAGCTTCGTGAAGTCCAATAGTGGCGCTTCATGTTTGCTCTTAAAAATATCAGTTAACATTATTGATTCGATTTGTTTGTGCTCGAAATTTTTTGCGTAATGATTTCAATATTTGTTTTTGTTTACCGACCACATACTTGCAAATCCCACCGATTGTTGGCGATAAGGTACCAATTTCACATGGTGACGTAATCCCGGCCTAGAGCGCCCTCATGAGACTGAAGCTAGGAATTGCATTTATATGAAGTCAACCATAGAACTTAATTAATATAACTCTATGAGTACAACCCTGCTTTTTTTCGGGGGGGGGGATAAATTTGTCACAGAAATCATTATTGATGTATCAATTCGACTAAAATTCTGAAAATTTGATGAGAGGGGTTGAACTCAAATGAAGTGCAAGTCATCAACGATCGGATTTATACATAAAGGAGGGTTTAACAAATTGGAAACGACGGTCCTTGGTTCAAAATGCGAGGTAGTAATCTGAACTATTGGGAATATTAGATAGCACGTGTGATGTGAGTGAATATCTCACGACGAATCATTCACGAAATCTATACCGTGAGATCTCTCATTGTTCAAAATAATTAACTTGTCAACAGCATGGTTACCGGTATATTGTATGGATATTCAGAAACTTCCAACCCCATAAAAGCGTACACCTGCAACGCTCATCGCAAAAGGACAAAGATGATAGTTTGGGCCAAACAATTAGGATTAGCAGGTCTGACGTCATTCTTTCTAAAATTGCCCTCAAAGGCCACAACGCCTACAGATCATAATTATATTTCCTGTGTTAATCTTTTGGAAGGACAAGATATTTGAAGAATAGTTATGATTTTCATCTGGTGCCTATATATTAATGAACCTGTTATACAAACTTGTATTGCAGGGGAAGACCTTACCTTTTGTGCGAGGGTATAGAAGCGGAAGACAAGCATCATGATCACCGCTGGGTCAGATGACGAAGAGGTTGTGGTAGACGCCGGGGCAAAACACGTCAGATCTCTGCCACTTGAACAAGAAATATGTAAGCAACTTACGAAACACCTTATTACCCATCCTCCGATTTTTTTAACCCCACATTAGCAATTCAGGCATCGATTTACCGAGCGACTTTCATACCGAAAGACCGGTAGACTGTTTCCCTTAAATCATCAAATCTGCCAAAAATTAAAATGGCCCATTGTGTTGGTCCTATGAATGAAAATACCTGCAGTGAATAGCCATTCTGATTAGATTACATCCCGGGGCCAGTTTAATTAGGCTTGCCTAATTAATTTGGCTCTCATCCTCACCATCAGCGTTTGTTCTATCCAGTACTATGTTTGGTAGGCTTCTTGTAATTATTTCAGGAAGGCCTTCCAATTTGTTCTTGTAAGTTTTCGTTATTTTCTTGAATCTGTACTTGTGTAATGTTCCTGTCTTTTTTTGCATACTGTGATTCATGGGAGAACAGTGGATTCCACTGAATGGGCCACTCAGTTAAAAATAAGAAATAAATGAAGGAATGCCTTGCATTGTCTCGTTTAATTTTAAATTTCATGGGAGTTGTATTTGATGACGTCATGATGACTTCACAAAAAGATCCACATCTTGGGATAAGGGTCGACGTCTGTTAACGTTCCATGTGCAATTAATGACTGATTGACCATTTGAGTTGATTGTACAGGGTGAGCTAAATAAAGTGACAGAATCTCTTAATTTGCATACTCTATTCCCACATTATAACTACCTTAATAACATATCTCAAAATCCAGCTGATCAGCACTGACCATTTGCTGTTCTACGAACTTATGAATACCCATTAACTACAATGAAACATAAAGAGAATTTGCAAAGGAAAACACACAAAAATTCGCCGTCAATATTTCAGAACAAAATGAGTGGGCTTGTTCTTCATAATATTCGAAACACAAAATCTCACAATAAAATGAATGTTTCAGGCTTGACTCAAACGATTAAAGTCCCATTTGTGTTGAATTCGTGTGGTGATATTATTCTCGCTCACCTCAATAGCTTCCAGTGGCATTCCATGGACGGCTATAAAAATTGCATATTTTATTAAAATCTGCATAACTTCTGATAGCGCGGATCAATGTCAGATGAGTGGAAGAACATGCTCTTTGAAGACATACTTTATTCGGGTTATCTAATGTGATCTTTATTGAAAAAAAAATCATGAATCCAGGTCTCTCTCTTTTTGACTCACCTTGTATTTGCATTTGCTAGCCCGCCGTCGAAATGACATTTACGTCGGTGTGCACATGCCCCTTCGCTCGAGGTACAATGCGAAACAAAAACGAGGCTCAGAAACGACCAGCGGAGATGCCAAACCGACGACAACGCCGAATGGGGTGGGCCCACACACCGTACCACTTTATGATGGTGAGTAAAATCGTAATTCCAGGTAAATCGTTCCAAAATAGTTTCTCATCTGAATCGTTCTTTCCAGTGAATGACCATAATATGTAAGCTGGCACTATAGTGGTATTCCCTAACGTGTCGCACTTCGAGGTTTCCCCCGACTTCCCTCATGCAGTGTTGCCAAACCTCTCTGTTGAAAAACTTCAAATTCATTCAGTTAAATACTTGTAATAAAGCTTGCCGCTGAACCCTTGTGAAAACTCGAAGATTCAAAAACAGTGGCGCCGGCGGAAATTGGGCACAAATTTGGCCGAGTGTTTCCTAACGTGGTGTACTTGAATAAATCTCGGAAAATCCCACGTCAAAATTTAAGAATTTCTTTAAAGTTGATATACATTCTGATAAATCATTATTATCTTCACTCACATACCCAACTACAAGTTTGTCAGAAAATTATTTTGCACTTTGAAAATTATTATGCACTTTGAAATAAAATCGAAAAATCACGCCAAACTGGAATCTCTGTGGAACTTTGTAGCGGATACGTGAACTCAAGATTTATGAACGGGAATGTTTAGAGCTTAATGAAATTTCACTAACTGTGAAATTTGAGGTCGAAAAAAATTCTCTAGCAAGACACTGGAGGCGAAAACTCCACGTGTGCCACGTTAGGGGCCGCGCCACGTTAGGGTACATCAGCACTTTTTTACCAATATTGAGATCTTGTGTGCAATTCAATTAACCAAATGTGAAAAGAATACTGCCGCCATAATACAAGGTGAATAGGCTTCGAAAGTGCCACATGTTGTAATTTGGATGTTTGCTTTTAATGTTCACAGGTGAAACAGCTGCACAGCGAGTCAAGTTTTTGCTCGGTGAAGAAGGAGAGAAGTTGGCAGAGACCCATGACATCTTCTCGGAGTTGGAGGAACTGTTTTACGATGAGGAAGGCAATCTGCTCGAGTGGAAAGAGACTGCAAGGTGAGAGAAAAAAATCATTGTACCTAAAGCAAATTCTCGGAAGTACTGTTACAACTGATAAAATAGTAACCAACGGATATTGTGTCACCAACCGATAATGTCCCAAATTAACCAATACTGTATTACTAACCGATAATTGACCGATAGTGTAGTAAAATTTACCACACTATTGGTCAATTGTCGATACATTATCGGTCGTAACCAATAATGTAACAAGCATTGACCGATAATTGTTACATTATCGGTTAGTATATAATACAATATCGGTTAATTTTTGTGACGACATCGGTTGGTGATACATTATCCGTTGGTTACTACATTATCAGTTGTAACAAAGTACTCAATCCAGTTTCTTCCCACTCACTGCCTCACTATAAAACTAGTTACCTATCCTGTTTTTCCGTTGATTATTATGTGTCCCGGTTCAAGCGTAACGTAAATACTTATTCATTTACTTTTTTTTCTTCATTTCCTTGGCTTCCTTTTTCTATCCCTTCTTTGTGTAGCCCTTTTCTCGAGTGGCCCTTAATTAGTACCTTGTGATGGGCTACTCTCATAAGGTATGTTATTGGTTTTTAACGTCCTCCATAGAGATCAACCTTGAACATGTACTTTTCTGGTAATTTTATACCAGACGTCACCATGGTGTCGTTCACTATGACCATTATGATGACAAGCATGAACTTTGAACTTAGAAGAAAACGTTCGGTAAAAAAGAAGAGCTCAACAATACAGCTATATGTGAGAAACAAACATCTTAAAGATTGGAATTTGTGGGATAAAGCGTTCTTAAAATGCTCATGTTGTATGGTTTTCTACTTATAATTTGACGGTTGATGACGTCGTGGATTATCCAGAGCGATGTATCTCTAAAGATAATGTTAACTATATTCTTGACAGGGTGTATATTAAATTAGAAAATTGATACATGTTTTCAGTACCTGTGGACTCTCTTTGGTTTAAAGGAGTATTTTATGACAAGGACCCATGAAAGATATTTCTTTTCGATTCTCATGTTATCACCATTTCTCATTCTTGTGTGTATCTTGACAGATGGGTAAAATATGAAGAAGATGTGGATTACGGAGCAGGACGCTGGAGCAAACCCCACGTAGCTACTTTGTCTCTCCATAGTCTCTTTGAGCTCAAGAGGTTGCTCCACGGTGGGACGGTGCTCCTGGACATGGATGCGGAGAACATGTGGACCATATCTGGTGAGATGCATCCACTGTAAAGAGGTTACCAAGGTCCAAATTCATGTATTCCTGGAGCACTAGGATTTACCCTATTGAGGCTTAATATAAAAAGTGTATTGTAAAAAAAAAGCACCATGGTCGGTACACCAATTTTTTGTTTTCTGAAAGATTTCATCAAGTGTTGGGGAATTTCGGAAATTGATCATTCTTGTTATATCTATAACATTTGAATGACGACATCATAATACATGTCAATACATGTACATAATGTGTTTTATTGTATTGGTAAAAGTCAAATACATTCAGTATATGTCAATTACATGTGGATTGATGTGGTCCAATGGTTACGGGGTTCTACCCATGTGCCATGGTACTTTGGTCCATATACCTGCCAAGGGAACATGGTACATGTACTTTTGTTCTTGGGCAAGACACTTTACTACAATTGCCTCTTTTCCCACCAAGGAGTACAAATGGGTACCTGTGAGGGTAGAGATCAGATTGCGCTGACCTCGACTGCAGAAATATGGTCTCGTGGCCTGTTAAACAGGGGTAATAATTATGAAGCGCTTGGGCACCTACCTTTCAAGCGCTATATGAGTACCATATATAATATTATTATAACTCTTATTCATGAGTTCAGGTTTGACATACGTTAATGCATTAAAACTTTTTTCCATATAGATCTGGTCATAGACAATATGGTGGCGACGGGTCAGCTGGAAGAGGAAAACCGACCAAACGTCAAGGAAGCACTGATAAGGAAACATCGTCATCACCAGCAGAAAAAGTAACTAATCATTTATTATGAAGTCTGCAACAGATATAGAGTGTTGATAATGATGATGTCACTGCCATCTCAAGACACGAATTTATACCAATGACAAAATCTTTGAAATTAACTTTTCAGAATCTATCTTCTATATAAAACATTGATGTTTGGGGTTTTACATATATCCTCTTTCATTTTGAAATAGAAATGAATAACTTTATTTTTCTGAGAGACAAAATCCAATCGTGATATGAACAATTTTCGAACTCGTGAAACTTGTCTTTATGTTATTTCAAACTTGTTTTTAACAATCAATTCAAGGTCAAAGGGAGAGAAACAAATGGAAAAACAAGCTGGGAGGGGGCGACGACGCAGCAGCTTATATCCTGGAATCGACAGAAGTCAATCCACTGGAGGACATCAAAATATCAGCATGGAACAATGTAAGAAGGGCAAAAAGTTAATGTTTCAATAAACTTCAACATTCATATAAGATTATTACTTTCCCCGTACAATATTTTTAATAGCTTGAATCTCCTTTGTATTCATATTCGCTTGTTCATGTTTGCTTGTTTGTTAGCTGTTCCCAATTTCAACTTCAATATTTCTCCCCTTTTTACCCAATTCTTGGCATATTGCATCATAGTGTATAAAAGGTGTGCCAGCTAAAATGTCAAGGCTATTTGACCCTTACTTCCGATATTAGCGGAAGTCCAATTAAGATTGTCATTTCAATTTCAATAGTTAATTTGTTTCTGATAAATCATTAAATATTTTGTAACGTCCAATAGACAATCAAAAACGTAATTGGGAGCAGCTTTGTGGTTTTCCAGTTACAACCACAATCTATAGTTTGGATTTTGTTTTTCGTTTTGTTACAGTAAAAATTAATACTTTTGTCTTGAGGCGGAGCTATGCCCCAGGGCGAAATTGAAAATCATTACATTAATAGAGGGGCTAACTGATATAAATAATCGGGCATTTTGTCCTATAGCGCTGGACGACATAGAGCAATTGGGAAAATGTTCAAATAATTGTATTAGTTTAAAAACCACAACGCAAGGAAGAATATAACTAATAGGGTTTCAATGGTTAGTAAGGATATATAAAACAAAATAGTTTGAACGTAAGGAGTAAACGCAAGACTTTAGCGATACCAAAAAAAGAGAGAAAACAAGGCCCTACAACTTCGATTATTCCTTCTCTTTTTTGGATTTGCATATCTTTGTCCACAGCGGCTGGCTTCGATGGTCTGTTAAAGAAGCATAGCTCCGCCTCAAACCTCGAAAAGATGCGACGTAATAACAGCCAAGGATCACTCGGTAGAATGGAGCCGTCTGACAGTACAGAGCAAATTCAGAAAGAAAGCAAGGTAGGTTTCAGAATAATGGTGTCATATGAAAGTTGTATCCATATAAAAACTAGTCTCCTCATACGAATACACGTGACTCTCATACGTACTCGTCCTTGTTCTACTCATGCCCACTGAGGCTTGCGCAATATTGATGAATCCGTATTTCACAGAGGCCAGAATTTTACACTACACCGGGCTATTTTTAAGTGGAAATCAGTTTAATTTGTTACCACAACGTTATACTGACAGTGTCTTCTTACAGTAAAGGTAAGTCTGGTAGGCCTGATGATTATTATGATGGTAATGATTGGGCAATCTTGCCTCAGCTGCTGTTTCTTCAAGAAGTTGCAGTTGTATAGTTGTATCACTGTACAACTTCTTGAACCAACATTATTTTGTTTCCCTGCCGCTACGATCCTATACTTGCTTCCTTTCTTTGCTTATAATCCTGTATAGTGATACTACCTTATGTATCCATATTTCAATTCACTCATTAATTTTGTATCCACTTTACCCTTCTCCATACGATCCAACCTCTTGTTTTTCAAATTTCTGTCTTTTGAAGAGATATAAAGGAACATAGGTTGAAGTCTTTTTTCACCATTTGGATGCAATATTGTATAAAGATCCGACTGGTTGCAGCTTGATATTCTCAATGACTGAATCTTGCCGTTTTCATTTCAATGAATCAAAACATCTTGCGAGGGAATGTTTGTGTAATAGGTCTTGCTTCAAATTGATCGTGCACTCTATTTGTATATCTTTTGACTTCTAATATTGATCTGTTCACACTTGTGATTGGATTGCAGTTCCTGAAGAAACTTCCGCCCGGAGCCGAAGCGTCCAACGTACTGGTCGGTGAAGTGGATTTCTTGAAGAAGCCCATCATTGCATTTGTCCGCTTGTCGAACGGGGTTCTACTGCCGGACATGACAGAGGTGCCGATTGCTACCAGATTCCTGTTCTTGCTTCTCGGCCCTCCTACTGGAGACACGGTGAAATACCGAGAAATTGGACGTTGTGTTGCTACTCTCTTCTCTGACGAGGTCAGTGCTTCAAATTAAACAATGAATATTCTACTATGTCCCTGCCCTCAATGGACATACCAGTTAGAGAAATGAGAAGGACTTTTATGCCTTTTATTTGGCCGTATACATCTGCACTGAAATCCGCAATTGCTCAGAATTATTGCTTGTTAATAGCTATCTGATCTGACTGCGCAGCCATTAGTTCGACTTTTAAGGTCCAACCGAATAATTACTCTCAAATCATTCATACGCGGATAAATTATCACTTACCAGCAGCAGCCGTATAACTAGGGTGAAACTTGTAGAAGGCACTTGGGGTGCACCAATTTTTCAAAGCAGGGCACTGAAGGCAGCTGTTAAATTGTTTTGGTTCAATTCAAGATTTTAAATAGAGGGGCCTCAGGGGCATGGACCTCCGCTGGGGACACGTTTTAGGAGTTGTTAACCAGAGGGCCTTACCACTGTATAGCCAGAGGGGTGTTTTGTTGATCAAAATTGTTGGAAATTTATAATTTTTGACCTGTTTTGACCCGAAAAGTTTTGATTTTTTTTGACCGAAAAGGTAGTTATGAATGGGAATAAATATGTGATTGGTAGGTATTAAACACTGTGTTTAAGACTGGTTAGAGTCTGGATGCTGATAATTACCCTCACCTTCGGCTCGGGCAATTATCAACATCCAGACTGCAATCAATCTTAAATATAGTGCCTAAAACCTCCGAAGCACACATTTATTCCCTTATTCATACTCAGTAACTCAGAATTTAAAACGAACTCAAGAAAGAATGTAATCCTGACGCCAGTTAAGTGGTTGTGTCTATTCTTACCAATTTTGATGTTCATTTTGGTGCCAATTTCTGACCTTTGGACACATTTTAAAAGTCTGACAATCATTGAGATGGTGCATGACTACAATTCCGTCAAGATGGTGCGCTCTACCAAAAACTCCAATCAATCCTACAGGTGTTCCATGATGTAGCGTACAGGGCAAGAGATAGGAATGACCTACTGGCAGGAATCGATGAATTCATGGACCAAGTCACCGTGCTTCCCCCAGGTGCGTTTTCTCATTTTATCGCATTATGTTGGTCTATATTTGTTTTACATTTGTAATGCTGGTGTTTCCTTTTTAAAGATATAATGATCGTGAAGAGCTACATAATGTTATTTATTAGGAAGTTGGGATCCAAGTATTCGCATTGAGCCGCCAAAATCCACCCCGTCACAGGAAAAGCGACGTCAATCCGAACACTTCGTTCACCCTATACCTCTCAGTATCCACCAGGAAGACGATGCTAAATTTGAATTGGCGCGGACAGGAAGGTAGGCTTCAGTATTCTCAAAGTAGTGAATGTCTAGGTACATGTATAAAACATTTGAGGTCGAAATAACCCTTTTTTTCTTAATAGTAACATATTTTGAAGCAAAAGGGCCGGATTGTTGCCAATGTGGATCTGAGGTCATTTATAAGAATAAATTATTTATTTTCATGATGAGAGGTGTTCCTTGAACACCAACTCGTGTATTTTTTTTTTAATTCTTTGGAAATATTTTGTTCACAGGCTCTTTGGTGGACTGATCAATGATGTCAAGACAAAGATACCTTTCTACCTGAGTGATTTCACGGATGCACTCAGCATACAGTGCATAGCTTCGTTTGTCTTCATGTACATTGCCTGCATTACGCCCATTATCACGTTCGGTGGATTGCTTGGAGGAGCAACGGACGATTACATTGTAAGAAAAGGTTTCATGAAGTGCTTGTATAGGCTTTGTTTTAATACTACAAATAAAAACAACTACTTTATAATCATACCGTTATCTGTTTCGCACACTGCAAATCAGCGGTGTTAAATTTAACGCCAGTGATATCTAAACACCACCGATATAAACATGTTACCTCACTGGTCCTGTTTTGCTGTGTTCGATTGGTCTTCGAGATCAAGCGATGCTATGTGCAAGGGATCAACTCTGGGATCAGTTCTGCACGCTCTGTGGACCAGCTTTACTAGGTCTACCTTGTCTTGTTTTGGTGCCATGATTTGTTGGCTTGTAGCTTAATTACAGAGGCCAATGAGGCTGTTGTAAGATATTCCTTTCTTTCGTGTGTTGTTTTGCATTGAGTGTACACAAATAGTCAGGTATACATGCGCATTAATTTCTCCCTCTCATTGTCCAGGCAGCCTTTGAGAGTCTGATCGGCGGAGCAATCTGTGGTGTAGTTTACCATCTGTTCTCGGGCCAGCCATTGACCATCATCGGAAGCACCGGACCAATCTTGATCTTCGAGACAATCATGTTTCAGTTGTGCACGTAAGTGTGTTCCTCTTTAAATTGTGAATACATCGAGATTTGGAACGCTTTATATATGAAAATTAGGAGTCATAGATGTTGTCATTATGGACCAGAAATTGATGCATGAGGGATCAGAGAACGGGCATCCACTTGCATGTCATGGGGAACTATTTGGGAGTATTGTGCCTTTGTTGATACAAGCATAGCATTTGATACACACTCAGAGTATGTCATGAGAAAGACATGTGGCTATAGGGCCATAGCAAAATGGCTGCCATTGCTTGTTATTCTACCTATATTTGTTTCAAAGGACAAATCTGCGATGACCCTATAGCAAAATTTCTTTCTCATGACCTACTCTGACTTTGTGTCAAGTGACATGCTTGTCATCAAAGGCACAATCCCATCACCTATCTGCCGAACTACATCAGTCCAGCCTCCCTTTCTTAAGTCTTGTTTATACTCTGATGAATGCAACATTAATTTCTTTTACATGCTGCATGTTATCGGTAAATCGTTCATACAGTTAACAATCTCCATTGAAAGATTTCCGTTTCCGTGTAGGCTTTTTATTTGCACTATTCGGTTGTCTTGACAGTAAAAAATCAACGTCACAGGCCGTAACGTACAGAACTTACTTTGGTTGAAGTCTCGCATAATATAATATTCCACGACGTTGCATCTGGTTGTTCTGTCACAAACTTTGTTCTGTCTCAGTGAGTCGGAAGATTTCTCACGCTATTCAAGCATCGTTGCCTTAATTACGTGGAGAGTACCATATCTTCATTTGTATAGTCCATGTGTGTTGTAGCTAACAATGTTTTTTATGTTAAAATATCCAGATCTATGGGACTGAACTACCTGTCTTTCCGTGTCTGGATCGGCTTCTGGACCTGCGTCATCTGCATCATTCTAGTCGCCACGGATTTCAGTGCCTACGTGCGATACATCACGCGGTTTACGGAGGAGGCGTTCGCGGCCCTGATTGCGTTCATCTTCATCGTGGAGGCTATCGAGAATCTGCTTGAGATCAACCACAAGTACCCGCTGGAAGCGTAAGTTGTCTGCGGTTCCTAGCAAAACAGTTTTGGGCACGAGGAAATCTCTTGAAGGTATTTCATTGGTTCAAAAAGATCACATTTCACGTCTTTTTGAATGGTATGACAATAGTCGGGAATAATCCAAAATTGATCCAAATTTCACATTGGGCTGTCAAACTTAATTTCAAATCAATGCATTGAGTCAGCGTTTCTAACGATCGCAGTAAGATTGGCGAAAACACATTTAACAACATTATCCGATATTAGTGGACTGAATCATTCAATCAACATCTGCAGCTCTTCTTTTGCGTATATGTAAAAGAACATAGGCGTCATTACGACCAAAAGAATACATAGAATAAACAATGTATGTAATAGGCAGTTTGTGTAGCCTCGCCACACTACACTCATTTCCAGCCTGAAAACATTTTTGAAAAAAAACCCACGATTTTTGTCTATACACAGTCTGCACTGCAGTGAGTTTACTTTCAGTTCCATTCTAGGAAATAAACCAAAACCTAATTCCAATTGTCAAAAAACATTGAAAATATAATACCACATGAGTTTCATTAAAATTTTAAAAATTAGTTTATTTCATGTTCACGAAACGCCATGAGTACAATTGCACCCCATGTATTTTGCATAATTTATGTTAATTATGTATTGCATTTTTTCTAGACACCCGGATTCCAGTCATGACATGAACATGACAGAATCCGACTGCGTCTGCATCCAACCAAACGACACCTTCAGCAACGTCTCAGACTGGGGCGAGATATCCGAGGAGGACTGCAAACTCTTGAACGGTACCTTGGAAGGGGAGACATGCGGCCATCACCAACCTGTACCCGATGTCTTCCTGTTCTGCGTCATCCTCTTCTGTGGCACCTTCGTGTTGTCCTACGCACTCAAGACTTTCAAATTCACCACGTTCTTCCCGACACAGGTAATTCTAACAGTCTTTCCTTCATTTTACTTCATTTACTAACAAACTGTTTTTTCATATTTGGCTGTCAAGCACGTGAACTGTGAAAAGTCTTGGGTTAAAATCGTCCCAAATCCGGGTCAACTGACTCTTCTCTGAGTCATTTTCCGGAGCCATTTGACCCGGAAATGTGTCATTTTGACACAAGAATTTGCCATTACGACCAAAACAAGAATGGCGGGTCAAAACTGACCTGGGACTTTTTAAGAGTGTGAGCCAGATCTCGTAGCCTTTATTTTTATCAGAGATCCGGTAACAAGTCAAATATGTCAAGGTCTTAGAAGAGACAAAAAGAAAATATGTTGATGACAATAACTAAGTTTGAGATATATTTTAAATTTGGATTTGGGGAACATATAGGTGGTACTGGTTTGGGAGAAGGGTATACAATTGAAACTTTAAATTTTCGAATATAGCCCCATTATGTACTGCAAATAACTAAGTCGAAACCTCTTAAGTCAAGTTTGCTGAATTGAAAAAATGATACAACATAAAGTTTGACAAAACCTGATTTTGAAGAAATGTTAAAAGCGTACTTTTTAACGGATTCTCCAAAGGGGAGCAAGATTGGTGGTAGACAGGATGTCAAAATGTCAAAGGTCTTTGTCAGGATTGTAAGAAATAAAACAAAAAAATGGCGACAGTTGAACTGCGAGTGATATTTTGTCATGAAACTTCGTGTATGATGTGCATTAAAAATTAGAAATGCTGGCATTTGCTTGTGTTCGATTATAAGTTTCAATATCATTGTGGGTAGCCTCAGTGCCTCTACACTGTATCTTTTTGGTCGACAGATTACAACAGTTTCGCAGCTGTGTCGTATACTTTTTCTCAGTCACATGTTTACACATCTAGTTCTACTCATTTTGATTAGTTATGAGGCTCAATTTCTTTAATGATCAGTTGGGTAGCAAGCTAAAATTGTCATGAATCTTTGTGTAGTTATATGCGGCGGCTGCGGTCTAAACATAATTAACTTTAACCCTTTACGCCCCGTCAGCGCATGACTCAGCAAAGTGGTCATTTCTTGTTTTACAGATTCGTTATCTCATCAGTAATTTCGGAGTCTTTTTTGCGTTCATCTCGATGACTGTGTTTGACATACTCGTGGGACTTCCAACGCCGAAACTGACCGTGCCAAACCAGTTTCAGGTAAACATTGGAAAGTGTTAAATTTACATTTTAACTACCGGGTAATTAGGTTGATTAACTCATATTTTATCAACCATATCATTTCCATAATTAAATTATGTATAGCCTGATCGTTTTACATTAAATTTTGGAAAGAATGTTGCAACCTTCCGCCACTTTTTTCTCCATATATCATCTCAATAAAGGTCAGTCAATGCAAAAATGTTGAAAAAACATGAATCTGGGACTGAGAAACATTTCAAATTTTGTTAGGACATACTTATGAAATGTTCTTGACTCTTCATAGACTTTGTACACAACTGCTGAAGTGGCGTCTGGATACTACATTCTTTCCAATTTCTATTCCATATCTTTGAGTCAAACAAGAGTTTAATTTTTCTTCCTTAAGAAGCCCGATAAGATCAATATAAAACTTAAGTAAGTCGTTACAACATGCATGTAAACATAAATTGATCAATTTGCATTTTACTAATCTTAAATATAAATTAATTTATGTTTTGGGGTCAATGTTCTTTATAGCAATCAACTTCATGTAATTAATGTTCTTGTATGTATACAAAGTTCTTGGTAACTATAGACATTCAAGAATTAAAAAAAATATTTATATCCATTTGAAGACAAAGATACAACCATTCATGAACCATGATGCATTCTTTTTTTATGTTATTCTAGTGAACAATGATTTTTTTGTTTTTGTATTAAGCCCACACGTAGTGACCGAGGGTGGTTAGTGCCCTTGTTCGTCAATCCGTGGTGGACGTACTTCGCGGCCATCATTCCAGCCCTTCTCTGCGGAATCCTGATTTTCATGGACCAACAGATTACTGCTGTCATCGTAAACAGACGTGAAAACAAACTCAAGGTATAAGACAAAATTTGAATTTAAAAAAAAAAGCCGCGTCGCCGCACCACTTTTGGGCAAGCTCCATACCAGAAACCGGAGACTTTTTTTGGGCCTTGTCTATCTTATTCCATTTGTCTATTTTTTTTTTACACCATCCGTCTATCTTTTTCTTGTCTTTCTATTTTAACACCGTCTTTCTATTTCTATACCGTCTGTCTATTTTTATTCCATCTTTCTATTTTAACACCGTCTTTCTATTTCTATACCGTCTTTCTATTTTTATACCGTCTGTCTATTTTTATTCCATCTTTCTATTTTTATACCGTCTTTCTATTGTTATACCTTCATTCTATTTTTATACCGTCTTTCCATTTTTATACCGTCTTTCTATCTTTATACCGTCTCTCTGTTTTTATACCGTCTTTCTATTTTTATATCAACAGAAAGGCTTTGGTTACCATTTGGACCTGTTCGTGGTAGGCTTGCTGCTTTTCCTCATGTCGATCCTGGGCATGCCGTGGTTTGTTGCAGCCACTGTGCTTTCCATCAACCACGTCGACAGTCTCCGTGTCATGTCTAAGACGGTCATTCCAGGAGAACCGCCCAAAGTAGAAGGGTGTCTGTAAGTGGTTGTTTTTATTTCTTTGAACTATAGGTTTCCTAAAAACTGTTTCATAAATTACACTTACGAGTGGGTAGTTCTGGGGAAAAAAACATGGGCTAATGTACTGCTTTGTTAAAAGCTCAGGTAAGATTCTACCCGGAATTCGGATCAGATTGACCTGGCTGACACTCTTCTGGGTCGACTTGACAATTTGTTTGTTTCAAAATGAAATTTCCGGGTCAAATGCTTGGAAAAGTGACCCAGAGAAATGCCACTTTGTCGCTGGATCACATCTGACCCGGGTTTGGGTCGAATTTGACCCGAAATTGTTTTCAACCATTGGTAATGAAAAAAAGAAATGCTCCTAGTAAGCCATTTGAGATGGAATATTTGAGGTAGATAGTTGTGGTACATATCCGTATACTTTAAATCTATCCAGATGGTTTAAAATTCCAAAACGTGGGCACTACTATACGGTTGGGTTATTTTGTTAGAGTTTCTTGTTAATTCTCTTTCTTCTAGGGAGCAGCGTGTAACTGGTTTGATGGTGTTCATAATGATGGGTGTATCGAGTCTGATGACTGGTGTACTAAGGGTAAAAAAGTTCAGAAAATTTTGTCAAAAATGCATCGCGTAAATCATGTTTATTCAACATACGTTTTACAATTAAGTTATGTTATAGCAAAATATGTACTTGAAAGAAACCATAACTACCGTGCACAATGTAACTTAACTAATGGTCATCTCCTAAGACTTTATGGAAACAGGAATACTTTGATCTGACTGAAGTAAGTTATATCCTCCTATTAAATGTATAAGTAAGGTGATTGTTATATTGTGTAATGGCTGCAAATCACTTTGTGCAGTAAATCCGTTTATGGTGTGTATGCTCGTAAAGGTACAAGTTCTGGGTCAGATTCAACCCTGAAACCGAGTCAAATTTGACCAGTGTCTGTGTCAAAATTACAAATATGTCGTGTCAAAGTGACACTTTTTGTGTTCATAATAATTTAATTTTTTGAGTCAAAATGACACTTTGTTCGGGATCAAATAGTCAAGAAAGGTGACCCGAAAAGTGTCATTTTGACCGGGGTCGAAGCTGATCACGCCCGGGACTTTTTAGAGTTTACCACTGACTTTATCAGGTCATTCACACTGCAGGCCAATTATAGTGCAGCTGTGACCAGTTTTTTTCAATGTTTTGTTCATTCCTCCTTAGTTTATTCCGATGCCCGTGCTGTATGGAGTGTTTCTTTACATGGGTATTTCTTCTCTTAGAGGAGTGCAGGTAAAAAAAAATGTTAAAGCAAAACAAAATTGTGAAAGCAAAACAAAATTGTGAAAGCAAAATAAAATTGTTAAAGCATTAATAAGTGTGTGAAAACATTGTAACTTTGCCTACACTTTACTTTTCTTGCAAATTGTAACATTAAATTGACGTTAGAAATTACGTTATAGCTTCATTATTCATAAAACATTCTAAGCATCCGGGTTTCTACAAACTTCTGGCATTCCATTTCCAAGTAGTGATTTTGCTCATCCCTTATACGGATATAGATCTCTATCAACCTAATCTTAGCAATCCTATCATATTCTTTATTTCGAGTAATTTTTGGTATAAATTCCTTTTTTTTAGTTTGTTGATCGGCTGCTCCTATTCCTGATGCCTGCCAAACATCAACCAGATCACATCTACCTCCGGCACGTCAAGCTATGGAAAGTTCACCTGTTCACTGCCATCCAGGCAATATGCCTCGCCATTCTCTGGATCATCAAAACCTCCAAAGGTGCAATTGTCTTTCCGATCATGGTGAGTATATTTAGTCAGAAAAAAGGAGTATAGGATCCACGCACTGTGGCTTGCAATAGACCTAAGACATAATGACGTCACGCTTTGTTCAAATGTGCGCTTTCCTATATGGGAGCCATGTAGGGACGATTGGCTCTCCCTTAGGAAAGCGCACATGTAAACAAAGCGCATGTCTTAGGTCTGTTGGGATCCAGGGAATTCTATATTTACTACCGCTAATTAAGCGTGTGTCATTGGTGCACCATTCAATTTCAAAATTTGGTCACCTATTTAGTCACCTGGTTGAGAATATTCGTCATTAAAGATCAAATTCGTCTTAGAAGTTGTTGCTGAATGGCAGCATTCAGAGATCGAATTCGTCGTATATAAATCAACTAGACGAATTTGATTTCTGAATACCGTGTTTGATGTAGATAAGACGAAATTGAATACCCCGAAACGAAAACGTGTGCTCATTATTTGAATTTTCTTAAACTGAATTTGAAATTGTCTGACAAATTAAAAGGCGAAAACAAATATTGGAAGTGCACTACATCGATGTTGATTGACGAATTTGAATATTAGAAACGGAAAATTCGAATGACAAAAACATTTTAAAATAGCCGGGAAAACCTATATTATGAGTCTGACCAATAGCTAGCACAATCCTACCGCCATTGGAGGGGGCCTTCCTGATACAATTGATAGCGTGCCCGGATCGGTCTATAGTTAAAAACAACTAAAGAATATTTCAGTTTTGCAAAACAGAAATACGTTTTGAGTTCATGTTTTGAAATCAAAGTTCAAAATTGAAAATCTTCGAAAGGCAATCAACTTGTTTATGCCACAGTTTTTACTACATTTTTGATGTTGTAATGTGTGCAGGTGCTGGCTATTGTAATCATTCGTAAAGGCATGGACTACATCTTCACTCAAGCTGAGCTGAGTTTCCTTGATGACGTCATACCGGAGAGCCAGAAGACTCAGAAAGAAAACGAGGATAAAAAGATGAAAGAGGAGTTCGAGGAGGTGAGGCTTAATGTATTTAAAATCCAATACACCTGTATCGAAAACATAGAGCCGGGCTTTGGCTAGTAATTTCAGTAGGATTGAGTGTCTATTTTATTCTATATCTGGGTATAAAATTATCATGACAGTCTTATTTTAAAGCCACTTGTAATTTGAAAAGAGCCTACAGAACCTTGCTCAAAGTAAAGATAGGACTATAGTGCCAAATACCCTGTGAAATTCTTCCGCCTGAAATGGTATGTCATTTCGCTTTCTTTCTTTTTTTAGGAAACACGAGCACGGTCTGGTACCCTGACGATAGCCCTGGAGAGTGGCCAAATGCTGAGTATTCCTGCTGGTAAAGTCACCTTTAATCCTGGTGGCAGTGATCAGGAAGACGAAGCCCTGCCCCAGGAGGAGGGCATGGGGACCTCTCACGTACTACGCAACCTCTCGAGTGGACCACAGCCCCGCCATAGGTCAGTTTTTAAAAGTAAACTTGTTATGCGTTATTAATGAGACAGGACGTAACATGACGTCATCACTTGTAACTGCGCCCTCTCACGTTACATCAAAGAATATAGTCGTCTGTTTCTTTCCTATGATTCAGTACAAGTGGACAGACTACAATAAAAAGTAGCGTGTTGCTGCCTACATCGGTTTGATGCCACTAGTAAAAACAGGGTGGACCACGTGAAGGTTGCCATCTCCCACCCTAACGAATACAGTAAATACATGTACATGTCTATTCAGTACAGACCCTGGTCTTTTTCATTGCATCGATTGTTATGGGCAACACCATCCGTCTTTAGACTTTTTGATTTTTAGCCAACCATGAACCCAGACTTAAACAAACTGCTTAAAAGAAAAACCCCTGTTAAAGATGCAAACGCAATTTGTTTCGGATGGTTTTCGATTTTTTTTTTAAGGTTAACGCCATCATTCAGTTTCAAACGTTAGTTAGACAAAGCTTGTTTGGGGCAAATCTGATAGCTATGAATTCATAGATGATCCTAATATGGCATACAAATTTAGCATAGTAGAGTAGCACAAATTGCTAAAAGATGAATACAATTAATTCTCCACCTTTTAACAAAACAACTAATAATTATGCCCGGTTCGAAGACTTTGATGGAGATTTGTATAAGTACTGTGTGAAACGTCGAGTTAGGCCCCCCCAAAAAAATATTCGGTCTCTGGTCAGACCAAAGTTCCGGAATTGACGCGGCCACGCGGCTTTTTTTTTTTTTTTTTGCTTTTTTTTTTCTTCAAGCTTGGATTGAACAGACAAGGTGGGTACTATTTTGCTTTTTTGGTGTCCTCATGTACATTGGTGTCCTCCATAATTTGCCTTGGTGCTTTCGATCATTTGCCTTGGTGCAATTTCCCATTCCTTGGTGCTCTTTGGTAAAAAAAATTGAGGAGGTGCGGAAATAGAGGGCGCTGTTGGAGCTACCGCGGAACATTTTGGAAAAAAAAAGATCGACGCGCATGATTAAAATCGTCGCGCGCGCTGACCAGAGACCGACTTATTTTTTTTTTTTGCCTTACATAGCGGAATCTTTTCAGAGCTGCACTAAGTCACAAAACGAGATTTGACTTTATGCTGCTGCTACCACAAACTTAACGCTCCACCATGCAAACTTTCAAGTCTTTAATAACTTTTGTTTGTTTTGTTTTTAGACGCAATGCACCGAGCAACAACGCAGGATCCATTGACAACAAAGGGAGTGACGCCTACATCGATATGCCACCGGACAAAGTCGAGCAGCACGAACTCGACACGCACTTTTAAAATATGTAAACAAGTTTTAAGATGGATATTTGTATTGATTAGTTGTGATGAATAATACTGCTTACAATGACGTAAATTTGGGTGACTTTTGGATAATCACTGAGAGTAAAAACATTTTGATTATCTTTATAATGTAAAAGTGCAGTTTGAAAGCATGATCAAAAACTTTCTTTTCTCGTATAAAAATGTTTTTAAAAGTATTAAGGGCTTCCAGGTGAAAACAGGTAATGAGTATAATTGCCAAAAACCTGTGACGGAGTCAACCATTAATTTAACAATATTTCGAGCACGAAAGAGAGATAGAAGAATGTTGTCCTTTTCTGGTCGTAGAAGATATGTTTGTACATTGTAATAAATTTACTCGTCATTTTAGGCGCTTATAATTTGATTGGGCTGAAAATCACTGGCAGTGGTCTTTTACATTTTCTTGGGGAGGGCAGGAACTCCGTGAACACGCTTAATCACCCGAGCTTACTCGATTCATTGTCATCTTCAATTTCACGATACTATTTTTCATTAATTAATTGATGGATAATTATTATTGACTTGAAACGTGGCTTCAAAATTTGTTGTCAACTATTTTATAACAGGCTGAAAAAGAGGTTAAGCCGAATCAACACTAAAAACAACGAATGACGATTTGTGCATTCGTGGCATGTGCTGACTGCTTACTTGTTGAACGAGTTTTATGCATTGAACGCACAACTGCGGCCATTATAACCTAATATTTCTAAAGTTTGAAGTTTTAAACTGAAAATTGAGTTGAAATTAAAGCCAAGATTGGTTGCCTGTGCTGTTTAATGTATTGTAATGAGTTATAAATTTAATATGTAACATTGATTTCTTTTCCGAAAGTAAAGTTTATATTTATCTTTTCTGTCTAGCGGAAGTATTACAAAATTTACTGTTTTTTTAAATTATGTTACTTAACAAGTCATTAACTTATGTGTTGTATTGGGAATGTCAAAAACTGAAGATATCGATGTATTCCCCCTTGCTTGGTTACATTAATGACGTCTGAGGGGGTAAAAGGCACCTCGTGGTCGCCATGGCGTCATTTTTGAGGTATACATTTCATTTTATATCCATTCGTATAATTCTGATTGTTAGCGAATTTCGCAGTCATTTTATTATTATAAAGGTGATTTTTTTTTATGAATGATTCACATCCGTTTAAACGAGAAGGGTTGACCGGTTGCATAGTGCATGGTACACTCAGTCGGCATAAGGTGACTGAAGGATGCATGTTACGATATTTGTATAGTCTCGGAGCAAATGTGAAAACAAATCCTCAGATGTGAAGTTTGGACTGAGAAAGTTAAACTGTCTTTGCTTGAGATGTGAGAAACTTTTTTTTTTAATTGTCAGTTTACTAGTAAACTAATGGAACTTTTCTGTGTAATATGCTTTCACAAAAAAAATCTTAGATGTAGGCCTATACAAAGTTTTTCTCGACACTTAATATATCACTACAAACTTTAAAAGATATAGACGATAAAAAGTCGGAAGTGTCATTTATCTGTTTAAAAAGAAAAGATTTTAAGGTATAGAAAAGAGGGAAAGATTAATCGGATGTCTAATCACTTGAGATCAGTGTACAAATACGCACCCACGCCTACGTTACCTTCTGTGGACATTCATTTGTTTTCGTGTAAAGGAAAACCGGAGACTGAAAGTTCTTTTTTTACTCCGGTGCGAACACTCTTTTAATCCTTTTTAAAAACATGTTTTCCCTGAGGGTTCCTCGTCATTTTGTGACATAACCCTAACCCAAAAATGCCTCTAGAGGGGGGACACCCTGTGTGGACCTGGCTTAGTGGTTCACACAACCTGCATCGTGTGGACCTGTTTTGTTTTTAGGTCCACACAAAGCTTAAAAAAAGGTTGGCACATTAATGCATGTTGGTGTTGAATCGTACTTTTTTTCCTGATATCCTGTTTCCAGAGAATTATGAATGTGTAAGGGATTATCCTGCATTTTGGACAACCGGCCTACTCTCCTCTATAGATAGAGGTGGCATACTGTCAGACAATTCCTCATTTTTAACTTGAAAATTAATGTGTTTAAGGAGGAATCTCGGTCATTTTGATCACAAGAGTTCAGTGTAGGCCTATATGTGGTTTCTAATCTGAAATACGTAAAATATTAACATGTGAATGACATCGGGAAGTGACCATAAAAAGAATCTCAATACAATTGCGTGTCATTTGATGATATACAATGTCATAGGCGTTATTTTGTGTTTTAAATGAGCGTGTTCTACATTAAACTGAGATCACTTAAACTTAAATTGACGCAATTTGTCTTTTTTTTTTCCTGTTACATGTTTCGAGTCCATGCAAGAATATCCTAAAATTGAAAAATCATCTTTCAAAATACTCCTCGAAACAAAATGAGAGTGATAAAAGAATATATTTTTTCGCGGCTATTTTAAAACGTTCATCATTCGAATTCACCGTTTCTAATATTCAAATTCGCCATCAGCATCGATAGAGTGCACTTTCAATGTTTAATTTCGTCTCTTGTCAGACAATTTCAAATTCAGTTCAAGCAAATTCAAACAATGAGCACACGACATAGTAAAGCAGGCGCTTTACTATGTGTGGGGTCTTAGGTCAACATTTGAAGCTTTAACATTTGGTTAACAATATTCAAGGCTTTTATTCCTTCGCACCACTGATTGCTGCATTGTTGCATTGATGAAGAGATGAAGCCAAACCAAGGTTTCAGGAAAAATGCTGGCACTAGTTGCATGTATGTGCCTACGATACTGTAGCCTTGCACCAAGGCCATCGTGGCTGCTTGCCGGCATCAGACAAAGCGGCGAAACCACGAAGCGACTGGAGCGGGAGAACACACTTGTGCGCGCTGACTTAATCTTTGGTCCAGTTGCGTCGTGCTTTCGCAGCTCCGCCGCTCTAATAGGGTGCAGACCAGTAAATCGGTCCGAAATTGCCTGCGCCGGCCAAATCACGATTTGCATGCCCTCAAAATCTTCGGTATTTGGGCATGCTTTGGGCCATGAACTTGAGGGTTTGTAAAAAATATGGGTGGAAGCCGTGCACAGGACTGGGAGCTTGCCGTTCTGTGTAATTTTGATGTAATTTGGACCCTAAAAGCGCTCTATTTTGCAATGGAGTGTAGGCATCGTTTTTCAAAATGGCGATGGGCTTCAGGACTATTTTCAGGGGTGATCATCTTCAGATGGAAATTTCTCCTAAAATTCATCAGTTGACCCCCCGAAAATTGAAAAGAAAATGAAAGATGATGAAATAAGCTTTAATTTGATGTGCGTCTCGAACACCTTGGAGAGTTATGAGTATTTTTCCCGAATTTTTGAAGTGGGAGCATTTACCATTGGGGCCTATGGAAGTTTATTTACTGGTCTGCTACCTGTAGTTTCAAAATGGCGCCTTCCATCGTTTTTGTCAAATGTTTGCGGAGTGGTTTTTTTTTCAGGTGGGCGGAACCTGGGGGGGGGGGCAGCGTTTCAAACGGGATCACCAATGGCGGTTCCGCAACAAATGCGCCCAAAATCTTAATAGCGCCGATGGACCGTCGTCCGATCACAGCAATTTCGAGCGAACAAGAGGGGGGGGGGGGGGTAATTTGGGGTCGGAAGGAGCAAAAACTCAATTAACGCCCGTTGGGGGCGCCCTACAGTAAGGTAGCCGCAAACAGAGGGCTTGTTTTCAGGCCAGAAATCGCAGTCAGAGATTTTTTTTTCTTGCAATTTTTTGATGAAATATGAGTCATCCATCCTTCCTCGTGCCGTACAAGTGGTTTGGGGAAATTTTTCAAAACCTCGCTTCTCTGTAGTTTCAAAATGGCGCCTTCCATCGTTTTTGTCAAATGTTTGCGGAGTGGTTTTTTTTTCAGGTGGGCGGAACCTGGGGGGGGGGGGGGCAGCGTTTCAAACGGGATCACCAATGGCGGTTCCGCAACAAATGCGCCCAAAATCTGAATAGCGCCGATGGACCGTCGTCCGATCACAGCAATTTCGAGCGAACAAGAGGGGGGGGGGGGGGTAATTTGGGGTCGGAAGGAGCAAAAACTCAATTAACGCCCGTTGGGGGCGCCCTACAGTAAGGTAGCCGCAAACAGAGGGCTTGTTTTCAGGCCAGAAATCGCAGTCAGAGATTTTTTTTCTTGCAATTTTTTGATGAAATATGAGTCATCCATCCTTCCTCGTGCCGTACAAGTGGTTTGGGGAAATTTTTCAAAACCTCGCTTCTCTGTAGTTTCAAAATGGCGCCTTCCATCGTTTTTGTCAAATGTTTGCGGAGTGGTTTTTTTTTTCAGGTGGGCGGAACCTGGGGGGGGGGGGGCAGCGTTTCAAACGGGATCACCAATGGCGGTTCCGCAACAAATGCGCCCAAAATCTGAATAGCGCCGATGGACCGTCGTCCGATCACAGCAATTTCGAGCGAACAAGAGGGGGGGGGGGGTAATTTGGGGTCGGAAGGAGCAAAAACTCAATTAACGCCCGTTGGGGGCGCCCTACAGTAAGGTAGCCGCAAACAGAGGGCTTGTTTTCAGGCCAGAAATCGCAGTCAGAGATTTTTTTTCTTGCAATTTTTTGATGAAATATGAGTCATCCATCCTTCCTCGTGCCGTACAAGTGGTTTGGGGAAATTTTTCAAAACCTCGCTTCTCTATAGGGTGCAGACCAGTAAATCGGTCCGAAATTGCCTGCGCCGGCCAAATCACGATTTGCATGCCCTCAAAATCTTCGGTATTTGGGCATGCTTTGGGCCATGAACTTGAGGGTTTGTAAAAAATATGGGTGGAAGCCGTGCACAGGACTGGGAGCTTGCCGTTCTGTGTAATTTTGATGTAATTTGGACCCTAAAAGCGCTCTATTTTGCAATGGAGTGTAGGCATCGTTTTTCAAAATGGCGATGGGCTTCAGGACTATTTTCAGGGGTGATCATCTTCAGATGGAAATTTCTCCTAAAAGTCATCAGTTGACCCCCCGAAAATTGAAAAGAAAATGAAAGATGATGAAATAAGCTTTAATTTGATGTGCGTCTCGAACACCTTGGAGAGTTATGAGTATTTTTCCCGATTTTTTGAAGTGGGAGCATTTACCATTGGGGTCTATGGAAGTTTATTTACTGGTCTGCTACCCTAAGCCACAATGGTCTTGGCGAAAGGCTAACAATACTGCGGTTCTTTTGCACAGCTTTGCAGCGGGGCGCAATTTAGCACGAGTGCTCGCGTCAATCAATTCATTCCGACGAATTTATTTACCTGGCGGGAGTGGGTATTTGGTATTTTGCGGAACTTGCAGACGTGCAGAACTCTGCGGAACTCTGCGGAACTCTGCAGAATTAGGAATATAACACCAAATTAAGATTAAATACTGGCTTTAAAAGTACAGCAAGGGCCCAATCTCATTCTTAAGTCCAAAAATCCTCATAAATCTGCCCTTAAATTAGTTAAAATAAAAGATATCCCACCTGTTTGTGCCCATAATTATAATTGGGTGTAGTATTTGCAAAACAGTGCAGAACACATGCTGTAAAGGGATACATGCCGTTTACAAGCCAGGGGTGCAGCTTCAACTCAGAGCTTTGTGAAGCACGTGTATTAAACAGTTGATAGGGGGCTCTGCAGACGGTAACATTATGGAATTATCGTAATGTTTTATTCGTAATGTCGACAATTGTCTTATATCCTCAACAAATCCTCTCTTTTATTCTTTGGACGAAAAATAAACCCACGGGAAGGCCCTCTGTACTAAATGTTCCATGTTTCATCCAGGCAGCGCGATCGATGGGTACGGGCCTCAGAGAGTCCCGCGTTTTAAACAGGCAGAATGATGTACGGTATGTACAGTAATGGGTCCGATGCTGCGGGAGGGGGCATTTTTATCGCTACAGAACCAACATTACAAGTGATCACAATGTTTTAATTTTAATGTGGATAAGTGTATTATATCCTCAACATCTCCTCTGATTTTTTTTCTGTGCAAAAATCACACGGGAAGACCTTCAATAATAAGAGTTCCGCGTTTTACCAACTCAGGTTTTTGTGAAAATAGGCCTAATGCACGGTATAAAGTATACGTGTAATGGGTCTGATGCTGTGGGGGGGGGGGGGGGGGCATGTTTATCGTTACAGAACCAACATTTAAAATGATCACAATGTTTTAATTTCAATGTTTCGCTTAAGGGCCCCGGGAGATTTTGGATTCTAGACGCTCAATCTGAGGCGATTCCTGGCTCCTTTCCCCTGAATTATTTGAGCAACAGATTTTATTTTAAATATTCTCTTACTTTTACAAATTTTAAGTTAAAGTGTGCTTAAAGGTCGAAAACCATGTATTTACGTCTTCATATTTTCTTGCATTTTATTTTGGAAAAGGAATTGTATTGACTTAGTTTTGTAAACTGTTGCAACGATGCGTTGTGGCATATTTTGCTCCGAGGACTATTGCGAGGGCGGATCACGCCTGTCTTACGGCGTGGGGTCCGGGGCCCGCTTAAGGACCCCGGAAAATTTTGAATTCTAAATGCTCTGTGGTGTATTCTGAGGGGATTCCTTGCCCCTTTTCTCCTGAGTAATTTGAGCAAATAGTTTTAAGATTATAAGGATTGTTTCATTGGTTTATAATATACTCTTGCGTTTACAAGTTTCTTCTGTTCTTCACTTGTATAACCAAATATTTTCGTCTGCATAGTTATTGTCGTGCTTATTTTTGAAAAGGAACTGAATAGACTTAGTTTGTAAATTGTTGCAAGGATGCGTATAGGGCATCTGCCCAGAATGCGGAGCGCGAACGCCTTTTGGCGTGGGGTCCGGGGCCCGCTAGCTTAAGGGCCCCGTGAAATTTTGGATTCTAGATGCTCTGCGGTGCAATCTGAGGCAATT